CGATCGTATTCGAGCCACGTCTCCACTAACACGTGACCGTAATACGAGTCTTTTCCCGTGCCGGTGCGCTTTTCTGCGCGCTCCGTTTTTTCCGTCCCTGTTGCGATTAAAATTATTTTAAGAACATATCTTCTCTCTCTCTCCCCACCCCCTTGTCTCACGAATCCCTTAATGGATTTCCAGGACGACGCTTAATTGTCGAGGAGAAAATTTGAGTATCACGAATGGAGATCTTCCAACGTAGTAGCCGCGACGATGATCGGTTATTTTCTGCTCTCGTCGCGAACTGTGAATCCAGTAACGAATGGAAATTTATGCCGGGCTTGATTGATAAGACTTGAAATTAAAATGAGACACGATGTAGCAGAATGACATAATTTCGAGATTGCCCGGAGAAAATGCGCGACGCGATGCATAATGGATTGGCGCGAAAGCGGCGAATCGGAGATCAAAATGTGGTCGGGCGTTTTGCTCGAGATTATCCTCTACACGAGAGAAAGAGAGAGAGAGAGAGAGAGGAAAGGAGAGAGATTATCCCCCGCGAAGTCTTCTTCTCTCACATGGAATGTCCCCTCCTTACGAGTGAAACGAAAATAACCAGAATATTTTAAGAGTGAGACGTCAGACGAAAAGAAGCGAGAAGAGAGAGAAGTTAGATTTCAATTACGTCTCCGACTTCCTCCTCGCAATCAGGTGCGCAGGAAGGAAACGAATTATTAGAAGCGGCGAAATTATATCTCGTGATGGAAGAAGCATTTCTGTAATAAGAACTGCGAGTTTTCCAATAAATGTCGCGTTTAAAAGCCATAGGGATTAGATATACCGTGACTTTGCCGACAGGAGTCTTTCGCTTTTGCAACACGGTATTGCTCTAATTATTTCTTAAAAAGTTGTTTCGAGAGTTTTACCTAGTCTCGAGGGAGAGGAAAGTTTTGTTCTTTCTCTTACTATCTCTCTCTCTCTCTCTCTCTCTTTCTTTTTCTTTTTCTCTCTTTCTTTTTCGAGGCGACTCCATTTCAATATTCATCCCGATTCACTTTCAGCGCATGTACGATGTACAATTGAATTTGCGCGCATTTCTCTTTCTCCTCTCTTATTTTTTTGGATTCCTCCATGATCGGCCAAGGACGAATAGCCTTTTCTGGTCAAGTTAACAATAGCGAAAGGCCTCAGGCGAGTAGTTTCCTCGGGCATGTCGATACCTTAGCGTCATAAATCAAATTCACAATGGTATTACAGTGTGAAAATGCGACTAGTGGAACCGACTCTAGATAAAATCGGCCGGAAAACGATTAATCGCAGACCTCGTTGTAACCGCTAAGAAATCAATTCGCTGTGCTACCCTCGTGCGTACTTTTGTATGTTCCGCTTATCACGAGTAAATTCAATCTCCCCGCGATATCGAATTTCTAATTGAGATATTTACGTCGACACGAAGACGCGCGTTCACAATGACACGCGGAATTGAAGAGAGGGCAGTGAAAAAGCAAAAAATTATGCAACAGTGTTGACTACTCAACACCTTGCGCTCGCGCGCGCCCGTTTGAGAACAATACAAGTTTTAAGTAGTCGCGGCGAATTAGCGCGATAAGTTTCGCGAAACGACGGAAAACTGCACCAGGCGATATCCTTTCGACGGAAAGTTTAATTTCAAATCTTACTGCGACTATAGTGCGCGCGCACAAACCTGATTCGCACCGATTCGCTACGACTTCGTCGCGTTGATTTCATTTCCGTCCGTTCCACTTCGCTCCCTTCGCCCAATAACATTAAACTCGGTACCGCGGCTGCTTGCGTCGCGATCACGCGGTATATCTTCCCAGCATGAGTGTTTAACTTCCTGAAATATCTCTCCTTAATTGGACGTCCATTTCGATGGACGTTTCGAGGAAAGCAGTCTCCTCTTCGAAATTCGATTGCCGTCTCTTGTCGACCTGTTATATAACTTTTTTAGCGCGGTTCGTGTATATTGGAAAAAACGTATCGATACCTCGGGACAATACAACGACGCCCAATGCGGCGGTAAAGATCGACGCATACAAGTACGGATGTCCCATATCCTGCACACATACACACACACACACATATATACACGGACCTGACATTTCCTTCCTTCCTTCCTTCCTTCCTTGCTGCCTGCCTGCCTGCCTGCCTGCCTGCTTGGTTTGCTACCAGCTCTCAGCTCACGTAACGACGTTTCTTGTTCCGCTTCCAAGATTGCACCGATATTTCGTCGCCGACGAGAAACGTGTGTGCGCGCCTGCGTCCTCGCACGATTCATTGACGAAGCCGATAATATTCGAGCAACACACGCGTCGGCGCTTACTTGTCGAATCGGGAATCGCTCCGTCGCTACCAAAGGAGATCACACATTCGCGCGTCATGAATAATGTAGCGACGTTATGAATTTATTCGGGCTAATTAGAATCGCGCTAAGTACGTGCACGATCGGAATTTCGAAACCAAAAAAAAAAGGGAAAACAAGGCGGAAGCACCGATATTTTTATTGTTGCGAGAATCCAGCGAAAAACTCTCTACGGCGCTAAGCTGGAGGTTCGCGTGACTGTTGGTTGTAAAAAGTTCGACACGTGAGCATAAATTATAAATGAAATCGCGGTGGCCTCGACGTCGATATTTCGGTAATAAGTTGACTCTCTCTCTCTCTCTCTCTCTCTCTCTCTCTCTCTCTCTCTCTCTCTCTCTCTCTCTCTCTCTCTCTCTCTCTCTCTCTCTCTCTCTCCCCGCTGACACGAAAGTATTCTCCGATTTTTGTCCGCTCGCTTATCTACATTCGTGTTTCGCGCACTCGTTCGCTCGTTCGTATCTCCTATAATCTACAAACATTCCGTTTCAGCCGGTCAGACACGCACACGGCGACGGCGGCTATATTCTCCGAACGGACAAATACGCGAAAATTGACAGAGAGAAATCAATAGGCCGAGCGCAACGTTGCTCGCGCTCCTACGCGCATTGGCGTGAGCGCGAATCGTGATCATTAGGAGGCAGCTGATTCCGTTCTCCGCTTAATTTAATGGGCAATGCAATTTCAACTAAAAATACGAGCGCGTGGTCTATCCTCGAGGAAGACGAAAAGCACTCCGACGGAGATGAGTTTGCTTGGAAAATTGTTTATCGACGATTATTTGCGCGGCCTTTGACTTTTGTGAAATAATTGCGCCAACTTTTCGCTTAACTACCGTGTGCGCGCATCGACGGAGACGGTCGAAAGAATAATCTGTGCTGGAAGATTTATGCACTTGCGATTGCTTTATTACAGTATCTGAGAAACTACATTTATACATGTATCTCTGTGTGAGTATTTGTATATGTGTATGTGTGTGTGAAACACGATGTTCTTTTTTCTTCCGAAACCAGTTAACAGCATTTCTCTCTCGCTTCGGTCGAGCGAGCGAACGAGCGAGTGCGCGCACACGAAGGAAGATTTATATGCACCTACAACCTGCACCGATATAAATAAAACACCGACCCTCGTTAATCACGCGCCTCTCGACCGCTGCGAACGGCGAAATAATCGGCATCAGATAATTTAAGGAAAAAGCTCGCTCGCGAACTATGCGTGGTCCTCGATACCAGAGAGGAGGAGATGCTTCATAGATCACATTGATCGAAGAACCGTTTTTTCTATCCTCCCTTCGTTCGTTCGCGAGCACTATCAATCCGCTATTTCCACAGGGCAACACTCATCAATAAAATGTTACACCCGCGCGCGACTCTCCACGCGGAAAGAGCCTTTCTTCCTATCAACGTTGCGTATCTTTAACGACCGACAAAACACTCTTTATAACATATAAAAGATAAGCACTGCCCGCGCGCGTTGCGCATCTCCGTCGCGAGAAAGAATATCTCATCGTCCGTGTGTGTGTTCGATCGTGTGTGTGAGGCAGAGAAATCTCGAGAGATCGATTCTCGTCGTACTATGAGGAATATCGTCGCCTGGGTCGGTGTACAACGCGCCATCCTGACGACGAATCCTACGACTTCCTTGATCCGCGCTCGATCCTCGGGTAGCAAAGCTGACACCCTTAACGGCCTGCAAGAAGTCGCGGCGAGATCCGCGGCATTAAAGCACAACAGTTCTTTATTCCCGGATTTTCCACCCACTGCACTTTCCTCCTCGTCCTCTATGCCTGAGATGTCCTTTTTGTTCGGCTGACGCGTGTTTCGCTTTTTCGTCGTTTTCGTAGTTGAACGACAACTGAACTGAAAGAGAAACAGAAGGAGAATGGCGGTCTCCTCTTTACCAACGGTCCGCGAGCGTAAATAATAATTGCGCAAGGAGCGGAAGACCGACCTAATTTTGACTTAAAGCGAACGGGAAAAAGCATATTTTCATTTCATCCCTCTTGGGATAGATTCGTGCGGAAAGGGGGAGAGCGATATCACGCGCGCGCGCGCACGAGCGCGTCGGGGAATTCCCGGCGGAATTTTCGCGCGTAATTATTTTGCACTGCTACGTGACATTCTTGACTTTCGCCGCTTGCGCAGCAAGTCGTAAAAGGATGCCAGCTATAAATTAACTAGATTTTCAACGAAGCTCGCTGAATTCGCGCGAATCCACTTCGTCGTCGCTGGAAACGAGCGAAATGCGGGCGGCTCTCACCCGTCATCCGTGCGCCAGTTCGGAAGTTCCCCCGAAGCCATTCCCGCTCGTAGCTCAGCGTAGTTCTGTCAGGTGAAGCGGCACGTGGCTCCATGGCTGCGTTAATACCCGGCAAATTGAAACGAGTTGCGCGGGATGTCATCCTCTGCGTGCGAGTGCCGTAATGAGCCCCTACGAAACGAAGTGAAATCTATCGCACACCTGCGCTCTGAGAGCCAAGCGTATCGCGGATGCGCCATTATAAGCCGCACGTATCTCTCACAACGATCACTCGATCATTTCCAGACGCGCTCTGTTGGCTCGCGCTTACCAAGCGCGATCTCCGCCCCTCTGACCTCTGAAATCTATCACTACTAAGGCGTTATTAATTCCATTGCAGAGGCTGATCGCCGAACTCAACAAGGAACAGGAGGCTTTCATCGCCAGCAAGCAGACCGAGAAGGGCGAGGCTGTTGCACCGTGGGTCGGCGCGCCGAACGAGGACGCGCTGCGCGAGGAGTGCCTGTCCCTCTCAACCGTGAGTGAAACATTCGATCGACTTCATTCGTCAGTCGCGAGGAAAATTGCGCGTTTATCTTCCTACCGTCAGCAGGCCTCCTCTCGTCGACAACTGGCGGTCGAACGCGCGCGCGCTCTCGTGAAACGAAAGTAGTTGAACTAATTTTTACATTTATGCTCGCTCGAGTGTTTCAACGCCTAAACCTAAATGTTTGCGATGACGAAAGCGAAAGCCACCACCACGAGTGCAGTGTATCGAGTGACGATGCTATTGAGCTGTTGAGTAAACCGGGAGAGGGAAGATAGACGTTTTTATTAAATTTTAGTAGCTCTCTACGCGCAATTCGTCCTCTTGCGTGCCGCGCAAGAGGACGAATTGCGGACGAGAAGCTATTAAATGTTGACGCACAAAAGGTTCGCCATTGTAAGATGAGTTTACTGGCTGCGTGTCGCAAAGGCAGCGCCGGAGTGCGACACAATTTGCGTTTATTAACTGTTACGCGCCGCGCGACAGCTAACGTTAGCTGCGTTCCGTTGCTTTCTACGAGCTTTTTTCATGTTTTCCTATTCTGTGTTGGTTCGTTTAGCAGCCTCGCTGGCGCTTCGCGTCCGGCGGAAACCTAACCGGCCGAATGTCATTAACGGGAATATCGCGCGCGCACGCGGAAAATCGTGTTCTCTCTTTTGACGGCCTATTCCGCCGCTTTTGTCACGTAACGACCGCGCAATTTTCCAAGTGAACGTTATCCGTAACGTAACGGAACCGCTAATTGCGCGTTAGATCGAGTCACGAGGATATTCAAAGGGAGATATCCCACAATTCGAGCAATTTTCTCTTTTCCTTTTCACTAACATCACTGACTTGTTACACGAATTTCGTATGAACAATTATGCCCGATTAATACACGGAAATTTCTCAGCGAATATAAAATAAATGTATATCTACCGACTTCTTCGACGGGAAGCAATTTTCCTCGAGAATAATATATCCTTCGGAGAACTGCTCTCTCGATAGCGGCCGACTCGAGGACGGAATTTCCCTCTAGGAAGCTCCGGCTGTTTATTCGTCCTATCGGGTCTCTTCCCTCTGTTTATTCACGCATCGTCGCGGTAGATTAGCGTCGCGAATTTGGTGTATGGTTTAAACGGACCGACCGTACTAAACAGGGATCCTACGGGTTCTCGTGGATTTCAGGACCGGCGTAATTTTGTGAGAGCACCACCGCCAGGCGTGGAATTCGCCTGGGACTTCGAAGCAGTTCAGCCGATGGCACAGGCCACCCTCGCCCTGGATCCGAATCTCGAGGCCATGAGGTTCGAACTAGTGCCGAAGGTGTAAGTAAATCAAAATATATTCTGTCATAACGTAACGTACGAAGTGGTACCGTCGCGTTTTCCGTTCCATTTACGTCCATCCGCATATCGCGAGCGTTTCGGGAGTGCCAGCTTCTTCGTATGCTCGTGTCGCGCAGCTGCGCCGTTATTTTTCTTTTACGAATGAAGCCGTTCGCGTCGCGCGAGATATGAACTTTTATCTTATGATTGGCATGGTCATAATTATAACGTAATTACGGCGTAATTAAGGTCCGAATTATTAAGCGTCGTGGTAATTTGGCGCGTGTTGCGTTGCACATTGTACATTAAGATGAATAATTGAAGCGCGTTCGGCGCACAGAAAGGGCCGCGTCCCGTAAAGTTGCATTGTGAGCAGCACGTGATATGGTATGTAGCAGAATGATTTATAACGTTCGGTTATCAAATTATCGACACTTGACAAATGAAGTTTTATGATGATGAAGATGTAATGTAATCAACTGACTCTAGGCCAGGGGCTTTCAACGAACCGGGCCGTTCTCAATGTACGAATTTTATATCTCTGCGAAAGAACAAAATCAAGTCACCTCGTTTTCCGATCCGCGAAAATACAAACGCGTTTTCCGACCCGCGAAATTCCGCTTCGTGCAAATCTCATTCGATCCGCTAGAGCGCAAAAGTACCGGAGAAAAGATCGATATCGAGAGTTCATAACAGCCATGTGCTTGCGGAAGAACAATTTAAAATACGCAGCATATTGTATATTTGAGGCAATTTCTCATTATCGTGTGTTAAGTGATTAAAGCAATACAACCGCGTCTCTTTTACAAGGCCTCCATAGATGCAAATGTCAAGGAACTGCGTATCGCACAAAAATCGTAAAAATACTCGACGGCCGATTAAACGCAGTCGCGAAAGAAACGACGTTAATTAGCGTTCGTGACTCGGCTTAACCGAAACGCGTTGTATTCGTCGCTCTTCGCATCGCCAATCTGTCACGTTGGTCGATCAAGAAGACATTCATCGAATTCCACACTCCCTCGACAGTATATCCGAGGAGAACTTCTGGCGCAACTACTTCTACCGGGTGTCTTTGTTGCGCCAAGGCTACGAGCTGAACTCGATGGCCAGCCAGGCGGAAAGCAACCCCCCCAATCAAACCATCGCGAGCACCGACAGCATCGACCATACTCAAGGTAACTCGGCCTTGCCGATCTTCCCTTCTTCTGTTACGTAGAGGCTGCTTTCCGTAGTGCGGCACTCGCGGCATTCGCCACGTGAGAATTAGGTTCTCCAGTTCTCTGCTCAAGGAGGGTGCCCGTCGCTCGACGCGCTTCCTGTTTCTGTTAGTACTGATTCCGGCGCACGCAAGCTTCGTACAGAGCTACCGTTGAAGAGATGCCCCTGGTGTGTACGCGCGCACACGCGTGTGTGTGTGTGTGTGTGTGTGAATCGAAACCTAATCAATTTGTCATTGTACACCTAATCGAACGATATGTGCAAAGAAAGGGAGAGACAAACTTTCGAAATTACATTCGCCAACCACTGTCCATTTTATCTTTTGGTACACTGGCAGAGTCTGCCGAAATCCATTTCAGTTTTCGATTCTTTCTTTAATACATTTAAAAAATCCTTTCTTCGAGATCTTCTAAAGATCAAAGAAAAAATTTATTCTTGTTTCTTATACAGATTAAATTTTTCCTCGTAAGTAAATAAATAAATTAATCAATCTTTGACTTAATTTTTATCAGTATAGTGGATCAAAGATTAATATCGAGAGAGACGTAATCAAAGATTTCTAATTTTAAACGATAATAATACGCAATTTATTCTACTTTCGCTTTCGATTTGGACAAAAGTCCCGACGAGTCTCTCGACGGGTAAGACAGTAGTCGAACGGAATTAAAACTAAGGATTTCTATTTTTAGACAACAATTGACTCACTTTAATTTCACTCTCGATGCTCGACGTAGCAACGTGGAAAGCGTTTGTGTTGTCTCAACCTCGAATAACATTACGTCAGCCAGACTCCAATTGGAAAATTTCTCTCCCTCTCTCTCTCTCTCTCTCTCTCTCTCTGTTTTTCTTTTTACAGATCGAAAGTCGGAAAATTCCGATTGTTTGTGCGCGCCCGGGGCTTCTCCGCCTTTGACGGAACGCAGCGCGACGTCTCGCCTAGATAAAAACCCCCCGTCGTGGCGAATGCAAATCGCAAGACACGCGGGGATGAATATCGGCACGACCGGCGCGGCGAACGTCGCGCTGCGTTTACGCCTGATCTGCAATTCCGATTAACGTCCCACGGTGGACTTTTTGCATGGGAGTTTTGAGATAGCGTGTCCGTAGCGTGCGCTCTTTCTGTGCAAATGTCATGTCGGATGCTGGGAAACGGACGTATTGGCCGAAGAAGCCCGAGGCTTTAATTTAAAGTTCAAGTGGATGAAGGCGTGCGCGCGCGCGTTCTTTCAACGCTATCGGTGTATATATCTCCGTTATGAAGTTGAGCCTCGTCGTTATAGCCTCGCGATCGACTGACACACACATACACAACCCCCGATGACGTTGCTTGCGCTCACAAAACCGCATCCTTGAAAATTGAAGATATCGCAACGCGATATCAAACGCTTACGACATCGATCAAAATTAATCCGTCTATTCGTGATCGCGCGCGTATACGAATATCGCGTGTCGGAATTTAATAACCAGAGATATGCGCTCGTAAAAGCCATACGGCGGGGAGAAGAATTGAATCCGAGTTCAATTCGGAGGCGGAACTTAGTTAAACGGATTGAAAGCATAAGGTCGCCCAGACTGATATAACCCCCAATACACACCCATTTCGCACGAAACGCGGAATCACGTTCGCAGTCGGAATTATAGTATCAGGGAGAGAGCGCAGGAGTCATTCGCCTCGCGCGCGATTAAAACCCCTTCGCAGCCGCGCCGTGCATGTGTGCGCGCAAACAGCGCAGCATAACAATCAGCGTAGAACGAATTAATCGATGGAAGAAAACGCGAGTTGATGTACGATCTTCATTTTCTCCTCAGTCTCCCAAAGAACAAAGAGACTATTTATTTGTTTGGCTTTTCCTTTTGGTAAAATGAATTAGAGTTCTTTAATTTAATTAACACGCCCATGACAGATTAATATCGGGATTAAAATCGGGTAGAGGTAAATAAAAGATTTGTGGCTGTAAACGGTGACAATAATAATTTGAGTCGAGGGATGGATCGATCACGGCGGGATCACGACGGTGGCTAAATGCGAGCGTCGACGAACGCGAAGCCTTATCCTTCAAGCCCGGAGATTATTCCCTGAAACGGGGGGGATCTTCTGCGAAGGCTCTCGCTGCTGGCTCTCTCCCTGTCTCGGTCTCTATAGCATTCCTCGCACGCAGAGAGCACTGTCTCCGAGCGTTGAACCGACGGCCTCCCGTCGCTATTTCTCCTTCGCAACCGAACACAGGAGATCCGATTTCGCCCCAGTTGCAATGTATCGCGAGAAATTGAATCTATCGAGAGGAAAATGATAGGAAACTCGATAATACCCGGTCGAAGAATACCGAATATCCCGAATATTTGCCACCGATGAAAGGACCTTCGCGTATTCCTCCCGTGATTCATGTGCAACGCTCTGCTAGGATGTCTCGAAAGACGTCTTTTTTCAAGCGTCATCTCCGCGTTACCTCGAGACTTGGACACCTTGACTAACGATGACTTTCGTCGAAGCACCGCTGATATATGCCGGTATAAATCTCTTATATTTAATTACGTAGTAAACACACAAGAAACCACATGATTTCGCGCTCGTCATCGGGGAGATTTTATACGCACGGCCGAATTAATTAAAAATCGCTCAAAGTCGATCAAAGATCGTGGTGCGCATTAAACCGCGCCGTTGGAACTGGCGCGCGATCGACTTCGACTTCGAACGCGACTTCTCGGCGCGCCTTCCTTCACGATTACCGATCGTTTGCGTACGAGATCAGATTTCAGTAGATCTAGCGCTAAAATTAGACACATGCCGATACACACGAGTATCACCACCACTTACGCACTCACGTATCCGTCACTGCTACCTTTTACTCCACATATAACCACCCACTCACATATACACACATAGACGTACACGACACTCCTACCCGTCTAGTTTAGCCGTCAGTGTTGTCTTGCAAACAGTTCAAATGACCACTGGCCAGGGCACCACCGGCGCCACGACGACGAGCAGTAACAGCACACTGGCGGATTCGCCAGGTCACGAATTCGTGTCCGATACCATGAGGGTCTCGGACACAGATCTCGAGGAGGTCCGAGAAGGGATGAAAAAGCTGGGGATGCAGCCGCCGAAAGGTCAGTGATGAAATCGTTGGTCGTCGTTAACTCTCCCTCCCGCCTTTTCCCCGACCTTACGCACGCGTGACGCGAGTGATCCCACGGCCGTGTCCGACTCGCAGGTACTTCTCGTAGATTCTCACCTCACGATACCCTCGTTGAAAGTAACTCTCTTTCTCTCTCTCTCTCTCTCTCTCTCTCGTCTACGGATGAGGGAAAGTCCGAAGAGAGCCCGGAGTGTTGGTGAGACCGAGAACATATATCGCGGATATCGCAGTAGAGTGTAACTTTGGGACCGGGGAGAGAGCACTTGGCGCCGAGTATAAGTGCGAAGCTGTTTACGGCACTCGCGAGATTTCCCTTGTAAATGGGAAAGCTCGGGCATCGAGTCGTCCGGCTAGACACAATTGTAGGAAACATCCGACTCTCACGTCCTCTGATCCCCGCCACGATCCCGCCACGAGTTAGTTACGACCACCAACGAGGTTTTAACGCTTACGTTAATGAGAAAGCGCCGTTTCTGCATTCGTCGGCGATTAACGGATGGTACGAAGTACGATCGGATTCGAGCGGAGTATTCGCGCTTGAGAAATCGCATTTTCATCTGCCGTACGTCTTTGACGTGTCTCGTTAACGACGATCCTAAATTGGACGTGACGAACTTAATTAGCGGATACGCGAGAGCAGGAGAAGTCGCTCGTTACACGACGACGCAACGAATGCGATCCTTCGGATCGCGCGTCGTTAGCCGACTCGCCTTCCGACGGATCGCGGAATTCATTATTGCTGAGAAATGGCAGTTCTTGGGGAGTATTTCTTGCTGGGCGTTACCATTCGTTGATCCCCGCCGACGAAACGGGAACGGGTCACCAAGATCGATGCGAGAGCTCGATCTGTGCCACGACATGGTCCAAGAGTACTCTCCTCGTGAGTATGAAATTAATGCCATCGTGAGAGCCTGACCTTAATCTCTCGATGTTACACCTTGACCACGCTATATAGTGTGTTGCGCGTAGTCGTCTCTCTGTGTTGATAAACTTCCCCTCCCGGAAAAATCTTCCTGTGAGCCTGCGCTTAAACCTTAGAGATTGCTTGTTTCCCGAATTCTGAATGCTGCAAGACGACCCGATGCGCGTGGTCGCTCCCCCTTCTACCCTCTTAGTCCGCCGTATTGTAGTCCTCCCGTGATGCTGTTGGTTTTTGATGTTGAACGTTTCGCTGCTCTCACCTCTCTCTCTTTCTCTCTCTCTCTCTCTCTCTCTCTCTCTCACTGTTTTTCTCTTTCTCTCTTTATATGGCGCTCTGACTAAACGACCGCTTTTCATTCTATTTTGTCAACAGCCTAAAAGAAGAGGAGAGTGCCCCCCAATGCCATTATCCAAAGCACACCCTCTCAGAGATATACATGCTTCCCACCCTCGGAAATTAACGATTTTGGTTCTCCCCCTCCTGCTCCTTTCCCTCGTCCTTTCTCTTTCTCACCTCTCGTTCTCTTTCTCTTTCTTCCTCACCCTTCGTCTCCCGTTTTCCCCCTTTCTTCCTTTTCATTCTTTCATTTTTCGTTTCCGTCACGTCTGATCGCGGAACCGCCCACGGCACGAGTGTTCCCGCGAGACGAACGATATTTTTCTTCCTCCGCGGCTGTCCGTTCCGTTTCCGACCGGCCGGCAACCGATGCGATTCCGTACCAGTCGCAAGGATTAAGCGCCTCGATTAAACGCCGTGTCAGGCCCGAATCGACGAACGTCCGACGAGGAAGTGAATCGGCACGCTAAAGCCGTGGAACGTGGCCTCCTCGCACTCTGATCTTGGAACACTAGGCTAAGCACAGGCAGTCCGTAGCCCAAGGCTGTTCCGAGAGCAACGCGATCGTCGCAATTAGACGACGGGGAACCGAGACGGTCGTGAAAACGAATCTAATCAGTCTAATAGAGATAAGTTTCGGCGTAAACTAAGTTTTAAGTTTCTTTTCCTCCTTTTTTCCCCGTATAGTTAAATAACCCATACGTGGAGGGTGCGTCTCAAGGGTGCCGTTTTTATTTTAAATCTCATCTATCTTTTACGTGCCTCCAAGGCATTTTTATATTCCAATAAAATATTTTTATTTTTTTTCTTTTCTTTTATTAACGAACAGTACGTCGTCGTGTCCGGCGACGACGTTTACTATTGGTTTTTGGGGAAAAATTGCGTATTTTCGTTGCGATTTCTTCCCAATTCAGGTATCCGCGTGTCGCGGTCGCATTGACGGCCCATCGAGGATACGGTTAACAGGTCAGCGTGCGATAGGACAAGCCTGTAATCAGCACGCAGCCGTTGCAGCGTGTATCAATGCCGGAGGGGGGAAGGGGTGTATGGGTGAGTCATCTGAATGGTTTAACAAGCCGAGAGGGTGGATACGCATAGAGAGAGAGAGAGAGAGCGAGGGGGGGGAGGGAAAGAAAGAGAGGAGCAATGCCGTCTGATTGCACCGGTGAACACCATTATTGTTATAACTGTCATCGATGTTGCCGCTAGTTAGTTGTCGTTAATCGTTATCGCTTAAATCGCGACGATAAGCTCGGGCAGAAATCGACGCGAGCTCGATCGACGGTCACCGCGAAAAGGACGATATGAGGAATTGTGAGAAAACTGGCATAGCTAAGTGAAAAGAAGAAGGAAACGAAGCGAGGACCGCAAGAGCCGCAAGAAAAGGACTCGGCAGATCGGAAAGGGAGATGTATTATCGAGCGCGGTATATATTCTTCGAAAAATCTTCATTCCGACCATCTCAAGCATGAAATAATGTCTCTGCGTTTCGGATGTTTGCGTCGGACGACTTGTATCTGAGGTTTTGCCCGGCTCGGCCTGGACTGGTCCATGCCCGGGACACCTCGTGCTCGCTGAATCGCGAAATTCAAAGAACGAAAATGAGACGCGACGGGAAGAAAATGAGATATAAGGAAATCCGCAAAAGGTCGTCGCGTCGAAACGTTACACGCCTGCGTGCACGCGTCCGTGCATACGCGAGCGTACCAAATAACGTAGATATGGTAGCAATAAAAGGGAGGATGTGCGAGAGAACGAGCAAAACGAAATAGCTAAACGCGGAGCGAAGCAGAAAAAGAAAGAAAATACTCGGCCACACATGTCTGCATGTCTGACCGCTCAATCTTTGTCTCTCTGCGTTAAATTCAGTCAGACTAGCCTTTCTCTCGTTCTCTTTCTCTCTTCTCGACTCTCTCTCTTCCCTCCTTTCTCTCTCTCTCTCTCTCTCTCTCTCTCTCTCTCTCTCTCTCTCTCTCTCTCTCTCTCTCTCTGTCGTTTTTTCTCTCTGTGTTTCTTTAAGAAGACGTATCATTAACACAGCAGCAATCGAACACGCTTTTTAAAAAAGAAAAAAAAAGAAAAGGACGAAAACGGGGAGAGTCGGAAAGTAACGCAATCACACCGATGAGAATGCGAGATCACGTTATACGTGTCGCACTTAATCATAGGTGTACCTTCGTAAGCGATTAATTAAATGAAGATCTAAGAGGAAACAAAAAGAGAAATATATGTATAAATATATATACGCTATTACTAAATAAAATATAAAATACAGTAGCGCGCATGTTACACGCAAATCCGCGATCTTTTCCCCCCGAAGCTCCGTCTCTCGCATGGACGTCCCTTTTGTACAAATAATTAGGCTTCTACAGGGGGCTCGGAGGAAATCTGTTTTGTTTTTCTCTGCCCTTTCTTTCTCGATGAAAGGGAGAAACACGGAGGCCCGGGGAAGACAAATCCTTTCTCGGTGAATACAGCTCGATGGTCCCTTGTAAATTCGTTTTCCTCGAGTCTCGTTTCCGGTCTAATTCGCGGTGCAGAGCCGCCGGAAGAGACGGAAGATCCTGATAATTCGTACGAGACGATCTTGTGAGCGCGAGTTATCCGGAGGAGGAGGAAGCGATCGGATTTTCGCGCGCCGTTGTAAATTCGTTGAATGACAATACGTGTATTTAATATGGGAATGAGCAGTAACTCTGCTCGAGCCCGTCGCTCTCTCTCTCTCTCACACTCTCTCTCTCTCTCTCTCTCTCTCTCTCTCTCTCTCTTTCTCTCTCTCTCTCTCTCCCCTCTCTTCCATGAATGTAATTGTAGCGATTTTCTTCCGATATAAAGCGGCTGGCCGGGGATGCGATCCCGTTTACACGCCCGTCCACCGGGAAAGCGAAGAGGCGGGGGAATAAATTAATTACACGAGTTTTCCACGCGGACAGCCGTTGGTCGGAGAAACAGTAAACGAACGCACGATTTGTGCGCGTCGATCGAGGATTTACGCGCGTCCAGGGTGTCGCTCGCGCTTCCGCAGGAGAAATGCGACTGGCTGATGCGGACGGACGGACATATTTCCGCGAGAGACGGATATATTTCCGGGAAAATATAACTGCGGAACGTGAAGTCGCGCATTTCTATACGAATGATCGAAACGTCGTTTCGTTTCAAAAAGAGAGAGAGCTATTAGGGGAGGAAACATTAGCGGAGCATTGAACGCCGATCGTTAATCGATCGCTTCGGTGATCGTGGCGATTCCGCGAGAACATCCACGCGCGAATTTCGTTCGGTTTTCGTTTGCATATGCATTCCTGCGATGGCATTTAACTAATACGTACGTGGTGTGGTTCGATTTGATTTCCCGGCTGAGAGGTCTCGCTTGCGTCTCATTCGCGTGACAGGATAGACGATCGGGAATACTCTCCCAGGTGCATTCCTCGCATGTAGCTCGACTCACGATTCTCCGTGCCGCGTCCGCGACTTTTTCATCTTTATATTTGTATCGCGGGAAAAGAGTCGAGAGTGACGGGAGATAAAAATAAAAAACTCGCGAGCGCAGTGTCTGAGATTATCGTGAGGTGATGATGAATGGTCAGTACGCGAACCTAATTCTCTCTTCTCCGCCTCGTACATTACGTTTGCATTTCTCCCTCCCTCTCTCTCTCTCTCTCTCCCTCTCTCTCTCTCTCTCTCTCTCTCTTTCTCTGTCTTTCTCTCTCTCTCTCTCTCTCTCTCTCTCTCGCTCTCTCTCGAGGTGTTTCTCTCCTTCGATTTTATACGATATACGGTCTCATCCGGAGGAGATGTATGTACATACACACACGTATTCTCACGAGCGCGCATGAAAATATTGGATTATCCGTTGTCGCGCGCTACCGAGGCATTCCGATAAAACGTGACAACTGAATTATGGCCTTCAGTTCTCCCGGTGCGCGGACATCTCGCCTACCGCTGAGGTCCACGGACTTCAGTTTTTCCGCGTCAGGGAACATCGAATATCGCTCTGCCCGGCTCGACGCAGGGCGTGCACGTCAAGCACAGTGCCCGCCGATGAACGTGTATGTGGTAGTGTGTGCGAATGTTGCGAACGGCAGTATTTTCGTTTCTCAGTATTTCGCCCCTTGCGTGAATCCGCGAAGAGAGACGCGCCGACGAGCGCAGCAAGGACTGTAAAGTGGCTGCGTTGAAGCCGCGTCCGAGGTGTTGCAATTGTTTCGCCAGGGACGAGGACAAAGACGGGGGGATGCGACCAGGGGACTGCACCATAAAAGTATTATTTAAGGATTTAGCGTTTTTTAGGGGCCGCGTTTGACGGAAGTCCGCTGCTGTAAACTTATTCTCTCGCACGTGAAACGCGTGCACGTGCTAGCGTTAGATAATTTCGCGCTTGAATGATGAACGATTTAGCGCGGCGGTGTCCAAAACAGCGTGTGTATGTATGTGTGTATATGAGTATGTGCGCGCGCGTGTGTGTATGTGGGTGCTCGGTCTCGCGTGATGCGACCGCAATAAAAATCTCGCATGGGATTTTATCGAGCGAGCGATACATCGTAAAAAAAAATTGCAATCTAACTTCTCCTTGTTACAGAAAAGCTTTCAAAATAATTGCTTGCTCTTTCATTCGGCGCGCGTTGTACGTGTGTACGAATGTACTGTGTGTAAAATATCGATTATTTTACCGTATACACACATACATATATATATACGTGTGTCTTTGTGTGTGTGTGTGTGTGTGTGTGTGTGTGTGTGTGTGTGTGTGTGTGTGTGTGTGTGTGTATGTGTGTGTGTTTACGTATGTATATATATACATATGAACGTTTCGTATATTAGCCACAACGACACTTTGGGCACCGCTGGTTTAGCGCGACGAGTATTACTCTCACGGCCGCGTCGGTCCAATAATTGCATCTCTCTGAGCGTTTAAGTCGCGATTAGATCCTGAGTAATTGCTTTTGTAATCGCGAAACAGTCACTTTTGTAACAAAGTACGTTAAGCGAGACGCAATTAGCTGCTAGCTACTCCTTCCGCCGCCGTGTCGCTTTAACTTTCAGGGAACTGCGTTGTAATCGGCGATCATGTGATAAAGTAATATCTCGTCGTCGTCATCGTCGTCATGATAGTTGTTCGCGATATAAGCGTGAATAGGTACGAAGGAAGAGCGCGCGATCGCGATCACGATTCTCTTGATAATAATCGCACGTAACATCTCGTTCTCTCAGGCCAACTAACATATCCTTGTCCGAAGTCGGGTTTAACGAAGCGAATTCAAAGCGGCCACTTTCGAAGCAAAGGGAACGTCCCTCTCGCTTCCGTTTCGCGTTTTCTTTCTCTCTCTCTCTCTCTCTCTTTCTTTCTGTTTCTCTCTTTCTCTATCTATCTCTATTTCTCTTTCCACTCTAATTTCTCCATTCCTGCAATTTGAGTTTTACCTCTCTCTCAAACCTACACCCTTACACTTAGAGACAATTTCATACATTTTACGCGCGTGCACACACACACACACACACACACACATACAGGTACAGAAATACACTTGTTATTCCCGCGTACGAGGGAACTACTCGTACTCACCGCGGAAATACAAACAGCAACACAAACACACGACAGACACACAAGACCAGTGTGTGGCCCTCTCTGCAAAATAGCTACAACGCTGCTTGTGCCTCTCCGCAGAAGAAGATTGGGAACGTGAATTGGAGGCCGAGCTAAAGGATTACGAGGTTGTAACCGGCAGTAGCAGTAATGGTCAGGAAAGGAGCATCGCGTCCACGAGGGACGTCACGGCCAGTGATAACGATTGGGAGAAGCAGATCGACGAGCTGCTCGCCAACGAGGACGACGAGGACCTCAAGTGAGCCGAGGAGATCCTCTTCGTGACTGGTTAAAGGATCTCGTCGCTTCAATTGAGATCTCGCGCGCGCGATTCGACGATGCGAATTCTCGTTTGCGTGAGAGTTAGCACAGCAGGGGCTTGCGAGTATTAGCGAGCCTGTTTGTTTTGTATACCTGTTGTTGCTCTCTTTCTCCATCTACCTGTCTCTCTCTCTCTCTCTCTCTCTCTCTCTCTCTCTCTCTCTCTCTCTCTCTCTCTCTTTCTTTTCTCCTCCGTACTCTCTTTCTCTCACCGACTGTCGTGGTGATGTGAAAGAAGGAAGGAAAAGAGAGAGAGAGAGAGAGAGAGAGAGAGAGAAAGAGAGAGAAACTTTACGGGAAAAGCGATGCTCGATGAGGGAATTGCATCGTCGTTCAATTTATCATTTCTCCGTGCAGGGAAGGTCGAGATTCGACGAATTTTGGATTTCGAAGCTACGTTCCTCCGCGCGCGGTATACGCTCTAAAGAAAGCTCTATTTCGTACATAGCTTTGACACGATATTTCCTTTTATACGATAAAACGAGATAATAAATAAATTAACGGTCGTGAAGCGACCCTCGGGAAAAATCGCGATGGATCTTGAGCAGAATTACGTTCTCCGTTAGTCACGCTTAGTGAGAGCGGTGAATTTTCCCGTGGAATTCGCGCGGCTCCATCTTTTCTGCCGGTTCATCGCGCCCTTCGCGGGTCAGCCGTCGTACCCGTGCCGTTTATGTGCAAACGTGCGAACACGTTTGCAAATCGACAAGTCACGTCGACATTCACAAGAGGATTCTCTCGAGCGGCTTGAGGTTCGTCCGAAAGCTCTCGCGTCTCCTTCGCATCGATCGCGCGATCATGCGTGTGTGCTTCGATGAAACGCATTATCCGCACGTCCTTTCGTGAAGCAAATTGGCGGTGGTCACGGGGAAAAATCCCTCGGAAGAGGATTCTTCCTCCCGTCTGGATCCATCGCTGATCGCCTGACGGAAGAGAAAGACACGGAGGAGACAATGCGAAATTCTTTGAGGATCGGCTCGTCCTTGCGGTACAAGAACGTCGTCGAGAGACAGACGAAGGAGAACGCGAGAATGCGAATTCGCAAGGGAAACGCAGCAAGGACTCTCGATGCACACGGGAACTTCATGACGACGACGTTGTCGGGAATCGCGTTTGTATAAAGGCTCAAATGGGAGTGAGAGGGAGAGATGATCGAGTCGGTCTCTCCATAATTTCTCCGTAGTTTCCTTGTTATCTCCAATTTGTTTCCGAAACAACAGCACCTGCCGCGCGATCCTCGAGTGCGACGAAGAGAGAGACCGCTTTTCCGCAGTTTGGAGATGGAATTAAAAAACTCGGTACTACTACGATATATTCGTGTGGCCATGCGGCAACGGTAATTCGTGTTTCCACCTCTAAATTACGGAATGACGTCACTCGTTCCAGTTTTAGGATTGGACGATTGACACACACATGTATACACACATACACGCGGACGGGTATATGAATTAATTAATACTGCGCATTGCACGTCAATTATTGAATGTTCTCGTCCGAGAACATTATAATGTCAGTGGTAGCGGTATATAAACATCTTCAAAATTATGTGATATTAAATTAATTAGTTCGGTGATCGGACGCGATCGATTTACACGGTGAACGCGCATGCTGGATCGCTCGCTCTTCGTCGCGATTGAGGAATCGCCGGTTCTTTAAGACAAATTACACTGCCGTGTGTCGAAGGACACCATTTCTCGCGCGCGAATCGACAATATTTTACGGTCTTCGCAGTGGCCGTACACTTTATGCATTTTATCGGTAATCTATTATCGAATCCATCGCAATTTTCAACGCAATCTACAAGACGAATGCGACCCTCACGAGTACAGTGTCCGATTTTTAATGTTGGGATATGCAAATACGCCACCAATCTTTTTTCTCCCTCTCTTCCTTTTCTTTTAAGCCGACAGCTTGTCACCGCAACGACATTATTGATCATCAGTTATTATCGTCGATCTGTTATAATTTATCGAACGGCATGCCAAAGATAATGAAGCGAGAAAACCGATTCATGGCCGCACAGCTATAGCATTTTGAATTGACGCGCTCATCGCGACTTCGCGCGAAATATACGATTCGACGAAAGCGAGAGAGGACGTTAGACATCAACGATACATCGTTTTAGCGTGTAACGTTTCCGAAACTTGTAGATAAAAGACGACGTGATGAGATTATCGGCGATGACGATGATGATGTTGAGAGAAAGATGCATCGTTTCTAAGTTTGTTGACTTTGTCGATCGTGGGAGTGTTCCGTTGACGCATTGTTTGTATTGTGTCAAAAGAATTACGCTGTGAAAGTGTGACATGTTTGCGTTGTCTGTACGGACGAAATGTCCGAAATAAATAATTGCGTTGAGATGAAAAAGGGAAGGAAACCCCCTCTGATACGTACGCTAAATATCACACTTCACACATATAACCGCAATAAAAATTTGATGGGAATGGAATTGTCGAATCGTTAATTACACGCACGCACGCACATACGCACGTCCCACGGGATCGCGCGGCGCCACATTTTGTTGACGCGATGATTTCCTCTGTACGACAAATACCGTCCAATTGTCCTCTGCCACGGGAAGAAACAGGAAAAGAAACCAGCTGACTCGCGGGTGGAAAGAGAAGTTCTTGCGACAATAAAATATCGCGCTACGCGAGACCGCCGTGCCTGAAAACAACTCCAATCGACACAACAGAATGTTGCAGAATTATAGATGAAAACAATTGTGGCCGATGGAAATCGCGAGACGCTCTCAATTCGTCTCGATAAGCGCATTTTCTCCGATCAATCGTTCCCAGGACGTTTAGCTTTTCATCTGGTGAGCTATGTTGCGATTATTTCCTCATTTAAACACGACTATTGCCATATTACGTTAGACATTGACCACGATCGTTCTTTGAATGGACAATAAACGAACAGCATAGACGAACGCGCGGTCGCGTGCCGAGAGAAACGGTCGTTGTTTCACGTCTCTACGTCGATCCGTTTTGAAGTTATAGCTCCGCGAAGTTTCATCATGTTCGGCGCATCTGACTCCACGCGCGAATGAGTTGAATGGCCGCCGCGTAAACATCGATTTATCGACATCGCGTGACTACGCGAATGGGGGCCCGTATACTATCACGTTTGTACATTCCACATCCGAATTCCTTCACGTAACGCGTACGGCACGCGGCCTTGCCCCCACTTCCACTCCTTCCCCCACCATCGTTTCCACTCCTATTCCCACGCTTCGACTGGCCGCGGACCACGTGGGCGGCCTGTCACGTGGAGACAGCGAACACGTGCTCGCTACTTCGAGCTCCAGCAGGCGGCATCGCTTGCGCCGAGTCCGCCACATGGGAGGAGGTTATGAACGAGAACGTGTGAACGAGTAGAGACGTGAAACTGGTGGATCTACGACGCATCGGATTGTGAATTAGTGTGGATTCTATCGAATAATTTCGATTGCCGAGACAGTAACTCGCGAAGTGAAAAGCTGGGGCGATTGGTTTATGTTGCATAGGATTCATAAATCTACGTTTATCAAGAGATGTTTCCGCTTTGTCGGTCGATCAAGTCATCATCTATAATTCTGAGATCACCCGTATCGACACTCTGAATAACTCTGTTAGAAATAATTTAAACGGTAGCGTCGCCGAAATTGTCGAGAAGCATACGATATCGAGTTTTTCCGTGCAGACAAACTAATCTCGAATCGTAAGCCGCGGGGCCGAGTCTTTTGTGTATGCGAACGTGGCGATAATGAAATTTGAAGCATGAGGATACATCGAGCTCATGATCGTAATGCCGATTGTGATAGGACGAAAAGCGCGGTAAAGTGAAGAAACGTCGGATCGAAAGCGAATGGCCGCGGGGACGATATCCCCACGGCTATCCAGAGCGAGCGATCGGAATAAACGGGGGCTGGATTTACGGTGGGTGTCAAAGCGACGATGTGATACGGAGAATGTAGTACACCTATATATATACTTGATTGATGTTCTCGTGCTTCGTTATCGTTACATCTGACCTTCTCCGTAATGACTTCCGACGGGACATCCTGCCACGCAGACAAATGCCATATTTTTATCATATTTTTACCGTGCGTTCACGGCAATAGACGTGTAATTGTCTGATCCGCTTTAGCGTATGAAAACGACATCGGACAGATGCACTGGCTAAACGCGCGCTAAAAGTAAGCTTCTCCCCACGATCGCGGGAATTATCGACAAGAGTAACGATTGTTATGAAACAAGAATGAACCTCGATTTCACGAAGACTCCGGTTTTACAAGTTCCCGCGAAGACGATGGAGACGAAAAAATCCCTGGACTGTGATCTGTCGCCCACCCTGAATCCCGACCTGAGAGTAAAGAAAGGCGAAGAACTGCAGGAACGAGAGCGAAATCGTTGCGTTTTCTCCGTTGAAAGATGTTCGTATTTTGCGTGCGCCGCTACATCGAGTTCGGATTTTTCGGTCAATTTACATATACCGTGACTTTTCTACCTCTCTTTTCGAGTAGCCACCCGAAGAACATTAGAAACTAAAAAACAGAAGAGAAAAAAGAAACTGGAAGAAGCAATGCGACTATGCGACGAGACCTCCCGGGAGAAATCGCTACGTGCGACCTATAAAATACATATATATTGTCGATACTCCTCTATACGCGCGGATCCTTGAAAATGCTGCTTCATCCGCGTTCACCCTCCGCCCCCTCCTCCGCCCTCCGAATACTCATTGTAAAGTTTCCATCCGCGTTAGTCGATAGGCCAAGTCTTGTAAGATTTTAATTAAGGAGGCACAATTCACACACACACACACACACACACACACACACACACACACACACACACACACACACACACACACACACACACACACACACACACACCCAGGCCTAAAGTCTGCCGAGGTAATATAAACAGGCGATAATCGCATTTATCCGTTCCTCATTATGTTATTGTTACATGCGCGGCTCATGCCGAATTTCTCCGTCATTCTCGAGCAGGAAACAAATAAGAAAGACAACAGGAAGAAACGCGAAGGAAGATGTCCTTCAATATTGTGTATAAAGTAATAAATCGCGAAAGAGATTCCTCCTCCTGCTCTCCTTTCCCCTGCCCCTCCCTACGAGAAACTCTTCGGGCGCATCGTCGAGAAGACAAAGAGACACGTCTTCTCTTCAGTCGCGAAGTGAGATTAGAGAGAAGGAGAAATAAAATACACACGCGTTAGAATTTTCGCAACGCGCGAGCACGTTCCACTTTACCGCGTGAGCGACAAAGATAAACGTGACGGCCGGAAACAGCAAAAGAAAGAAAAAATTGAGATGTACTTCGGCAGAATAACAAAATGAACTCTGTGAATTAACTGTGTAATAAAGCTATCCTACGGTACTGTGCATTCACTCATAAAGAAAAAAATGAACATACACCCGATATCTATATATATATATACATATATATGTATACACGTATACATATGGACAAATATATATAAATATATATGTATATGTTGTTGACTCCATTGAAAGTATGATAATATATTATGAATATTAATGAGAATATAATGATACAAGAAAACTGAGGAAATTATTAATGTAATTGGGAGAATGTAACAATAAAAATCGTAAGAAATAAAATGCGAAGCGAGAAGATGTATTCCTTCTAGGACATTAATATTTCTTTATCCGCATATTGTGCTAGTTATTCCCTTTTGAACGAAATATATATGTTCGTAGAAAGTAGAGGAATATATAGTACATACACATATATATCGCTTAACATCAGTAATATAAATTGATTTACCACAGAAATATTTCATTTTCATCTCGTGCGCGCGTAGAGAGATGGACATGAGTGTAACAGTCTTGGCATTATTATTAAAATAAATTTTTATTACACATCATTTGTACCAATATTTACAGATCTCGAAAAAATGTATGTACATCAGTTTACACTTCGATTTCTCGCATTCCATTGAGTTGAATTTTTCACGTTCGTGAGATTTATTGATATTGCCCACTGCCTCGAATAAAGAGTATTCGTCAGTATATGATAATAATATAACAATGATATAATAATAGTAATAATAATAATAAATTATTAAGTATATAAAATGATCAACTGGAATGCTTGGTCGAGTAGTAGAGGAAGCTGTGATTTGGCATATACAGCATCGTGATGGAAATCAAATACGATATAGTATACAGTCGATACGTACATAAGTCAGTCTAACGACGAAATATACGTATAAGTTATCATTTTACAAAACACTACATGCCGAGTATAAAAAGCATCGAGACGCTCCAAGCATCCAGGATAATAATCGCACGATTTAACTTCTATTACGTATACAGCGGATTCACTTCCGAGTATTATCTTTTTCTTCCCCCTTTCCCTCCTCCTCTCTAATTGAAATACATAATCTTAATCGCTTATATTCTAATTCTCAAACTATATCTCTCTCACATACTACTGACGTGTCTCCTCTGATCATTCGTTTCGTAATAAATAGCGAGGGAAGGAGCATTAAAATCATTATCTTAACATTACACGTCCACGAGAGTCAACCTCAAAGTTCTGTGAGCCCAGTAGAATGAATTATAATGTTAGCGAGTTTTGATATTAATAATGTAATCGTACTGTCAAGATTCGTGCTTCAGGATTACTTTCAGATCATCCGGCAATACATGCGTGATGTCATCTATTCTTTCCTTCAATCTTTCCCTTACAGAGTTATCGATCGGCACGTCATCGATGCAGCTCTTCTCCAGTTTCTGTCGGATTCTTAGAATCATGTCGACCACCTCCACTTCCTGCTTTCCTTGCACCCATGTTTTCAGATCCTATTCATTGTAAATTATCATATTGATCAATACTCGTGGTCGTTGACATGAATATTTCAGAAAATGTAAATATCAGCAAATTCAGTTATCGCGTACCGCCTGCGACAATTTCTCCAGTTGTTTGACCTGCAACTGCTGGCTCAACTCCGTGTATCTGGCGTGGAACCAACCGGAAAAGTTGGGCGATCGAAAGAATCGTTTGTACAATCCCATCCAGTCTCCCTTGATGCCTGTGGTCAACTGGGGACCGGAGCTACTTAAGCTAGCTAGGAAGTCGTCTGGATTGAACATTTGCGGTGTAGGAGTTGCCTGCAATAGGAAGCATCTGATCGTACACCACACGCGAACGACTTTCCCTATATAATTATTAAGTTAGCATCGATCAACTCACCTTGAAAGGCGATATGTTCTTCTGCAACGGCATGAGAGTCGCGATGTACCTTTCGAGCGGGATCATGAAGCTTTCTGTCAGTTCGATTAAGTGACGTTTCAAGAGCGCAGTCTGCACTTCGCCCGGCCGTTTCGTTTGTACGCCTCTGAACAGCTTCTTCAGGATGGTCTTGTCTTTCTGCAGGAACGGCTTGTATTGAGTGTAGACGCCGGGTTTTGAGTCCAGCACCTTGAGATTCTCGGACCTCTTGATCTTGTATCTCTGATCTGCCGACGGAATGCCATATCCTCAACACACCACTTGCCGATGAGTGTCATAGAACTTACCGCTGTTGCTGCCATTGCTTATGCGGATGATGTGCGGCCAATGTTGTAGAGTCTTGGCGAAGAATGGATTGGTCACACCTAAGATCACAGCGGGTGGCGCCGGAGAATCTGTGGTGTACTCCTTGAATTCCGAATCGTGTATAGTGAAGTATGGCCGATGATCAGAGCAGTATTTCAACGGCGCGATCGTGCTAAAATGTGTTTCCCTCGGTTATTACATCGTGGCTACATGCGAAAGTACTCGCAAATATGTCGCCGCTTACGCTATGAGTGCATGAACCATCTCGGAACATGTAGTAGGCGAGCCTGCCATCACGACGATCGGCTCGCTGAGAAGTACCAACTCCCATAATAAATGTACGTAACTAACAACACTGGCTAAACTACGGAACATATCTCCCTCATGGGCTGACGTCAACATCAATCTTCGCGTCGCATGTACGTTCGGTGCATGTTCCATGGCAGCGATCGATGGGATAGCGGCTTTGTAATTTTGATTCGGGATGTAAGTCTGAAACGAAACGGTTTTGTGAAATAATCTAATTGCAAAAAACCGTTTGAATCGCCAAATGAATGTTAGATCAGTCACGGAGTTCGGCTCGATTTTCTGCTCCTTTTGACGGTAACCTTAATCTTGAGGCTTATTATTTACTTGACGAATAATCGCTTTCCATTAAATTTCCAACATAATCAAGCTTGACTCAAAAAACGAACCGACCATTTTCACCGATATCACATAACGGCTTCGTTATTTTTCACAATTTCTCACCTGAAATAATACACCAATAAGAGGTAAATGAACTATCTGGCCTGGAATCGGGGGAGGCCACTGATCGATCTCACGCACCACGGCTTCCATGAGCGCATTTCCAGTCTCGAAGAACTCGGGAGCAATTAAAGCGCACAATTCGCCGAACAAATTAACAAATGGCAGTTTTGTAATTATAATAACACTCTGGAAGAACAAGAAAATTTTCAATCATTCGTAATAAATTGGACGAAAGCTAGTCCAATTTATGCATCGGTGACAATATGAACCTTTTGAAAATATCCTCTTGGCAAAGACTTATCCTTCACCTGTCGAAAATACACATATCCCCAATAATAATCTCTATCAGTTTGTAGAAAAGAGGGCGACTTCCTGTCATATTCCTTGAGAGCACTGGTTTCTTGCACCATTTTGCTGCTCTGCCTTATTCTTACATGATACTGAGTATCTCCCATGCAACCAGAATTAGAATCCGGGAAAGCTAAGTAACAAACATTGGATCTTTCTTGCTCTGATAATTTAATATGAGTTGGATAAATTGCCTGTAGGACAAAAATAGTGAAAAAATTAAATAAAAGGCAGAAACATATCTAAGCATATTTTTTTCTAGCATAATTAGATACTAGACAAATAATAATAAAATAATAATAAAATAATAATAAAATCATCTTTCTAAGAACATAAGGTAATAGTAAATAAGCATAATACCTCTATAGCTTGGCCTAATTCGAGATCAAAAGTAACAATGCATATACAATGCACCCAATTATTAAAACGTTCCCATTTTGTGTATGTCGCTTCTTCTTTAGTGTTTTCATTATCCCACTCTTTACTTGTAGAGCAAGAAGGAATTGACATTGTTCTCTTCTACTTAACTTACTGATGTAGTCACCAGCACATATACATAAATAGGATACATGTGTCATTTGTCATTGCACAGCATGATTCTCTTCAATAGCCTTATATCTATACTGACAATAAACTAACAATTATGTCATGCTATAGCAAACTGTATAAGAATCTTTAGTTTCCTGAAATGTAAACTATTGCAACATCATAGATATAAAACCACAGAGAAATTTATAATAAAAATAACTTACCTTTACATATATGTTCCATCTTACAGCATATGTATATATACATATATATGGTATATACATAAATTATAAATCTCTTCTACGTATATACTTTGCACTAAATTCAACCATTCTATATTCCACTGTTATAATTTTTCGACTTTGTACCCTGTGCGACGATATTTGAAGAGCTGAAATCCATATGTAATGTACGTTCTAATATCTTGATCGAGAATCGAGAAGTTGATCATAGAAGGCGATGTTCAGTCGAGAGTTAGTGGCGATTAATAAGAGCAGCCACGCGTAACCGTCGAGCGACGTGTGCGTGTATACTCATTACAACGCACTTCGCTATGTACACACAATTGTTAAAACCTCCACGCATTCTCCATTTCTCGACAACAATCTGCTGAACAGTACGGCAGTTGAGTTCGCGGAACGATTGACGTATTAACAGTATGGACGTGCGAGCAGGCCGCTGTCTGAGCAGCAATCAGGTGGAAATGAAACAATTGCATACGTTGATATTCGTGTGCACAAGCGACGCTCACCCTCGTCTTATTAGAGAAAATCCTCATAGTGTTTAGATGCCAACCACGATGCTTTATAACCTCTTATGAACATCTGTACTTGCTGTGCTGAAAGAATATTCGATGTTCCGTCTGATCTGACGCTTGCCTGTTGACGTCAGACTAATCGGCTTCGACTGGTCTTTTATTCTTCTTGCCAACGAGTCAGCACCATCGTTAAATTGACTTCAACTTATCCTACTGTATGTTTGCCATTTTTGTGATCCTTCTCACGCAGATACATGCGATCATGCTCCGAAGTAGGGATGTTCAACCGATGAGTCGAACCTCGATGCATCGATGTACGCAACAAAAATATATACAAGGATGAAGGGAAACATTGCAGTATTAATTTGACATTATAATTTATATGCGTGAAAAATAAGAAGTAGTTTACTAAAATTAAGCACAAAAATTGAAGGATTATTTTTATCAATCACGATATTGGAGAAATTAAATAAGCTGTATCATTAACGTAATCAACATTAACAAAATGATTCGTAAAGGATTTTACATCACCAAATCTATAATTTTCCAATATATCTATATAATTAAAAAATATAATTATTTTTTACAGTTATATGAATATAAATCAGTTCTAAAAATTTATAAACACCCCTCCTTCAACCTAGGCTAAATTTTATACAAGCCGATAAATTGTGGTTTGCATCTCGACTAAATATATTCCTAGCAGCAGAGAGAAGCCTGAAAGAGTGGCCAACACGCCGTTTTCGGCGATACCGACTTTTCTCACTGGGAAAGGACACATCCATTTTGAGAGGAGAACTACGATGCTACATCCACTTCTTTATCGGTGATAAAAGCAGAGAGGAATAAAAGTTAGCTGAGATTCGAACCACAATAACTGAATTGAAATTTTTTATATTTTCTCTTGCCGATATGAAAATTTTCTGAGCTGACAATCTTTAATATTATCTCGTCTGTGACCAAAGTTTTAAAGACTGATTTTGGAACAGACCTTTTGTTTGTAAGAATTTGTTTCCATGGCAGCAATTTTGAATTACAAGAACAGTACATAAATATTTTTATCAATATTTGACCAATATTTGTACGAGATTTATTGTTTTATATGTAACATTTTACGAAAGATATAATGAAATGATGGAAACACAGGAATCGGACGTGCAAATTATTCTAAGCATAAAAGAAGGTAAAGTATTGTTTTATATGCATATATTTAAATTGTTTATTTTGAGACGTAATAACAAAACCTACTTTTAAAATTGTTCAATGATATTAATTTATATGTTATTCGTGTTAAAATTTGTAACTTTCCAAAACTTAAATTTGTTATTTCTAATGAATTAATTACATTTTAATTATGTTGTGATTAACCTGTATTAACCAAGATTTCTTTCAATTTGTACATTATAAAGGTAATAATCATATATTTGTAGATTGATTACAAATATAAGAATATTAAAGATAATAGAACTATATATAAAATAAGAATAATGCAATTTAAATCTGAAAAGAGAAGATGTTTGTGCGTTAGAGTTATTTCTATGAATTGATATTTTACATATGCTTTATAGGAAGAGATTTTGAACAAGTTTTACAACCAACAATATTAATTGGAACTTTAAATGGACATTCCTTGAAAACTGACAAAATTGAGCCAAGCTCAAACCCACAATATGATACTGATTTGATATGGGAAACCAATAAAACTATATTGAGAAAGTGAGTATTGCTATTTATTTCTTGCTTTCATTTCCAAAATATTAAGAATAAAAAAAAATACATATATAAATATATTTTATTTCATATCCAATTTTAATAGAATGAGATCAGGACAAGCATCATTAAAATTAGAATGCTATACTTTTAAAGAGAATGAAAGTAAAGAGAAAATTGGACATATTTTGTTGAGCATACGTTCAGCACATTTAGCATATAAATACAGAGATTTGAATCCAAAAGCAAGTTGGCATAAATTGATAGGATTAAAGAGTGATCTTAAAACACACAAGCCTGAGTTACTTCTTATATTGAGAATTGAGGATCACAAAAATACAAGTTCAAATACAGTATTAGAGGTATCACTTATATATATACTTATAAAAATAATATATTGTAGAAATTTATATAATACAATATTTATGTAAGCATATTACATGGTACTACAAATATCAGTTCATAATTACATATGAATACCATCCTCTGTATTGTTTTACAGGTAAGAAATTCAATGAAAAATGATATTGTTGCACAAAATCAAGAAATAGTACCTTTTTTGCATCCTGATGAGCAATTGATTCAATTGGGCCCTCTAACTGCTTATTGCAAATTATTCTTGCTAAATATCACAGTCACATGTATAGAAAATTTGCACTTGTTATTATCTGATCATTTGAACAAGAACAATACTGTATATCTCTTGTACAGAATCTTAGAAAATAATGTAGAATGTAAACCATTCAAGATAAGTGAAAAAACTTACTTGTCACATGAAAAAGTGATAATAAAAATACGAAGTTCTTTGTATGTGTTAAGACATTACTTACAGCTGAAGCCACATATGTCAGTATGCTTGAAATGTGAGAATAATGTAATAGCAGAATCATTAGTTAATCTACAATCATTAGTACCAACAGACAACATTCAAGAATTTCTTAAGTATACTACAAATTCAAGTACTATCCTACATGAACGGTGTTTTCTAACTAAATGCGACTTAGCAGAGGAACCTATCGAAAACCATGGCAACAAAACTTATTTTGACATACAACTTCAACTGCAATATCTTGAAACTAAAACAGATGTCTTATTCAATCCTGATATAAATATGAGTTCTGACAATTGTTCAATACCCAATATTCAATATTATAATGAAGAAATTATGAATAATGTTAGTTAGGTAGATTAACACTCATATATATATATATATATATATAATATGATAGAAATAATATATTATTGATCTTCAGAAGTGCCCAGAAATTGAGTCTCACAGGAATCCCAGTGGTGATTTCAAAAAATTTAACCCTATTAGTATTCCTAATGAAACAAAATATACAACGGAATTTAAGTATGCAAATCAGCAGTTTATTGATTGCCAGCACTTAAAAAATCGGACGAATAAAATGACATGTCGCTCCAGCGATACTATGGTCTGCAAATGTGTTAATACCAAATGTATAGGATCTTATCATTGCTATTGCCTATGTATTTCACTTATAGCAATAACATTTGCTTCCCCAAAATTATCTGGGCGACAAATTGAATTCCGGTTTGTATAATTAAATTTACTTGTTTCATACCAATTGTGGGATATGAAGAACATCTTTTACAAATTTATAATCTTTACGTAGATTTCATCACCCGAAAGCTGAAATTATGTCAGTGGCGCCTGCAACGATGTCAGCTTTATCTGGCGAAAAATCTAAATTGCAAAATATTGGATGTCAATTTCACTTTATATCCGCACCAGACGAGATTAAGCAGTTATTGCAATCTTTCCCACCAAAGATCAGTATATATGATATAAATGAAGATGTTAAACTAGTATCACTGTTGGTGCTAGATTTAAAACCATTATTTCATCATGATAAGGTAATATTAGGTCTATATAATAACAGAAAACATTTTATGGAACATAAAAATTACTGTAATAATCTTTTTCAGCCTGAATGTCAATATAAATTATCTCTGTATGATACAGATAAAAATAAAATTGGTGATATAGACATTATGCTCAAGCTGGAGAATCATGGACCACATTTCTTACTAAAACAAGAAAACGCTGGTATTATATATATTAAATGTTTAGCAATAATAATATGATTGTAATAATATGCATATTTTCTATTCAAGGTAAAAACTTGGGTCCACCCATACTAGATGATAGCTTAGCATATAAAATTGTAGATGAGCTTGAAACGTGGAAGGAACGTCAAAAAGAAATGTTTAAAGCTGAGGTAAAGTGAAATCAGGATGTTTCAGGTCTAATAGAAGAAATATTATTTCTATACTGCATGAATTATAGCTTAAGAGGAAAGAAGAACGACATTTAAATATGTTGAACGAGGAATGGCAAAGACAGAAAGAAAATCTAGAATCGAAGCTTACATGCAGTGTCGAACAATGTAAGATATTAACGAACAGTCTAAATAACGCCACTGAAGATTTAAGAACACGCAGATTAAAAAGCCTGGAAAATGAGACTAGATTAATGAAAGCAAACGAGGACATACAATGGAGATATGAAGTTAAATTACAAGAACTTAAAGATTCTTTGCACACGATGCAAAATGATCTTACATCAAAGGTTCGTCAGTATATTCTATAAGGATTTTTTCTGTATCTTTCTCGCTTATATATATTATATATGAGTTATATATAAATATATATATATTTAGAGATACATAATATGAAGATTAAATATATCACATATTTATATATGAAAATTATATATATTATGTGATATATATATATATATATGTGTGTGTGTGTCAAATTTTACACAGATGAGCAAGCTCGAGGAAAAGAAAACTGCCTTAGAGGCGCAAGTGGAAATATTAATGTACGAGAATGAAAACTTAAAATTGTCAATAAACAAACAAACGAATGAATTACAAATGTATCAAAAAGGATCCTTAACTCAAGATCAGACAGCATCACTTTTGCAAGAGTTAAAAATACTCGAGGAGAAATTGAACAATGCTCAAAAGGGGAAATCATTTTTTAAAGAACAGTGGGGCAAAGCTGTTCGTGAAATTCACAGAATGAAAGTGGATCATCAGCAAGCCATGCAAGTTCAAATAAAAAACAGCAAGGAGGAACTGAAAAACGTGGAGTATGTATTGTTTTAACAGCGTTGTTTTAATGATATCTATTCTAGTTAAAGTTTCATTGTAAATCAGAACTCCCAATTTGACTAAATAATGCCATTCCATTTAAATATAATCGATAAAAAGTCGGACAAGGATGCTTTGTATTTAAATTTAGTAAGTATAATATCTCTATATGACTTATAAATTTCACATTTTTCCGTGTGCAGCTTTGCAGAAATTTTATCTACAGATACAAGAGCCTTGACCAATGATCAAATCCTATTGAACGAACTGCAAAAGGAGATTGATGTAATGAAGCCTAAGCAATATTTCACTCCAAAAGAAACCTATAGTGAAGTCTCTGCGTCAATCAACAAGATTTACCCTAAAATTTCTTATAATGATAATAAAACCATATCTGGCAAACCGGATGAATACAACGAACGATTGCAAGCACTAAGAGAAGAACGTGAATCTCTCTTAAGGACCGGAAGTTACTCATCGGATGACGTAGTAATTAAAAAGCTTGACACAGAGATACGATCTTTACTGGTAAGCAAGTAATGAATCTATTTCGATGTCAGAATGACGACAAACAAAATCAATTAGAAATTTTACATATCTGGCGATATATCTTTATAGAAATGGAATGTTCTCGTGATTTATAGAGATAAAAATACTATGATATAGCTACGATTTATATACAATTGTACAAATAAATATTTTGTAAGTGAAACTTTAATTAATTAGCGCTGTGTGTTATAACTGGCTTAGCTCTTATAAAATATGGAAGTATATCTAAAGGAGCGGAATAATTTCTCAACCATTTCGGTCCGATACTGATCACTTCTCGTTTCGGATCAAGCCATATTCCCGCAGGTAAATAGATGTCGCGAGTGACTGCACCCTCTTCGATCACTGGAGCAACCAGAATGGAATCTCCAAGAAGATATTCTATAAATCAGATGTGTAACAACGTTAATCAATTATTGGGATTCTATCTCTATCGTGTTTTCCAGATTTATTGAGCCGCTTCTTATCTATGTGGATCGTTAAATTTGAGACATCCTGTTGAAGATTATATATCTCACAAGCTTACCGTCATTAATTTTATGAGCTTCCTTATTGGTTGGATCGATCCACCAAATAGGTGGATTTACAGGTGTGCCATTGGTGATAGCTTGCTGCATATGTTTTAAAATTGTCGGCGTATACTCTGCATGCAGTTCAGTGTATTTCCTGCAGATTGTGATGGTCTAATAAAATAAAAAATAAATATTTCTTCAGAAAGAAAGAGGTAGGTATATCAATAAATGACCGTGTTTTAGTAAACTATATTATTTTTTTCCGTGATGATAAAAAATAATAAAAGTAATTTATCTGAAGATGTAATATTATCATATCATGTTTATAACTGTAATATATTTACAAGTCAACATGTTCGTGAGACTCTAGATGCTAATTCACTGATTCTCTTTTTATCTCATCTATCTGTCTTCAGTATATGAATTTGAAATTACATCAAAGTACAATTACAATATATATTACAATATATTGTATTTCAAATATTATTGCAAAAGCAATAATATTTGAAATCTAAGGTGTGATATCAAAAAATAATTATATACTAGTACAATATTTCCATTTAGTAAATAAATTATGTGACAAAATATACATTATTTACTCGCTCAGTAAAATATTCATTTTTCAAGGCTACTCACTTCATTGTCGAAATCCCATGGCACAAAGGAATATTGCAACGATGGCATGAAAACGTTCGCCTGCAGCCACCTGATGAATAACTCCTTGGACGGATATTCGGTGCCGTTGAGCGAGCCATCCAGGTAACCGTTGCCGCCGATCATGTCCGGTAGAACATGAACATATCCGTTCAGATTCATTTGCAGCAGCGTTGTAATCAAAGTGGGCAGACCGTTGTTCCATGTCCACTTGGTGTCTTTGTCGATCATGCGGACGAATATCGGTAATTCTTGAGTTCGCCATCCTACCCGTACCTCGATATTGTCATCAAAGTTGGCAGAGAGCGCCTTGGCATAGTCACGCGTATATATTCCCGGTTGCAAGTCGAGCGAACCGTTTAAACTTGCCACTTGTGGCAACCAAGATCCTTCGCCCGCGTCGAACTTGAAGCTGTCAATACCGCTCTCTTGTAGAAGCTTCAGCCGTGCTACCCACCAGCTAACTGCTTTCGGATTTGTAAAGTCGATTGCGGCTGCATTTTGACCTACAAAAAATATGTGTCATAGGAAAATAACTATGAAAAGGTATAGTATACATTTAATTATTCCCTCATTTTTACTAGTCAATTTTATTAACTTTAATAGAAAGATTGATTATTTTCATCAATTCTCGTGTAGTCAGTTGACGATATTACCTTGCCACCACTGCATTTGGACGCGTCCGTTGATACTTTTTACAAAGTACGAATTGTTCAGTGCTGTCGAATACGCGGGTTCGCAGTCCTTGTTGATGAACGGATGTATCCAGAGTGTGACACGGAACCCCTTCTTCTTCAATCGTTGTACAAGAGCAGTAACGTTGGGGAATTTGGTAGGATTGAACACGGCGGAGCCGTAACAGGTCTCCCAGTTGTCGTCGATCTCAAGCTGGCTGTTGTTGAATCTATTGGCGATGATCTCATCTGCAAAAGTCTCCACTACCTTCTCGGTAACATTGGCCTTGTACCTCGCCCAAGTGGACCATATGGGATACCGGATCATCCGCTCGTTAGGATAACCGTTGGGTTTACCCAGATGAGTCGTCACCATATATTCATGAGCGGACTTCGGGTTCGCGAAAACACCCAGCTCATAATTGAGCTGGATACTCTCTCGATGTCGGTAAGGAGCTTTGTTCTTGGCGATCAGGCATAGGTACTTGTCCTTATAATTATTCTGATCAATGAATAATGAATTTTTCTCGCTGACATAGAGATAAACTCCCTTGCCTGAGAGCCAATAACGCTCAGCTAATGCCATGTTCATAGGATGCGTCGGTAGATACGGTTCTTCATCATAGTACATGTGTTGAATAGGCCAATGTTGATAGCGCACTTGCGGCCCGCCGAACCACTGCGTGCCATCGGTGAACTGATAACAGTCAATGATCTCGGCAGAAGGATTAGAGACGTTGCGAATAACTTCGACGATCTCGCTATTCGTGCTGGCTTGAATGATGGTGTGTAGGACCTTGCCGCTTCTCACGCAGATTTTATTAGCACCACAACTCTCATCGAATATGAAGGGATTCTGCAGTACACCTAACGGAGTCTTGGTATAAAGGACGTTGATCATGTTCTCGCCGTCTAGAATTATTGCATGCCATTACATTTGGAACTTAATTTACAGCAAAAAGTTTAGATTCTCAGAAACAGTAGTGAGAAAATCAATTTATCAAGATAACAAATAGATAGTGTTACCGTGAGACTCACCATTTTTCGTGAGATTGAGAATCATGATGCGATTAATTATATTCATTTGGACAACGCCATTTTTAATTTTCATTTCGATACTTTTGTCAATATTAGTAATATCTTCGCTGCCAACCGATGCGCTGGCAACGAACAGTAGCAATATTATCGGAGAATGCATTGCTGTAATAACTATTACAAATATTAGCAAATAGACGGACAATACAATAGAAATAATATACCAATATAATCTCATCGAATTCAAATTTGGATATTAGACCACACGACTATTACTGATATAAACAGAGTGCAATATAAAGTCTCTTCATATATATCTATAATACCAAGAATTATATAAGTCGACAAAAATAAAAGATGCTAGTTTTAATCTTTGCAACATAAACATCTCAAAAATCCATAAGAATTTAAAGAGAAAATCTTTTAGATATTTTACATTGACTTATTACACTGTAATCCACTGTTCTGATATTTTCTTTGTTCTTTGTTGACGTTATTCTATCTTAATCTGAAGAAATTGTACACTTACCGGTTCGTAGCAACTTCTGCATCTCCGGGTGCGAGTGAACCAGTGACGCTGATTTTACCGATTTATATAGTTGCTCGATAACAAATATACATGGTGATATCGTTACTATTACACTAGTACTATCTGTAGCTTATCTAATTTTTATATACTAGTGCCTTTGGAATTTTCCACGTGTTGTTTATATACTTTCTTAGATGTCATAACTTTTACGCTTATGCCTACCTGTCTACGTGAATAAATGATGTCAGTGTATAAAGGAGTTGCGCCATTAGTGTGATTATATGTACTTCCGCTATTATTTGCACATTCTTTTTGCACTAATTAGTGAGCATGATTAATGATATGCGAATAAAAAAAAATAACATTTGCTGATATTAATTTGGTCATACAATTATATATGAATGCTCTCTAGAGATTGTATATCATTACAGAATTTATTTAAAAAACATATCGCTTATATGTAAAATACGGTAATTACGAATTAACTTATGTCCTACTTGAATGATATTGCTGCTTGAGGCATATATTAGCATAATAATTTCAACCAATTTCAAACAAATCTTTTCTTATTTGACTTGATTAGTCATATGAGAAAAAATATCAAATGATGCTCAGTCAGTAGTCGTAATTCGTTTATATCTATATAATTTTCACATCAACACCTAGGAAATGTTACACAAATAAAAATTTCATCACAAGAAAATTTGATTCAACTTATAGAACTTTTCCATTGTATATATATATTATGAGAGTTCATCCTTATCAGCAATATTATCAATCGCAAATTAAAGATATTATATATATATATATATGGATGATAAATTTACTATAATCATTACTTATGTTATCATTATATATATGTTCACTACCTATATAAAAATATATGTATAGATATAGTGAAATGCTAAATATATAATAAACATTATATGTGCTACACACATATATAAATTTATAAATAATTAATACAGCATTGCACGATGTTAATTACTGACTAATGACTTGAATTCTTTTCAGCTGTAGATGTCTCGTGTCATGGGGTATCATTTGACACGCAGCCGGCCCTGGGTCAGGCAACCGCATGCGGGCAGAAGCAACCGACGACGACCAAAGAGCAATTACCGCATCCGGTCTACGCAGTTCGCCGCTCACTCATGCGGTGCTCCGGACAGTGTAACTTCGCGCCATCGCACACCATGTGCGAAAGCGAGATACTCATCAATCTCGTACGAAATTGCCCCATACTTTATGATACGAAGAACAAAGATTATAAGGACAATGCAAAAAAGGCGGAAACTTGGACAAACATCGCTATTAAATTGCACTTAGATAATGGTAAGCGACTGGTTTCGACGAATCTTAAACAAATACAGCCATAGTATAGTATAATATATATTAATGAAATATATTATATTAGTATATTTATTACATTTATATAATAGCTATGTCCTGCAGAAGTTTTTCATGATTATTTTTTATGATTGAAATATTTCCTTAGATCCCTAATAGATTTAGAAAAATATCAATTAAAGGCAACAATCATAAAATGTTGATTTCTGTTGATAGCAATTAGTATATTTTCAATAGAGCTTTGCTATTCCCCATAAGTATTGCTATAGTAAAATATATAAATAATATAATACTAAATTAAATTATACTACATTGCAATGAAATATAAACTTAATCTAAAAGATAATGATAAATATAAGTTGAAGTCAAAATAAAATATGCATAATGTGATAATAATTAAAATTAAATTTTTATCAATTTTATTACAATTTAAGTTCTATTTTTAAAATTATAGTATTCACAAAGAATTATTATTTATTGGATCTAATAATCAATGAAAGCCTGTTAATGTTAAAATTTCCAAAAATGTATTATATATATCTTCTTTTTTCATTTCATAATATGTTAATTTTATTCAATTATGTTCTAGGAGCTATTGCAAAAAGTAAATGGAGGCACCTGCGAGACAGTTATGCCAAATATTTGCGAACACAATCAAATACTGCGGGACAATGTAGCAAAAAATACAAACATTGGGCTTGGGCTAGTCAAATGGAATTTTTGAAACCGCATGTAACTACCAGGCAGTAAGTTATTAAAAAACCAATCGTTATTGTTGACAGATTCTGATTAATATAAACACATACCACTTGACATAAATCAAAATATAAGATAGATGTACGATGTAATTAATTACTAACCAAGATCATAATTTCTGTAAAATCCATATACTGGAAGTATCGTGAATATTTTTTCGATAAACACGAAAATCAAACTTAATTTTTCCAGAAAGTTTTTTTTTTTCTTTAAAAGCAAACAAAGTTTCTTAAAATCAATTTGCGTGTGTGTGTAAAAGATCTACCAATGCATTTTTTACAGGACTGATTACATTCACACAGACGATTATTCGGACAGCGACGCAGAGACAAAAATAAAATCCGAGCCTACGTTAGAAGAATACGTTCAATATTACGAAGAGCCACCTAACGAAAAACCATTGATGCTATCTTTGAGAAAACGGATATCACAACAGAATTTATGTTCCAATATACCCGACGAAACTTTCGAATATTTACAAACTGGCAAGCTGCAGAAATTCATGGACGCTGTAGATCTACTCTTTCTAAGTCATGCACAAACATTGAAGACCTTTTCCCCGCAAAGACAAGCCACGGTGAAGCTTCAAATTGCACAAATCATAAATAACGCAGAACTAGAACAACTAGAGGAACTTAGTCCGTTACAATTCTCATCGTCTTCATCTCCTCCCTCTTGAAAATGTTATAAAACCGGTAATATGTATATTTTTCTTATACATTTCATTATTATTTATACAAATTTCATTTAAATATTTAAAAATGTACTTTGATAGAAAAAGAAAGAGAAACAAATCTTCGCTAAGATAAGCTTGCATTCGCTGGCATTGATTAATATTACAACAATGTGATAACTTAAAATATAAGCTAACGTTAAATTTTTATAAAAACTTATATATTAATGTGTATATCGAAATTCTTCGTTTGTTTGTAATACATAAACAAATGTATTTTTATATTTATGATAGAATATATACTTTGATAGTAAAAAGTTCAATTGTCATTAACTAATTTCTTATTCTTTGCGATATCGCTCCCCAGATTCAATGTTACAAATGTTAGAATTATATAGCTTTTTTCCGAATACATGTAGTAATGATCTTGCTTGTAAACTGAACTATATAGTTGGCACTTAGACAATTACATTTACAATAACAATACGTTCGAAAAAATACTTCGTAAAATTGCAAGATTCAACAATATTTTGACATTGGATGGTGTTTCAAAAATTCAAAAACACTTATTGCTTTGCCATTTACATTTATATTATTACGATATATGTATAACGATTGATTGACACATTTTTACTTATAATACCAGTTTTATATTTCAATATCATACGTAGTATTCTGCAAAATAATTGTACATATTCCAATAAAAGTTAATTAATTTATAAAATGGAACTTAACATGCCTGTCTGTAGGCTATGAATATACAAAAATATATCATTGTTATTACAACTGCATATACAGAATGTCTTTCTTATTATAACCATTTTCAATATCTGTTATTTTTCATGAAAAGTTTTTATCATCAAAAATAGCAATATAATTATAATAAGAAAGACTTCCTGTAAATACGTCCTTCTTTCTGTGATGAAACAAGATACATTTATCTAATGTTATTACACGAATATATGTGTACGTAATATAACTAAACAATACAAATCATGTTAATAAGAAAATATTTTGATATCTGTATATATAATATCGGCATTAGTAAAACTAAGATATGTTAATTGATTATCTAGCAAATTCATTGACAAAATAAAAACAGGTTACAAATATATAATCGTTGTTCGAAATCGCTAGAAAAGTGAGGATCTTGGCAGCAAGTATTTATATCACTTTCAGAAATAATTGAGATTTCTTCAGTTTTATGATGAGATTACATTATAGAAAAATGAAATCAGAATTAGACTTTCACAGATAAAACAGTTAACCAGGATATAACAATTTTCTAAATGATCCTCATATATTTCCAGTTACAAAATTAAAATAACGCAATATATTTGTATAACGCTCTATGTAATTTGATGTATCTATCGTGGAGACATAGTAATTTGCACATTGGAAGCCCATTTCACTTTAAAGGAAAGACAAGAATACCAAACGCGAATGAATATATATATGAGAGCACTTTGCGAGAAAATATTTTGTATACGATCGTAACATACTTAAAATGTATACATGGTAGCGAACCTGTGTAGCCTATGTAACGAACTGATTAACTTCCAATATACAAGATGTTATCACACAAAGATCAGATAAATTCCTTTTGTCGAGTAATTAAATGTACGCAATATATTTCATTATTTTGCCATCAAAAGAGAGAAACTTCAAATTTTAATAACAAAACCACAAATTATAATTAGTTTTGCAAGATTACTGTCAAATTCTGCGTAGTATAACAAAATTATCTCTAAGACAAAACCATGCAATGCTGACGCTCAAACTATTATTATTAATTTCTAACGAACAAATCTACATTATTATTATTTATTAACTCAGTAACGTTCTAATCCTGCCATAATATCACATTCTTCTAGAATCTTTATTGCATAATTCCATATGAAGAAACGTGTTGTCAATAAATTATAAATGGTAATTGACAATCAAAATTAAATAAGTACTTTTAACTAAATTTTCAGTTATATAACATACAAAGATAATATAGTGTATATGTGCAAAAAAATAACACAAAATTTTTTTGCGAAGTTGTTGCGAGATAATAAAATAATCGTTTAGGGATTATGCAATAAAGGGAACATTAATATAATTCTTTATCGTAATGCTTGCGATATGCTTAACGAACTTGCATAAATTTTACAAAACTCTAGGGAAGATAATCCAGATAAAATTCTCATCAAATTTACAATAGAGCAACCAGTATGATGAACAAGTGATACAATCTTCTGAACAAGTACTTAAGTATAAAATATGTCTTATGCTATATTAGTGTCATGTAATATTACTCGATCGAATGTATTAGAGACAATTCAGCTTACTAGAGCAAAATGAAAAAGTTAGTGTTTGTATAAAATCAAAAACAATGTACAATTAAACCAATTGATAATAATATATACATCTTAATGTTTAAGATCATTGTAAAGCCCATTATGATCACATGAAATTATCATAGAAGAAAGATATTTACTATAATTCATTGCGCGCTTTGGAAGAGAGCATAGTACACGTTACTTTTTCTATATCGATAATTATGCTAACAGGAAGAAATCGTGTGTACCAATGTTGCGGAATTCAGACTATTATGAACAGTGTGTGACATACATACATCCTAATTAATAATACGAGAAAGATACGTAAATTTACACATTAAACTTTCCCGCGCTTCCCTACTTTCTTGCTTTTAATGAAAAAATACATTGCATAAGTTACTCAAGCGACAAACATGCGTATCTTATGCTTAGATGAATAGACTGCATCAATGAGAGATAAGACGCGGTTATAGAGATACAAATATTTGTACATAAACGCTACGCGATTGGTCCAATTATAATTAAACCAATAACACACATATATTTCTTCATAGTTCTATATAGCACCCCTTGTATTATACTATAAATTAAACATCGCATTGCGCTGTATTTCCGCTTGACATTAAGATACTTCAATTTTCTTTTTCATGTTAATATCGTTCATGTGTGTAAAACATCTTTTCAACGTAACTACATTTAGGCAATATTTATATTTTATATTTTACGTGCAACAGAAAATATAAAGTAAATTACAAAAAGCGAAAGAACATTTTTCATGTTAATTAAATTTAAAATAAGCAAATGGCCATTTTTTAACGTTATAATATTGCGAATTTCAGTATATATATTTTTAAGTATCATTTCATGGGAAGCACAATTTTTTTGTAACTCAGAGTTCAGTAGTTGTACGGGTCGACACACAACACTTCTGTACGTACCTTCATATATAGATCACAAATTTATAATATAGAAAAAATGTTTTATGTAGTTTCTTGTCTTTCTATAATTGTTTTAGGTACATATAGGAGTGCTCATAAAGCATTCTGTAAAATTCACATTATATACAAGAATTTTGTTAATAATTTGGCTTTTTTACCTTACTTTCACTCGTATATTTATTTCTATATGCTACCGATAGTTTTGAGACAATTCTAATACAATGAGGCTTCATCCGCAGATATGATTGGTTCCTCGTCGCTCCAATCACTGACGACCAACCCTACTGATCCGTGAAAACTTTGCGACCTTGCTACGTGGCTAAAAACAAATAGAAATACATGTAACATAGTTGAATCAATGAAATACAAGTAAAGCAACAAGAATCGGAAATCTCTTTTACACACATCCTTCTATTTGAAGAAAAAAGTGTTGATATTTACATTGCATGTTGTTGTTGAAGCTCACTGATCACATTGAACGTAATTATATTAGACCAACCAAATTCAGGATTAAATTAATTTTCTTGGAGTTAATTATATAGCGCTACAATTTCCTCGCAAAAAACAACGCTAAAATAGGTACACCAATGCAAAACTTAAACAATCTTTTCCGTCGTTCTGAAATTTTTATTTTATCTAACAGAAATTCCTAGTTAATGCAATACAAAAGAAACAAGCATTTGTGTCATTAAAGTATTTTATATTTTGTGCTCTTGGAAAGCGGAAAACACCCATTAAAAATACCTCTTGAGAGAGTCTATAGCACAAAATGTTCAAACAAATTTGCACCATACCACTCTTACTTGTTTTGCCATTATTTTTAGATTATCGATCGCTATCGGTCCTACCAACACAGTAAAATGATTATTTCCTCAATTATATATTCGATAAAATTACCCAAGCAACACGAAAATCCAAGAAACCTGTATCTTTCAGGCTTCATTGTTGCTTGGGAGAAATTTCTTCTTTCTACTATTTATTCCTCTGTGAGGAATGTTCAATAGCTTTACCTTGGTGACAAATTTTCGTTGATATTCTTCTTCGCCAAGCCCGCTTTTCTTCTTCCTTCCATTGCCGCTTTCATAGGATCGTAGCTTTTGCGACGTTTCCAATTTTGCATCTCGACTTCCCGTACATTTGGCGTCAAAGGCTTTTTCAATTCTTTTGGTTTGCTTTTAGGCCCCTACAAAATATTTATATATTTTATATACATCTATATATGTACACACGCACGCACGCACGCACTCACGCACGCACACACACGCACGCACGCACGCACGCACGCACACACACGCACGCACGCACACGCACACAGTAAATGTGTAAGTAACTTATAAGAAATATTTATAACAAAAAATAAAGACGTTATATAGACTTACCATGCCTGAAATTCTACTAACTCGTGCGCTTGGTCGTCCCGAATCTGCTCTACTGATGCTAGGAATGGATTCAGGCTTGCCACGAGTATCGTGCGAGAAATTTTTAGCTTTGTTTGCAGTGGAAGACACAGGTTTCGTTCGTTGCGGGTCCAGTTTTACTCTACGCAAACTAAAAATGCCGATCAAACATATATTGAGGAACATTCTCAAACTGTGTGACTGATAACGCATACTTAAGTTCTCTATTGTATTTAGTACTGGAGATGGGAGATTGTGTCATGGGGTGCCGTTCGTCGCTGCTCTCCGTATCGCTCGGATGGCGCACTGCCTTCGGTATATTTTGATGCAGACTATGACTCGTATCTTCATCGCTTTCGTTATCGGAATCGAGAGGAGGGCGATACCCTGTCATACGGGCAGACATGGCAGACACGACGTTTTGAGTTGTTTGCAGGTAAGACGAAGTTTCCAAGTCGCTGTCGCTCTCCTAATAATAAATTGTACAACATATTATTCTCTATATATTCTCTATATATGTGTATATAAATTAATTATAGTTTAAATATATCTTATCTTAACGTACCAACTGCGGGCTGCTAGGTGGTGGTACTTGGTTTTCATGGTAAGAATCATTGAACTCATTGTCTGACCAATCATTAGCCAGCGAGAGAGCACCTCCTGTACCATGAAAACTTGCAGATCTCAACACGGAACTGTCATGGCTAAAAGAAACATAAATCACTATTAAATTAATCTCATATCACACGTGTACCGAATATTCCATATAAGTATCATGCTTACTTTCCAGAACTATCTTCAGTACTATGATGTTTCTTTGTGCTGTCTATCAGTTTCTTCCTGCCTTCCGCCGCTGCTTTCATCGGATCGTAGCTTTTCCGTCTTTTCCAGTTCTGAAACTCTACCTCCTTTGACGTAAGAGTGGAGTTACTTCTACCAGATTTTTTGTGATCTTTATTTGGCTTTTGATTCATTTTCTGACTACTCGGAGGATGCTTAAAAGACGAAAAAATTAATTAAAACATCTTATAAACGGTATAAAATTAACCACATAGAATTAACGCTTACATGAGTTGGCTTGCTGGCTCTCATGCTAAATCTACCGGTATCGGTCCTAGATATAGACGGTGTTCTATATTTCGTTGGCTCTGATTTCTTCAGTGATTCCTTACTGTGTGCCCCAACGCTGCTTGTGCGACTACGGTGATAACTTTGTTGCTTATTCATAGGTGCTGAAGTCTTCACTTCAGATTGAGCTCGTCTACGCCTTTCTTCTGGGGTTGTGTTTGGCGTTGTATCAGATTCGCAATTTAATCTGCAGTAGTTTTTGCTTGTACAATTTTATAGTCTTCAAAAATATGACGAGTATGAATAGTCCATATTTGATTTATATGAAACATACCTTGCTCTTCTTATACTGAAAGCTCTATTTAATTTTATCCCGGATGAGATTGGCGTTAAAGGAGATTTTCTTTGCTGTTCACCAGTTTCGCTGCTACTATCAGAAGCAACGAGAAATTTCCCTCTCGACGATATCCTGTCAACATCGCTGTTGAAGCTGCTTCGACGTGATACCATATTCTGCGACTTCGTGTTTCTGATACTTGCGTTACTCGATGATCTTTGTATATTGAGATGCCGTTGAAATTCTGGACTGTTTCGTAAAACATTAGGCGCTTTAATAGAGATATCTTTATCAAAATAACTGGTTGCCTCGTGATAATTTGTGGTACTATTGGATTTTCTCAACATATACGGACTGTAAAAAAGAATTAATGTTTCAATAAACAAGATGATATATATATATAACAAGTACAAATATAAATATTAAGCATTTTGAAATTCACATTTTAGTAAAATCTAATATTTATGTGTATAAAAATATATACCTGTTTTCAACGCATGTAAAATATCCTATATTTTTCGCCTGCTGGACTGATTTCGTCATATGTTTAGATCGTTCCAACAAAGGAGAATTGAGGACCTTCGTTGCAGCAGCCTTACGATTCACAATAGGACTGTTAGTCAGTTTCGGTGTAGGTGGCCTAAGACGGCTTAAAATGGGACTGTTTGTGTGTTTAAAGTCTTCTTCCTTATATTTTATACTATTTCTTCTGGACGTATTAGATTCTGTTGTATCAGAAGCATATTCTTTCCTGAATTAAAGAAAAAAGATAATTATAACATTAAATTAATATAATTTAAAAATATACGCATACATACAAAAGATATATTAATTACTAAACATTAATTAATTAATTTGTGTTAATAATCGAAATATATCAGACAAGAATGATCAGACAAAATATATCAGATGAATCATTTACCTATCAAGAGAACTGCTTCTTCTCTCCAAATGGAGGGGTGACAAAACTTGGGACGGGTTACTCAGTAACTCTACATTCGTGTCAGCAGTCTTTGATCTGGCCGAACTTAAGTATTTTCGGACGCTTCGTCTATTTTCGTTGGTGTTGGCTCTTCGAAACAATGACTCGGACAAACTACTGCGTCTAGCTGCAGCACTATGTACAGGTGTACGTTGCGAGCTGTTAGGCGGTGTGTTGTAACTGTTACTGGTGTCATCATCGGATTCACCACCGGAATCTATGATCTGATTTTGGCTCGAGACTAAACCAATTCTTTCTTTTATTCGTACGTACGTATCGGTACCTGGATTACTGTCCGATTGTTCCTGCACACACACATATATATATATATATATATATAACGATACAAATTTCGTGGAGAGAAAGAGAGAACATATTAAAAGAAATAAAAAACTTTAAGAGAATGAATTTTATATTATTTAAGATAGAATTAATTTAGATTTGAAATCATATAACACATACATAACGATTACGTGATATTCGTTGAGATCTGCCATGAATCGGAGATGGTATCTTAGTAGGACTGAGAGGCGGCGTACGTCCTGTTGAGCCGCCTATTATCGGAGGTAGTGAATTATGCTCTGCTACTTGTGTAGCCCATTCCGATATCCACGCATTGTTATCGCGGGAAACACTCATCTGTAAAATAAAAACATCTCCAAGTATTTGTACTATTACGTGTATATTTTTACAAATATTACTTACCTTGAAATTATGAACATACGCCTCGTTACTTTCGTCTTCGGTTAGAATACCAACACTAAAAACTTTATCAATATCCATTCTTGCTTTTTCCTCATCAGTATAATCTTTATGAATTGTATAGGTTCCAGCTTCGCTCACTGCACCATCAGAACCAGCATCGACATTGCTAACGTTAAATACATCTAGATCAGTGTCTTCTACCTTCAAATCCATTGTATAACTGACATTCGATAAACTGTTCTCCTTCCCGCTTGTATTTTTTATATTAAAATCGTCGGTGATATAATTCATATTTGATATTTTATTAGTGACTGTGCAGGGTGTATCTTCAAAATCATTCACTTCTTTACACTCGTGATCAACATCAATAAACTCTATATTCTTTGTGTACAACTTCTCGTTTTCATCGTCATCGTAGTTGTTAAGCTGAACACGACTCAAATCATTTATCGTTGCTGATTTCGGAGACGTCCAATATACATTTTCATTAGATTCGATTGGGTATTCAAGTTCTAGGGAGAGACCCTGATGAGGCAATTTATTGTGTCGTGACTCATCATTGCAAGATCTTGTCATTAAACATTGTTTATTTTGATAAGTATCTATATCTTCATTGGACTTTTTTGTGCTAGAATGTGCTTTCGATGGTGCCTTGACACCTAAAAAGATATGAAAATATTAATTTGTCAATTTTAAAAATCAATTATTAAAATCAATTGTATCTCTTTAGACATTTCTACATATCTTAAAAATATAAATTGCTATTATAAAAAGATAATAAAATTATAAAATAATTAACATTATAGAAATTTGGTAGAAAATCACATATAATATTTATGGGAATAGTTATGACATCAAAGCCATTAATATGTCTACACAAGCCTATTCAGAATGACAGAAGGTACTTGTAAGGAATATTAAAAAGCTTGAAGAACATGACTTCACCATGACTCATCCACCACAGGTATCCACAATACCAATGCACAAATATGAATTCATATCAAACATTTCCAAATATTTTACTCATGATTTATAAATCTAATGAAAAATTTGGCAAATAAATAAATTTTACTTGAAACTATTTTATAAATACAAATTCCTATTAAAAATGTACTAATAAATTATAACTATATGGGCTTTGTTAATTAGATAAAAATGCAAATGCTAATGTACCTTTGATCTAAAAATAGATTCTCAAAAATACAGTCTATATATATAAATATGGTTCTTATAAATGCTATATTGTAAATATAATTCCTTGATGTTTCAAATGTTAAACATTATATTATTTCTGACATAAATTAACAGAAAAAATTTCAAAAGAAAGAAAAACAGAAATAATATACTTATTTACCTAGTTGTTTAAGTCTTTCTGATAATTGATCAATTTTCCGCTTTGTATCATCTTCACTACTAAAATAACCTTCTGAATGAGTACTAGGAACTTTCTGCTTCTGCACCAAGTTTGGAGACAATAAATTGCTTGGCTTTTTTGATTTTACTTCTACCTATAAATAATATATACTTTGTAATTTTTCAGTGTATATATGTATGTATGAGATTCAATCTTATTCTTGCATTATAATAAAATCATTAAATAGTAATTTTTTACAAGAACAATGAAATAAGATAAAGAATGATGTAAAACTGTGTTCATATAATAATCAAGTTTCTCTGAATAGTATGTTCCAATTGAGAAGAAAAATTTACAAAAATATCTTTTAATATCGCACTCTTTAACTCACACATGTGAAAAGTCTAAATAATAGCAAGTGACATTTATATGTGAGATTTGAAAATGATAAAAGTTTTATGATACCTTGGACGTGGAAAGATTCCGCCTATGCCTGGCGTTGTACCTCTCGAACAAATTTTGATACTTTGCCGTGTCCACTTCCTTGTTATTACCGAAATCGATGGTAAAGGCTAGTGGAGTTTGAGGTACGTGGCGACTGTCAGCATGCTCCGTTGTTCCCTCTGACGATTCAGTCTTGTGATCCTCCGGTATCGTAATTTGTCGCGGACTATATAATGAATCGGTGTGCTCCTTGTACTTTTCTCTCGCCGTGTTGCCGTTGTCGAAGGCAGGGCTAGTAGATAATTCGTAGTTCGTTGTCGTTCGCGTATCGGCAGCTTCCTCGTCGGCAAATGTTACATCATCAACGTGCGACACCTCTTCGCTCTTCGGCGAGAAATCATCATTGAGCTCTGAATTGGCATTGCCGGCATCCGAATCCGCTGTCGAGAGACAAGTGTCAGTCACCGTGGACGTGCCCGTCACTTCCATGTTCACTGTCTTTTAACATGCCAATCTTAAATAACATTCGTATATCACAGCGCGACCGCACGTACGAATGTGCCGTAATTGGTTCGTAAGAGCCACTCCTACAAGCGTATCATACGGCTCTCGGGCGGCGTCATCCGATATAGAACGCGAGATTCCTTTGATGCATCGACACAGGTGCGTCTATTGTACGCCATTGACTACTATTCAGCACCATTGACGGCAACAAATGTCAACATCCACCGCAGGCAACTACCCCGAACTTTCTTTGGGGATTCGTGAAGTTCTCTATCTAATTACTATCGATATAGGGATTAATCGAGTTTGAGAACATCGAGAAATTAATCGATTTTTTTTCGATGAAATTTGTGAAAATCTGAACCAGACGTTTTTTGTGAACTTTTAGAATAGCATTCAGTTATGCTCGACGTGACGAAGAAAATGACATATCTTCTGACTTTCTACGACTACTGGAAGTATTCGAAACTCAGTGCTCCATGTTCGGAAAAAAGTAAACGATTTTTTCAGGCACTTATTATAGTAACGATATATTTATCCAATATTTTTATATCGCTAATAATCTGTATCGCGATGGTAATCGAGGTATAGTATCGAGTAAATGTTTGTGTTATCTTCAGCATAAATAAAATATTCCATATTATCATCGCTCTTTAATTACCTCCGGGCCCCTTGGGGCCTCCTTGGCCAATATGAAAATTTACTCAGGGCTGTCAATCTTTATATTACCTCGTCGGTGTAATAGCGCATTCGAGTGGCATGGGTTTTAGAACCGATTGTTCCAACTTCTTAGTAAATTAACTGATGAATCAATTAACTTACCAAGAAATTGAAACAACCGGTCCTAAACCGATGTTCTTGGTTTAAATATGCACGGCTAAGCGTTGTGATTGGCTTGTAGAGCCTTGTGACGTCATTAACCAACCCCGGTTGTGTTTCAAAGTTCACTGCCAATACTGAAAATACATAGTTTGTGTCACGTATATTATAGATTTTCAGTGCTGGCAGTGAATATTGAAACACAGCCCCCATTGCCGCGCGACGGAAATTGTTTACGGAATATCGCAGTAGCCAATCAACATCTAAAGCCAGCGGCATACGGTGCTTGTTTTTATGCTGGATTGCTTGCTGGATGAGAATACTGCGTTCTGATTGGAACATTTCCGAAGATGGATGGAAATGCACCAATCAGAACGCAATATTTTCATCCAGCAAGCAATCCAGCACAAAAACAAGCACCGTGTGCCGCTGGCTTTACTAACCTTAAGGCTCGTCTACATTAGCTGTAAGAGTAATACCTCGTCTACAATAGAAGCCATAGAGTCGTAAGTCGTACAAATTGACCAATCGCGGTCGATTATTTTTCTCTTACCGGACTATGATTGGTCAATTTCTACGACTTACGACTCTACGACTTCTATTGTAGACGAGGTATAAGGTTGCAAGACACGAAATGAAATATTTTCATTCGCTGACAGCTTACGTTATAACCTTATAGCCTTACTCTTAAGCCTTAAACACAATGCCAGGCAACAAGCAATAAGAATAAAAATAGACCAATCACAATCGACTATTACAAGAATAATCTATTGTGATTGGTCTATTTTTATTCTTATTGCCTGTTGCCTGGCATTGTGTTTAGGGCTTTACAGCTAATGCAGACGAGCCTTTTTAATTAAAACAAAACCAAAACTTTTGAAACCGATTTCGGAACAAACCTTATAAGAAGAGAGGTTAGCATTGCTTGAAGCTTCTTCATCAGCGGGTAGTTTCATATGCTTGTTAAACATTCGGAAAACACGTTTTTGAAAAATATTGAGAATTTATAATTGAGAGAAATCTCAGGCATCCGATAGCTGCTTATAACACAACACTATATAGTCTCTGCTTAAACATGTTAGAAAAAATGGTAAGATACGAAAAAGATATTAAAGTAACAAACATTTATGAAAAGAAAATAAAAAGTCTCAATCAAATAATTCAAATTTTTCCTCGATATAACTAAAAGTTTATTACAATATTTAATTTATCAATTAAATATAATTAAATTATTGAGACACAAGTATCTTTAAATTAATATTTATACATGTATATATGGATTTCCAGATTTTACCTTGTCAAACAATGATGAAAACGATAAGTGATTCTTTAACAACAGATTCGAAAGTTGCACTAGCAGTTGCATTTACTTTTGGTTATCTTATAGACACAATTTTAAGGAATGTAGTTTTTAAACGTCTGAGGACACCTAAATACAATAAGGACTACTTGGACTGCTTAAGTGAAACTGTACATTATATAAATATTTAAGTTTTTATAATTGATTTGTATTTGTATTTGTAATATCTATTTACAGGATTGGAAAATAATACTTCACAAATTAATTTGACAAAAGTTTATAGTATCGTTATATATACAATATACATACAAATTATATAATATAAAATAAATGCAGCGAATTGAAAAAGAAAACATCTTCAAAAGTTAATGAAAGTGATATAAATTATAACAATGCTTTTTTTTCTGAGTAATGATTAATGATAACAGATTTATACACACAACAGAGACAATATTATTTTTCAAAATAAATAATAGGAACAAATTCTTTTTTAGTGAGTAACAACAAAATAGCTAATTACTTTTTAAAATAATATTCCCAATTTTGTTTGTAACTTTTTGTTACATATATAGAAATTCTCAAAAATTTTAAATGATCATTTGTGGAGATCTGTGAAGTATTCATTAAACATTTAAAGTGAAATATTTTAAATTTGTCTTATTTCTATATATATCTTAAACAAATAAATATAAGATTGAAAATATTTATTATTTACTACTTTATTAATCAGACGTGCTAATATTTTTTTATATATATAGTCATCAGATGAAGAAGATTATGAGGATGAAGATGATGAATATCAGCATTATAATAGTAACAATGATACTCTGAAATATGAAGATTACAAGATGGTTTTAGCAATAAATTCAAATTTGAAAATGGGAAAGGGCAAAGTGGCAGCGCAATGTGCCCATGCTGCCGTTGCAGCATACAAAATCGCTCTTATGAAAAATCCATTAATCTTAAAATATTGGGGAATGGCAGGCAACATTAAAATCACTCTTAAGGTATTGTATCATAAGTATATCAATAAAAAATAATAATTGCTGCAATAAATAGAAAAAAAATGTTAGTTTTTGTAGATATATAAAAATAATTAAATATTAAATATTATTTAAAATTTGCACAAATATATACACACACACACATAGGTTATGAAGATTCATTTAAAAAGATATATATTTTCAGTTTAATACTTAATAAATATATTTAAATATACACAGTTATAATAAATATATCTTTTCATAGACATGAAAAAAGATATTTTGACTTTTAGGCGGATGACGAGAATGCACTTAAAGATTTAGCACAGAAAGCTAAAAAAGCAAATCTTATCACGAAAATTATACAAGACGCGGGTCGTACGCAAATATTACAAGGAAGTAGAACAGTATGTGTAATTGGACCAGGTCCATCCAAATTAGTAGATGAGATAACTGGTATGTTGAAATTGTATTAATTGCTTATGAAATAAAAATTGTTTGTTTTTATTACATGCTCAAATTTATTGACACATTTATTTCTAATATGATGTCATATTGTCATCTCCTGTTTCATTACTGTCTCCTATTATAATGATTAGCTTGCTGAATAAAAAATCTTCATATTATTGGTCTTTTCAAATAATTATTTCATTGTATATAAGTAGTTTTCTCTTGCAATGGTATACTCATCAGTCACTTAAACCATATAAGATTGATATGCTACATAATAAAATATAGCATAGATGCATATTTAGAGATGAGATTAACAATCTCTGGAATAAAAGTATACATGAGCAAAGCAAATTTCCTTCTCAACAAGCCTTGACACAACACTGTATCTTGTAAATTGCTCTTAAAATTAATATAGTACATTCTTGTATTTCATAACAGAGTAGCATCAAGTGTTAACCCAAGTTGACTTTCGCACTTCAGTATTTGCGAAGTGTCGTAAACACACGATGCATGAAACATTTTTAGTTGAAGTGGTTAAGGCTCGATTGATAGAATTAAGATTATCCATTCTAGACAAGTAAATGTCGGAGTGTATTGTGTATGAACCACAAATATGTGAAAGAATTAATCAGACAACATGCGAGCCTTGGTCACTTTTTGCTAATTAATAATTAAGTGTTTGGACGGATTAATATTAAAGTTGGACATATTAGCGAAACTTATCAGCAAAATTATCGTCCTCATGCATAATAAAACTCGTTATCCTACGTGTGCTCTCATCAGAAAGAAACACATCTGTGTGTGCGAGGAAACTTGTCTCCAGAAAATGTATCTAATAAATGTTAAGGAACCCACATGACGCCTTGCGTATCCTCCTATTACGAATATTTCAGTTCAAATACTGAGAAACTATTGGCAAATGCAATTAATCGCACGCTCGCGTTCAAGTCAACCGCTCCTTCATCAATCGTCGATTTCCCGTCTAGGTGTATGCTCGCAAAAAGCAGCAACAATCAGATTTTTTCCGATGTATCTCCCGTTCTTTGGTACCCAGTACGATATAATCCGCGATTACATTCTAAAACGTATAACACTTATAAATATCGTATAAATAATCTATACCGGTGGCGCGGGAGCTTTCCGAGGTATTTTGTTCGAGCTGGCGGCGCTGCATTGCGATTCGGCGATTGACCTGCCGTCGGCCTCGTCCCGCCGGCAAAGCTCCGGCTCGTTTTGCATCCAATTTTGCGTCTGATTGTGAGCCGTTTTCGCCGATTGCGATTCCTCATTCTCCGGCACAGAGCCAACCTCCTCCAGCAATTTCGACAAGGACGGCGCTAGACCCAGTCCTAAGTTCCGCTCGTGATATACTTCGGATATCGTGGGCGTGAGTTCACGAGTCAAGCTCGTCAAGGAAGTGGCCAGATTCCTCAAATTTTGAGGATGTGTCTCCGTGGATTGCGTAGCGTCTGTTTGCGCGCAGATATCCTCGCTCGTCGTGGTATGCCGGGGTTTCCTCGACGAATTATTACCGATCTCCGTTCTCACGCTGAGTCTTTCCAACACGGTGGCCGGCAGAGGCGGTAGCGGTTGACGTCTCAACACGGTGGCATGACCGTTGTCCCAATCCGTTACCGAACTGCTCGAACTCGAACCGGGCCTGACATTTTGATCGGGATAAAGGTTCCGAATGCGCGTCTGATGATTCAGATTGAGCGCCACGGGAGGACTAGGTGTGAATGCTACATCTGATTCACCTGGAACAGAGATATATTTTAACGTGCCATTCCTGCTCAAGTATAAATTTCATCAAAAAATAATTCATTATAGAGAAAAAAAGATTCATTAAAAATGATTCATTCAATTCAAATTAAATTTATTAAAGAAACAAGAATATATGTGTACCTCCTCCATTTTGACATGGTTGGCGCGGCGTTGGCATTAGGACATTCGATGGTTCCATCGTTTTTCCATCTGGTTCACCACGATGTCGTACATAACTAGCAAACGCTCCTCCTAGTCGTGGCCGTTCCATAAGGTTTTTCTCGGTATGAGCCACGGAAGCCAAACTCTCCATTGAACTGCTTGAGTCTAAGCTAAGACTCTTTGGCGCTTCTTGCGTGTCTGTAATTGAAGTTGCATAAATTGATGTAATTAATTTCTACTTACGGAGTCTTAAAAATATTTTATATTTTATAGATTGCAGTATTATACAGTGTAATATTTCTATTATTATATTATGTTTTAATATAAATTTCAATTTACCAAATAATGCAAGGAGAGCTTGTAAAGCAAACTGTACAGCTCTACGCGAGGCTTGTTTCCCTGTTCTTAATGTCACCTCTGACTGTCCGACTTCCATTAAATCAAAGCCTAAGCTGGCAAATAATTCGTGTGATCCTGATGCTCTCCAAACGTGTACAGGCAAAATAACCTCTTGACCTTCCGTTGCGCAACTGGCTCTTCTCATGGCAGCAATCACATCCTCTGCAGCTTCTGGAGCCTTTAAAATATTGTTGACAATTTACACTGTGGTTAAAAACTGTAATATGACTACAAATTGTATATAAAAATTGTATGACAAATTTTTAATTTATAAATGATATAAATATATTAAAATATATAAATTTAAATATAAATGTATATATGAAATATGATCAAAATTTTTATTAATTGTACATAAACATATTTAAATATATTTAAAATAATTTAAAATAAACATATTTCAAATAAATGTAATATAAGAATCAGTACCTGTAAAAGCCTAGCCAGAGCATGCAATGACGATTGACCTAATCCTAATAAAGCTTGTAAGCTGGCACTGCATCTTGTTAATCTCTCTTCGGGATCGCTCTGGGGGAAGAACACGGACGATGGTATACCATTGCCGGCTGGTTCGAATCTAAATCCTACAGACATGAGAAGTTCTCGCCAACCGGTAGCTGCACCCACTTTATTCTCGATGCTGCGCTGTGTAGTGTACATTGCGTTCTTCTGTCCACGATGAATTCTCTGTAGCGACTTTTCCACCAAATGAAGTGTCACACGTAGCGCGTCTCTGCTCTGTTCGGGACCGCCGCGCAGTAATTCTGCCAATGCTTGACCCATGAGCGCGACCTAGCGAAAAAAAAAGAACATGCCAAATCACATTTTACTCAGACTATTAACATAACATGGATAGAATCGTACGAAGAACATTTTATTCTTTTAGAATTTCACTTGGTGAATTCATATGGTTTTGCATTTCGTAATTTCCCAAATAAGTTTTCATCTGACATACCTTGTTAGACAATCTTGCATCTCCGCCAATGAGCAGCCATCCGGCCCAATTCGCGGGATGAGCGAAATGTCTCGTATGCTGAACAGTCTGCATCGCCTCAGCCAAGGCTCGCGACGCTCTTGCGCCTTGCAGCATCGCGCTGTAAAACGCTCGCAGCAAAATACTACCGGCGGTCGGCGGTACCGCCCACATTCCTATCAGCACGCATTGTGCTCCCGCGTTTAATAAAGTCTTTGCGAGATTCTGTATACCGTCCGACGTTGCGCTCGTGCTTTCCACGTTGTTCCAACTGTGACCGCTGGACACGACCACTAAACGCGCAGACATTCTCAGTCTCAGTATATCTGCCTGGCTTATCAGGTATTCTGGTCTTTCGGACGACTCCTCGCACTGGTCAGCAGTGAATGCTAAATTACCAGTGTTCCAGAAGACCGGCACTGTCAGGTGAACGCACTCTACGTCCGGTAGAGACCTCAGAACTGCCGATCGCGTAGCCTCAAGTCCTATTGCATAAACGCAACATGAAAACAATTTTATAAAACCTTTTTTACGAAATTAGCAGATAAAATATTTAAATATATATGATAAAAATGGTAAACATCGTATTTCAAATTGAAAATCATTGTCTCCTATTTATCGTGTACAACCAAAAAATGTCCTATGCAGTAAATGATCGAGTTTACTAACCAGTCATCGCACGGGCTTCTAACAATTCGGCGACTATTTCTGACTCGGTCTCGGTAGAAGCGACACTCTCGGGCCATCCGTATTCCTCCCTGACGTCTTCCGGTAAAACAGGATTTCCAACGACTAATGCAGCCACAGTAGCACCGCCTTCCAGCACAGGTGTTTTCGATCTTTTTCTAAGAGCCGCGAGAGACGGCACCACTAATAACGAGAACCTCTCGCACAGATAGTCTTCACCCGGATTAGACTGCAGAGCTGGGAATGGTGCTAAGTAGAGAGACTTCTCCACCACCATAATCAACTCTTTTCGCGGCGGTGGCAGCAGATCTTCGAAAGGGGCGAGAAGGAGATCATAAAGCACCTGTATCGGCAACGGTGCCTGCCATGTAGGTCCTTTCACTCCTCGTCCCCAACGAGCACTCCCAGCGCGAGAACTCACAGAGCCGACGCTGAAGAGACTGCTTAAACTGTACGAACTAGCGTTCAAATGGTGACCTCTCGATGGTATCTTAGTGGATTCCTCTATGAGGTCATTACTTTCGTCGAGTAGCGCCTCGCGCGCTTGAATGACTCTCTTCTCCAGCCCTACACCGTCGTCTAAAGTAGTAGAATGGAATCGCAACAATCCACGTCCTGGTGCCAAACACCATGCGTGTAATTCGCAGCCTACCTCACTGAAAGATTTTATCCAGTCGTTAATCGTATTTTTAAAAATAACAATTCATATAAATAAAATTAGGACAAGGTACTCGACAAGATATAAGTAAAAATATTAAAAATTTTCTTGTTTGTACCTGTAATACAAAATAACTCCACGTTGTCGATCGATTATCTCGGAATAGTGAGCCGCATCGTCCAAGGAATTGCTCTGAGATCGTCTCGATCTTTCTGCCCAATTTAGAGCTTCTTCCGCTCGATTCAAGCTGATTAGCACCTTCTGCAGCATCCTATATGTTTCCGACAACAATTCCACTCGGCTAGGTTGACCGCAAGTTAATGATACAGAAGTACCGTCCAAAGATTCTAACAAATTCGCAGCTTTTTCTAAGTGTTCCACAGAAATGCTCGCTTCCCCGGCTTCCCAGTGCACCAGACCGAGTCTATGTCTTAACCTGGCCGCTTCTTCTCTTCTGCCTAGGCCCTCGGATAGAGACAAGCCGGATTGTAAGTAACTCAGAGCGCGGGATAAATCTCCGCACAAATGATGAAGTCTTCCCAAACTCGAGAAAGCCGCTGCTCGGGCCGGTTGATCTCCCGCCGCAGCCGCCAGGCTCAATGACTGTTCCTGCAACCTTATGGCTTCCTCGTACTGTCCCAATGTTTCCTGAGTCACTCCCAGATTAGCACAAGCGCGAGCTTGCAGACCAGCTGCATCCAAACCCTCAGCGATTGATAGTTCCAATTGATGGTGACGTAATGCAGAATTTGGATCGTCCATTAAAAGATGCACCGCTCCTAATCCGCTGGCTGCTTCAGCCTCGGCCGCTTTGTCACCAAGCCCTCTAGCCAGGGCCAGTTGATGGGACAAACAACTGACAGCCTGTTCATGATTACCCAATGCAGCGTGTACCCTGCCTGGAGAAAAAAATTTTAAATATAGATACTAGTTGGATTTTTTTCATAAAACATATTATTAATTACGTTATTTTTATATTATATTATATATTGAATATTATATATATTCATTATATATTGAATTATATATATTTTATATTATATATTGAAATAAATTGATTTTTTGGTATGTCGCTATTCGTATTTTAATTTATGTAAGATTATGTTTAAGTGTCTACTTACCTAGATCACCGTACGCGGCACCTCTCGCTTCAGGACTGTCCACTTCATGAGCGGCCACTAATCTCTTCTCGAAACACACCAACGCTTCCTGCAAATTGCCAGTTGCTTCTCGGGCTCTTCCTAATCCTCGGTACGCTCTCTCCTGATCTCTGATACTCTTTAACTTTATCGCGGCCGTCAATTGTTGCTCGTGACATTTGATAGCTTCTTCCAGATCACCTAAAGCTTCGTAACAGTCTCCCAAGTTGCCGAGTGCTCGGGCTTTATCGAGTAAAGCTGTGCCAGTGGTCAGTGGCTCTAAAGTCGCTAACTGTTGCTCGAAATAACCGATAGCATCTTCGTAATGTGCCATGTTCAGTCTAGCTATGCCCAAATTTCCTGCGATAAAATGTATGACTGTTGAAAGAGTAGTTTAGTTTCTTTCTTCAATTCTATCACAAATTATAAGTTTAATTATGTCAGAATTGATTAATTATTTAATTTACATCATAATTATACTTCTTTCATATTGTATGCATATAATTAAAAAATTTAACCTTCTTGATTAAAAACCAAAAAATAATGTGCGCCTCAAATGAGAATTCGAATTACCTAATGCTTGAGCTTCTACTCCAGAATCTGCTAGTTCCTTGGCTCTCTCCAACTGTTCCTGATAACACTTAACTGCATGAGTATATTGTCCTAATGCCATATGCACCGCACCCAAATTTCCATGCGCTCTGCATTCGCCGCGCAGATCACCGGCTTCTTGCCTCAGAGTTAATTCCTGCGTGTGAAAACCCAATGCCTTGTCCAAGTTCTTCGTAGCTCGATGAGCGATCCCTAGTGCGCCATAGGCTGCCGCTTCCAGTCCTCGATCGGCAGCTTGACGGGCTAAATTCAACTGACGTTGATGCATCTTGATAGCTTCGTCGACCTCTCCCATGCGTAACAAACAATCACCGATGTTCCCAAGAGCGCGAAACTTGCCGGCCAAATGTTTGGTCATATGCGCAATAGCTATATTGAATGATCAACGATTATACAATGCTACACTAAGTTTATTAAAAAAATATACATTGACTTTTCTATTATATCTTTGCATAATTTGAAATAACTGGTTGCGACCAATATTTTCTATCACCATAGACATGTTTCTTTCACCCATTTATGTTTTCATACTTTTGGTTAGAAATAAAAAACATACCAAGATATAGCAAAGAAAAAAGTTAAAATACAAATAAAATAAACTTTACCCAAATAATATTTCTGGCACTCCAAAGCCGTGTCTAAATTTTCCAATGCCAAATGTGCTAATCCCAGATTGCAATAAGCTCTGCCCATCCCTGACTTGTCCTGCAGGTCCTTCGCTAATGCTAAGTCCTGATCATAATATCTGACAGCTTCCCGGTGATTTCCCAAGCAATAATGAGCGTATCCCAGGAAATGGCACGCTTTAGCCTCGCCTTCTACATCGTGCAGTTCTTGCGACAACATGAGATAATGTTCGTAGTATGGCACTGCCTCTTCGAATCTACCGCGCGAAGACAGACAGTTAGCGAGATTCAATAAAGCGCACGCTTCGCCAGCTGTATCCTTCAATTCACGCGCTATAGCCAAGTGAGCTCTGTAATGTCTCAATGCTGCTTCATGGCCTTGCACAGCTTGATACGCAACTGCCAAGTTTCCATGTGTACTAGCTTCAGAGCTGCGGTCGTTAACCTGAGGAGATTGAACGATGTATTTGTCATTAATATAGATTTAGTAGTTCAATGATAATGCAAAACTTCACTCGTCTCAATTTAAACGTCTCAAACTTTCTACATACCTCTTTGCTTATCGTCAACTCCTGTTTGTGGTACTTGATGGCTTGTTCGTAATAACCTAGAGCGTTATAAGCATTCCCAATATTTCCATACGCTCTACCCATGCCAGCTTTATCTCCTAATGATCTTGCAATTCCCAAATGAGCTTGATGTAATTTCAAAGCAGCGTCGTGTTCGCCTAGCAATTGATACACTATACCAAGATTGCTGCAAGCTCGTCCCTCGGCTACCTTGTCCTTTGTGGCCAACGCTACGTCAAGCTGTCTCTGATGCCAAAGCTTGGCTTGTGCTAGATCGCCTGTATCGACAGATATATTAATGAAAATGTGCTGTCAAATACAAATTATTAGTAATGAAAATTTGCAAAGTAAGTTATTTTGCATTATTTTTCACAGAATAGAAGTTTTACCTGCACATCTAGCGGCATGACCCAGTCCTGCATATGCTCTAGTTTCTATCGCCCTATCTCCGAGTTCTTGCGCTATTCTCAGAACGTTCTCGTGATAAGCCATCGCCTGCCCGAAATTTCTGCGATAGTGATGAGATGATCCCAGATTGCTGAAGGCTCTCGCCTCCTCTACACGATCCCCGAGTCGTCTGGCTATCCTCAGATGTTGCGTGTGACAATCAACGGCGCTCTCAAACTCTCCCATTGCTAAGTAGACCGCTCCGACATTACCAATCTCGCGAGCTTCCTGAAGCCGATCGCCCATCTGCTTAACTAATTGCACGCACTGTTTATGGGAAGCTAGGGCATTCGGCAAATCACCGATTGCCGTGTAAACATGCCCCAAACTGGTCAAGGCCGAAGCAGCCGCCTGAGTATCTTTGCACTTCATTGCCAGAACAAGTTGATATCTGTGAGCTGTTAAAGCTTCTTTGAAACTGCCTTTACTAAAATAAGCGGAACCCAAATTTCCGTGGGCTCTGCACTCGCCTTGTGTATCCCCCAAGGAACGGGCAACTCCTGAAAGTTGTAATTAAATGAAACAAATTATTTCTTGTAATTTTTATAACAAATTCTTATCATTCAAGAATCATACTACTTTGCGTTGCTCTTAGTATCCTGTTATTTTCGCTTACCTAAATCTTGTTGCATATAGTTTATCGCTTTGTCTAAAGAGTTCAATGCCCAGTACGCACTGGACAGAGCAGAAAACACGGAGCCCCTTAGTTTTAAGCTGCATGATCCGATAGTAAGCGCAGCTTCCAACACGCCAGCAGCCGCTCTGTATTGTCCAGCCCCAAGTAGCTCCTGACCTACTACAGATATAACGACAAACGGAGATTCATCCAGCTTCATTGCACGTAATTGTTGAAATGTCGGCTCCAAGGTCGGTCGTAACGGAGACTTTAAAGATGCTTCAACTAAACCGGATAATAATTGGCGATTGGATGCATCATGAGCTAATCCTGTGCTGAAAGCTACGAGAGCTTCTCCGTGACGCCCTAGACATTGCAATGCCACTCCTTGACGATAGTACGCCTAATTAAAAATTAGCCTTCATAAATCTGCAATCGAATATTGAGCAAAAAGAAAGAAAAGATATATACTTTTGGCCATTGTGGACTTAGCTCAGTGGCTCTGACAGCATCCTGCAATGCGAGCGCGAATAATCCCATCTTCAGCCGTGCGGCCGATCTATTAGAGTACAATACATGGCTGAGGGGGTCCAAAGCAAGGGCTTCTGTATACAAAGTTGCGGCAAGCGCGTAATCCCCATTCTGGCATGCCGCATTACTTCTGCGGACTGTTTCTAGGAATAGTGCCCGGGATCCAGCGGCCAAGGCCGACGTACCTTCGGGCTCCACCTTAAGTACAATAAAGATAGCTTTATTTCAAAGATATATGATTTGCTATTTCTATAAATATTCAGCGACAAGATACTAAGGCAAGATGAAGAACTATAAGAATTGTAAAATAAAAGATTATCATAAATAACTATAAGCACATTACTTTTATCATAAACTGTACAATGAAAATGTTTTGAAAAAATATTAAATATATAATATTAATTTAAAGTACAAACATAAGGGATTGCATTGAAGAAATATATAATTAATAAATATTTTGTAAGTTTCTAAAAAAGGGATAAAAAATTACATGAACAAATTTTTTTATCTTTCCCTGATAATATGATGCAAATGTAAAATTAGTATAAGATATTAATAAAAAAACTTTTTAAGCAAATAAACTATCAAATAAAATTAATTCTAATCAACAAACACAAGATAGATTGGCTTCAAAATCACCGAGACTAATCAAAACATTATATAATGGGGAAGTAACGCGCGCGTGAATGGGAGACTGGCCCAAAAATCGTGTGATTCTCCCCGATCGGCTGTAATACCGAAGAAATCTCGTCGTTACCTCAGAGATATCCCTATGAGACATTGCTTAAGACGAGCTAGTAGCATCCTCTGGCATGGGCATTATCTGCGGCGGGTGAGCTGGCGTGAAAACCGATCGGGCCCCGGATTTTGAACGTGCTACACTTCTCTTCTCTCTCTCTATCGCTCTCTCTTTCCCGGTGGGACTTATCTCGTCTGTTTCTCTTGATTGCTACGTGACGTCGGCTCGTTCGCACCTCTCGATAAGCACTCGGCGCGTTCGCGAGCGGTAACGAGGGGGTTTCTTTTCGCTAGAACGGGCAAATGGGAGCGATTAATAAAAAAGGAGGGAGGCAGGCGTCTCAGGGGGGCACCCACTGCATTCCTCAGGCACAGCCATCTTGGAATGTGACCCCAGGTCCCCCCGTCGGGCCCAGAGCGGGGCCGGCACTGCCTGGCCCACCGCTGTTTGCTTCTTCTATGCGCCTCCTCGCTTCCTCGGGCTCCAGTGGGCTCTGCTCGTTCTGTAACACTATCATCAGCATACGGGCGAATAACACGCACACAAATGCAGGCGTATACACACACACAAGCGCGCAGAAAACGTAGACCACACGCGCCAAGATATCGGGGCCCGTTGGGCCTCAATATGCGTGCAACAGCAGCCGCTGTTACGCGTGTGTATCTCGCGTTCCGAATATTAGGGGCTTTCTTCGTTACTCGTAAACTTCATCTGAATGTATCCATTAATCACGTTGTATAGGGTATTTCACTGGATGTTCTTCGAATTACGCAGTCCTTAACGAGAACTTGAAACGTATTCTAAATTAGACGAGGAAAATACTGTAACACGATATTGACGGAATAACAGATGGGAAAATGTAAATTGTGGAAGAAATTTCTCCTTTATGATAGAAGAAGAGACGGTTGCATCGGTTTTTTCATCCATTTGAGATGTTTTTTGCCGATTTTGTCAGAGAATTATTTGTTTTTTCACAACCTGAAATAACAAATTTTTGAATAATGTATCGAATGAATTATTTGTTCCTATTACTTTTTTTAGTTTTTAACATATCGAATAACATTGGAGTTCCTGTTTTTACCTACATATTTAGTTGCGATATTTTTTGGTACAGATAAAATAGAATAGGAACTTATTTATGCTGCACGCGCGTTTAAGCTGAAAAAGTCAGGCGTGATCCGAAAATAGGACAGCTCGAAATAACTCAAAATATTCTTCTCAAAACACTCTGCGAGACTCCGTCAACTGCTAGAAAAAATATCATGTTACCGTTGGCTACAAAAATCAGAAACACGCAGAACTGAGATGTCAGGCAAACACTATATTTATAGCTCTAGCTTACTATATTTCTTTCATAGTAAATCTCTATTGTACTTATACTATTTTTATATCCTATCTGACACAAGAGATCAGTTAAGAAATAAGTAGATGCATATCCACTTGACTTTTTTTTATTAATATACATTCTCTTATTCTTGCGTGTCATGGCAACATTAAACATTCATGTTTAATTTGACGCAAGGTATTATTTAAGAACAAAATCGTTGGAGGTTTCACTGTTGATCTACTTAGTTGAGTACTTATTAAGTGCTATTTCTCTCTGTACAAAATAGTACATAAATATATTCTGGCATTAACACTGTATATATAAATTCGTGTGTTGACATATGTATGATATGACTTATAACTATTATACATAGACTATCTTCTCACCATTGAAGTTTGTATAAATGATATATCTATATACCTGGAAAGAATGTGTATACGGGAATGTATGTTGTCACAGAATGTTGTTCGACGTAAAATGAATTAACTTAAAACGACCAACAAAACGCAAAACTTCCACGATTAAAATAATATTACTGTCGCATGTTAAAGAAATGCGTAACTATAGTCGAGGAGATTATAGTCCATATTACTCTATTATACAGAACATAAATGCTCTATCTATATCGTAATATCGACTTGTATCAAGTATACTTGCGATGTTTTGCGAATTTTAATGCATTACTGTCATAAATAATTATTGCTGATATTTTCGTAAATACGATTTCGTGCTTTGACTAAAAATATAAATAAACTCTGAAAAATATATAATATAAATATGCTTATAAAATGTATATCAACATAAAAACGACAATTACAAAATGTCTTCGATGTGACTCAATGTAACATGTACATACGACATAAAAAAGTGACAGACCTAAGGCCAGACTTTGTTGAATAGTTCCATGAAAGAATCGTAAATCATAAATGTTATAGCGACGTCTAGACATACTCTGCCCAATCTCGGAATAGTTCCTTTGTAAAATGCCATTGGACCCTCTTTCTTCCATACTTGAATTACGCAATCCATACTGTTCTTATATTTCGCAGCCTCTAATCCCTAAACACAAAATGTATTATAAATGTAGAAGGATGGAATCTAATACATCACGTTAAAAAGTCAACCTCAATAGAAATAATTATTTCATAATATTTTTACTATACATACCTGCATTCTAGTTTTGACAACGTCAATGGGTGTATTTCCAAAAACGGACGCCGCACCAGCAACCGCACCAAATACGCCAACAATTATTTTGGGAACACTTTTGGTATTGTCGCCTCCTTTGTACCAATCTTTAAGAGTTTCCATCACAAAGAAACGGATAGCTTGATTGGATCCTTGTTTTAGGATTGTAGGTACTACTCCCTGGTATACTCCTTTAAAACCTATGAGCACAAAAAGTTTATGTACTACTGTACTACTGTAAATATTGTAATATAGTAATTACATTATTAATAATTTTGTATGTATAAAGTATGTTTCATCTCTAACAATCTATTTTCATAATTTTAGTTATTTATTTAAAAAAAAACATATACATATATATATATATATATATATAAATATCAAATACTTGAAATTGTAATTTTAAATATTTAATACAATTAATTTTAAAATATTTGTAATAATAATATAATAAATGTTTCTATTATTTAATGTACAAATTTAAGATCTTTTATATATGTACTCTGATATAAACCGCCTATATAGGCACATACTGTCATCTGACCCAGTTAAGTGAGATAGTTACATGATTCTTACCAGAGTTTCAAGGTTAGTAAAATACTGTGCTTTACTAAGATATTTAGATTACTAAATGATTCTTTGATATTTTATATTATATCTGATATTTTTATATTATATTATATTTTATATATATTTTATATTATATTTTATTTATAATATTACTCTCTCTTTCTTGACATAATTAAAAATAAAATCCTGAAAATATGTAATTTAAAATACTTTAATTAAGAAATAAAATATTATAAAAATTGACATAGAATAAATTTTTATTTAAAGACTAAAAGGTAGAATATATATTTATAATCAATTCTTACCATATTCCTTTACAATCAAACGTACTCCATGGAAAAATCCTCTAAATTTTGGGTTTGCTGAACGTTGATCATTGATGAATTTTACCTTAATAGTCTCCATAGGAGTAACTGCAAAGATTGCTTCACATACTCCAGCACAAAGGCCTGCTAAAAGTCTTCTTTGCGGATTGAGTTTTCCATCTGCATCTACTAATCTTTTTTTTACTGACTCAAAAGCACCAAATCGTACTGCTGACTTTGGTATAGAACCATAGACTAAGACAGATAAGCCTCTATACAAGCCAAAGAATCCACGAGTCTTGACAGTTTTAGTTACACAATCAGCTATGCCTGTATATTCTTTGCCAGCACCAGCTTTTCCATCCAGTTGCAGCTGTGTTTTTACATATTCTGTAGGATATGTGATGCAAATTTCTATGCCTCCAGTGATGCCACCTGCAAGTCCATTATATATTATCTGTTAAATAAGTATAAATTACTAGTTAGAATTACTAGCACTATGATATTTAACAAATGGTTAAGTTTTAGAAATATTATATCACTTCAAAAATAATTATTATATAAATAAGTATAAATAAGTATAATTAGGAGAAAAGTTCTACATATAACATATAGTAGAAAAAATATACAATATTCTCTTTATATACATAGAACATAATGTTATAAAAGCTATTTACTATCATCATTATAGTGAATTAAATTTTTGTTCCCATGTGGAAAGGTTGCAATATATGCAAATTCCCAATAAATGCAAATCTTAATATCTCCAGTCATCAATTCATTTACAAATCATTTACACGGTGCTAGAAGTTAGTGGTAGGGAGGAGAACGTAATTACGCTACGTTCTCGTTAGTAAGACTTGAAAAATATGATGGCCTTGCATGAGACGCATGTAATTTTACGAATTCTCGCAATCGCGCGATGTTTCGTGTTATCGTGTAACCAGAGTGCGCTGACTACGCAATGTGTATATTATTTTTTCATGGTCGTTGACGAGCATGATGCCGTTTAACCCGACAGGTGTCAAAGGTCGTTCTTTGCCCGATCAAGAGGAAGAGAGAAGCGACTCAGAGACAGAGTATTGCCTTTCTACAAAGAAAAAGATACCTTTCTCTGAATAGAAAGATGAATAAATAATTATACCCGCAATAATCCCTTTAAGCCCCACGTTGCCGGAAGCAGCAGCGACGGCGGCGGCGACGACGCCGGTCTCGTTCGTCCACGGCCTGCATGGAAACAGCAACGGGCCGTGACAAGCGTTCGCCAACGTTGGACGCTGTCTCGGTTGCAGATGCAGCTGTCGCGTCGTTGAGTTCATGTTCGAAGCAACAGTCCTAAACCTAGACTCGTCGACGTCGTCGTCGTTGTCGTCGTGCTCGCAATCGCGCTGTCGTTGCTCGTCCACCTACGTCGCTGGGTACTGAGACTGGACTGCCGATACGCCGATTGACACTTATATGCGCGCCTGGAGCGCGTAACGCACCGGTTTCCCCCATATTTCCCCCTACCGAACGGCGCTTGTGGATAACGTGGTTTCGCTTTGCTTCACCTACTTCACCTTGCACAGTCTTCCTCCGCCTTGTTTTTCGCCATTCCTCGCGTACTCTTACATACATGAGAACATGCGTTCATACGAGACGGCGGAGCGGAACTAGTAACCAGGAGCGATCTGCTCATTTTAACTGCACTTGTTGCACTATCTGTGTTTAAAATATAAAATAAGTACATAGGGTACTCAACAAACTATAAATGAGCTTATGATTATATATGTAGAAAATTGCATCTTCATTCCAATCGGCCCCATTTTATTCTAATTATCTCGAAAACGGCAATGCAAACTGCTGAAAACGTTCTCAAGTAAACAATTTTTTAAATCACTCCCTTAATATTTTTCAAGAAAAAAATTTAAATGAAAAAGATTTTCAGACAATTAAAGAATTTACAATGGAGAATATTAAGAAATTTTCATATTTAATACTGCAAATATTATAGCTAATATTTGCAGAATATTAGAGAGAGAGAGAGAGAGAGAGAGAGAGAGAGAGAGACAGAGAGAGACAGAGAGAGAGAGAGAGAGAGAGAGAGAGAGAGAGAGAGACAGAGAGAGAGAGAGAGAGAGAGAGAGAGAGAGAGAGAGAGAGAGAGGAGAATATTTCAGCCGGAAAATTACTCATAAATTTTGATATATGATATTTGATAGACAGATTTGATATATGATAGGATGCAACTATTTTTTGTATTTAATTAATAATAAAGTTGATGAAATGTTGATGTGTTAGATAATTATAAGTATACTATTTGTCATGGATCACTTATCGTTAAATATGAAAAATCACGTAATCTTTTATCTCATTGTACGATTACATATAGCCGAATAAACAACTTGTACTGTTATAATAAATTTTGTAATGACATTAATGCAACAAATATTACAAACGGAACACATAAAGTGACAACTAATTTATAATTGAGTGGCATAATAAACGTAATGAACATGTGATATGAAAAATTATAATTATTATATTCCTTACTATTGAAGTTGCGTTCCTAGATATGCCGTTATCAGACTCGTTATATAACACGTTATATAACACGTTGATAACTATCGTTATTGAGCACACAGTGACATGTATTAATAGTTCAATATACTTCTACATTCAATTCCTAAAATTGGTAATATTTAAGAAATTTTTTTACTTACATAATATATAATTATATGTATATACATACATACTATATATATTATATATATTATACACATAATATATATAGTATGTATGTATGTATGTAGTATGTATAATATATATACTATATATATATATAGTATATATATAGTATATATATTATATATACATAGCATTATAATTTGACTGTTATTTCATGAAAGAAAAAAATTAATCGACAATATATTATCATAAACTCCTTTTATGAGTACAGATGCAGTAACATCATCAATATACATCACTGTGCTACACAACACACAATAGGAAATGTCAAGTACTTGCTGATATAATAGCACAAACAAATTGATTGCTACTTTATATAATACTGAGCACAATTAAGTTTCACAAAAAAACGCGAATTGTTTTCTAAATATAAATATAAAAGAAAAAATCTCTATTATATATCCAGGCGAATTAAAGATTTTATAAATAAAAAGTAGCTCCGAAATTTGCAACATACTGTAATAAATGTTCCGTAATAGCGATTATTACGTTAAAAAAATTTCTTTAATGCTAAGATTATTTTTAAAAATACTTGTTTTTCTATATCTTATATCCTATGATCAAAGGTGTCAAAGTAAAAAGATATTACTTTGTTAGTTATATATATATATATAAATCTTATAAATATCATAGAACACATACTAAAAATTATAAGATGTCATGAACTGACAATTAAAAAACATATTAGATTGTATAAATCCTCTTCTAAATACTCTCACATACCGCATTGTTTACTGACTTTATCTACCAGCCAGGTGTTGTGTTTGCTAAACGTCGCATACGTCTGCAATAAAAATAGAAAATCATTAGCAGATCGGCTACTCTTCATGTAAAATTAACGTAAAAAATATAAGGATATAATAATAAATACAAGGATAATATAATTCATATTTTACCGAGTGTTTCTATCTTGATCACGTATCTTCTTTTCCATCTCCGCGTCCGTCAAAGTTTCCAGAAATGGTGCCCATTGATCTGCTTCCGATGGAGGTCTGAAAGGAACTTCTACAGTGGGTAGCGGCGCCTCGGAAAACGCATATGTCCTCTGATGCCACGACAATTGTCCACGTACACTGTAAACATAGTTAAGTCGTATTAAAACATAAGAAATATAAATAACAAATGTATTTATATGTATCAAAGTTATTACTATCCAAAGGTTTCTTTGATAAATTTTCTATTTTATTAAGACAGAGAAAAATATAACTTTTATCGCCTACATGATTACATAATGTCATATTGCATAAAGTATCTGTATATAAAAGGAGAGATTTCATTCATTTACCTATAAGCAATAGCTGTAACGAATTCTCCACCGAGGCCGAGTTCCGCACAGAGTTTCATTGCAAACTTTTCTGGATTGTTCTCTTTCTCAGACATATCCCATTCCACTTGATCCACTAATGACGTATTACCCACATGTATGTTTAACTTAATTATTACTCGTTGATCACATTGATCTTCTAATATTGTTTCTTGAGGGAATGCTTCTATTTGCTGTCTTATCGCTTGTGCGATTGCGGGAACAAATGTTAGTGGATTTAAGTCTAAATCATCACATAGTACTTCAGCAAATTGTTCAGGTGTTATGAGACTCTCTGCAGAAAAAAGAACATTGTTTTATTGATATAATTTATTGCTTTTTTGTATTGTAATCTATTGTCTATTTTTTATCTTAAGGTATAAAAACACTTACCATTTTTATTCCATGTGAAGGTGTCCCTCAATTTCTGTCCTTCAATTTCCATATCTAAACGTATTGGAACAAGCATCTCTTGTTGTGCTGCATTTTCTAAATTTGCTGATGGATCTGTGTCATCAAAACTATAACAAATATAAAACAAGAATAAAAAATTAGAATTTCAGATTTGTTTATAGTGTTACATATATATATATTGAAAATTATATATTAAAAAAATATTTAAAAAAATTATCTCACTTAAGTATTTCTATATTTTCTTTTATTTCCTTTCAGTTATAGAAACACTTAAACGAGATAATTTTTTCAAACTAATAGATTTGTTCTGTATATTTAATTAAAATTTTATTCTTACCATAATGGGAAGGTCCTAACTTTCTTATTATGTACTCTATTACGATTTATTGGTGTAGCCTGAGGAACTGCATCCAAGTGTGAACTATTTGGCAGACTAGGGACCCAAGCCATTGACTTCTTGGTCTTGCCTTCCCTAGGTGCAGGTGGTTCAGTTGAGTGTACTGACACAGCTTTGTACTTGTCGTCATTGCCCTCAATAATATCCTCTACTTCACTAGCTCTCAAAAGTGAAACACTGGATGCAAGTACATGTTGACTCAATCCAAGTTCCACAAGTTTCTTGCGTTCATCATTAGTTATGGATCTCCTGTACATGCCAGGATATCGTTTATAAAGGGATCCGCGAAACAGACGCAGATAATTCCCGACTTCTGAACCAATGCAATAATACTCCCCATTCTCTTCCACTTGGAAACTTATAGGTTTGTCACCGTACGTGCGTAATGCCATTTTGAGGTTAATTTCGCTACAACTTGAACAAGGTAGCGAAAATCAGTCTGCGGAAATATACGATATTCGTAAAAATGTGTAAAGATAAATTATATACTTTAAACTGTAAGGACCAAACATATAAATCAGATATGTAATAATGTGATAAAAAAAGAGAGAGAGAGAGGATACCTTAAATTAATTATTATTTTATAAAGGAATATATCTAACACTTTTAAATATATTTAACTTTACTTGGGGATCAGAATTATTCATTCACTAGCGTTTATGAGCACTCATGAATCTCGTCTAACAGGCTTGTTTATATTTTTGAGGTCTTTCAACAGTTAGACTAGATACACACAACGTTTCACTAGCGACTCCAAACACGAACTTATGGAAGCAAAGAAAAGTGGATGATGAACGCATCATGACTTGTTTACTATTGGTGGATCAGTATACACCAATCAGATTTAACATTACGGACGCTTTCCAATATTATGATCGTTCATTGCTAAGAACTTTATTTTACATTTCATTACTAGAAAATGAATTCTGCTATTGGGTGTTACAGTGCTTGTCGTAATCGTCTTATCAGAGTAGTGTGAATTTTCCATTATTCTGGCATGTGCACCGAGCCTCCGATAACATGCCAAGTGTCATACGCTTCGTGTGATATACGCTGTACCTATAGTTTGTAGAATATAAGTGTCAGTGGTGGAGGGCGTTTTCGTTTCGGTTAGTGGCTGCTACGGATAACGTTCGATCGGTTTCGACCACCGCCCCTTCACCTCTCAGCGCTTGTTGCAATTTAATAGACAGGTAATTAATGAGCCTCGAACGAGCAGTTGCAGCGGCCACTCCAGATGCAACCGTTTGAGATGCTCCGTAATGTTTCACGCTTTTATTACGTTTTATTGGCGTCTCGTATTGTCATATTGTCTTATCGCCTTTTCGTATACGTCTGACGTCTTTCGCACGTTGTTTTGATTAGGTTCACGTTAAATATAGCTTGACATTTGCCAATGCGAATTTACCAGCGAGAGTTAGCGCTATGGTACCATAGATTCTGGACATTGATCCAGTCTCGCGCCCTGTTCACTATATAGCGAAATCTTATTTAATTTTCCTACAGGGCCTTACGAGCGCCTCTGAACCATCACCACTCCTTTCATACACGGATTCGACTAATGTAATTTTTACACCCAGAATAACCTTGATTAAATGTTTTATTCACTCAGTGTATTTTGATAATATCAAATATCTCAATCATCAAGATATATATAATTTTAAGAATAAAATTGAAACTGCCGATCATTAGTTGTTGAGTAATTTTGTTGAAATTGTTCTTAGTTTAGCAGTTACTAAGACTGTAACATTTTTATTGAAGAATTAACGTTAGATTTATAAATGAATCTATGGATGAAAACAGTGATGGTTCTATAATATATGTATATGATTTTATATTAAACAAAAAATTTACATAATTTTTTATGTCACTACAGACAAGATGACCGATTCAAAATATTTTACCACCACGAAGAAAGGAGAGATATTTGAACTTAAATCCGAATTGAACAATGAAAAGAAAGAAAAGAAGAAGGAAGCTGTAAAGAAGGTAAAAATTACTTGTCTATATTGTTCTTTAAATAGTTAATTCTTTAAGTTTTCAGGGATAATTATAATATTTACCTTATTAGAAACGCTATAATATATTGCAAAAAAGTAAGTATTCTTATGCAGCACTTAGGCTAAAGAAGGTAATGTATTTGGATTTACAAAGGTAAATTACAGAATTTGTAATAAAAATTTTTGGATTTTATGACTCCAAATTTATCTCTATGCAAGAATGTTTATTCTATGTGATGTTTGTGAATTATTTGTTATAATAATTGATTGAATTAGCAATCTATGAAAAAAAATTAGGATTTTTCTAAATTTTTTTTTTTCAAATTTGGCACACTTCTATTTTAACTAAAAAATATATGATATTTAAGGATATTTAATTTAATGTTGTTTGAATTGACTTTTTCTTCCATTTTAAAATAATGCGAAGAAAAAGTAAAACTCTCTCTGTATCCCTTTAATGCATTGCATTTTTTCTATCACATGTGCTAGTTATATTATTCAATAATGCAAATATATTATTAATTGTCTGTTCAGGTTATTGCTTCCATGACAGTGGGGAAAGATGTATCAGCATTGTTTCCTGATGTGGTAAATTGTATGCAGACTGACAATTTGGAACTGAAAAAGCTGGTGTACTTGTACCTGATGAACTATGCTAAGAGCCAACCGGACATGGCTATCATGGCAGTCAACACGTTTGTTAAGGTAACGTAGCTTAGAAACTCATCATCAATTTGTCATCACTGATTTTATTATATAACGCACTTTTACTCTCTACATATATTTTTTAATGACACTTGGATGATGTTCAGAGTCTGTCTGTAAAGAGGCAAGCTGAAAAATTGTCCGTGTTGTTCTTGGCTATAACAGTCAGGTTGTAAATATTATCCCTTTCCTACCGGGTATCCTCGCTATTCATTTTTACAGCGTGCCTCGCCACTGTCTACAGACTGTGCTTTGCAAATTACAGTTTGCACAGAGCTGTCTGCGTTTTGGGACGGAATGTACCTTTTCATTCTTTGCGACTGAATTGTTTATTTTTCAAAGGGCACGGATCTGGACTTTGGTTGCTTCGATAGTATACCTTAACAATGGGTTGTTGTATTGTTGTTTGGACAGTCAAATTAATATATAGTGTTGAAGTATTTTTTTTTTATTTTTATTGTCATAAAACCAAATTCCAGAATGTACTCCGTTAGGTATAACATATTATATTAATATTATATTAATAGGAGAATGAATCTGTGTATTTACACATATAATAATTAGTATGCCGGAATTGATATAGAATAATTTAAAGTTTCATACATATGTTACTTCCCTCACGCTAATGCACTGATACATCGTTTTGTTTTCCCGGAATTAAGCATGTAACTTTTTCCCGAAAAATTCACAGATTGATCTACGATATTCGAAACGCTTTGAGCAGATCGTACATTTGTTCTCACGATGCGCTATATATGTCTTATAATATAAATATATTAAATTGATTATTTTTAATTCCAGTTACGATATTGTCTCAAATCGAAAAGTTAGATTCAAACGTTACTACTTTATTCGCAAATCTCTAATGTGCAGCAGCATGAAAAATGTGATTCTTTCAATGTTTACTTCATATATATGATATTGCCTTACAAATTGGTGCTTGTATAGGGATCATATTTGCTAATTGCACGTAACTCATCCTTATTGTTCAAAATTTTAGTGTATCTAATGGATGTAATTCGTGTTATAAATAACATTCCATAATGCGATTCATCTAAATATTTGTAAATATATTCATTTCTGCGTTCAGCAGAATATATTGTCTAAGTTATTTTTATGTGCATGATGTCAGTATTGATGTATCACATTGCGACTTAATTTATCATTTGCAAAATTATACGAGTAATTATATGTAAAAAGAAACGAATAGGAAGAATGAGAGAGAAATAATTTACGAAGAACATACCTCGTGCTCTTTAAAAAATAATCAGTTCTCGATTACGTTATTTTAAATGGCTGATAAGTATAGTATTTAACACTTAATCAAAATGGTGACGGTGACCAATTTGACCTTTTTCGTTCTGACACGCAAAAGGAGCTAGCGACATCTCCGATAACAAAGGTACCATACCACTTTCTACTTTGTTAAAATTCATGGGTTGAGATAGATAGCCACTACTGTGACTAGACTTGAATCCCTGGCTTGCCCGATTTTTGCGCAGGACTGCGAAGATCCAAATCCGCTGATTCGCGCGCTAGCAGTTCGTACTATGGGCTGTATACGCGTCGACAAGATAACTGAATATCTGTGCGAGCCGTTGCGAAAATGTCTGAAGGACGAGGACCCCTATGTTCGCAAGACGGCAGCTGTATGCGTCGCCAAGCTTTATGACATTAATGCTGCTTTAGTCGAGGATCAAGGATTTCTGGATCAATTAAAGGATCTCCTGTCTGATAGCAATCCTATGGTATATATGAACTTTTCTTGGACTTTAATGAATCCCAGAAAGAGAGAGACATTAGTTGATTGTAACATATTAAGGTCTAACAGAATTTGCCTTTATATATTCATAAAAAAAGATATAAAACATTAGTATTTCATAAAATATCAAAGAACGCAGAAAGAAGTAGATGAAAGTTTTCAAATTACCAGAGGAATAGTTAAAATCTCGTATTATGTTTTTTTAGCACTATCAGATCTGCCATTGCTCGATGATGAAATCATTGCAGATAGTACGATAATATATGACAATTTTGGCCAGGTTGTCGCAAACGCGGTAGCTGCATTGTCCGAGATCAACGAAGCCAGTCCAAGTGGCCAACCGTTGGTGGAAATGAACGCACAGACCATTAACAAATTACTGACAGCGCTCAACGAATGCACCGAATGGGGCCAAGTTTTCATCTTGGATTCACTAGCGAACTACTCGCCCAAGGACGATCGTGAGGCGCAAAGTATCTGTGAAAGGATCACTCCACGTTTGGCACATGCTAACGCTGCGGTCGTACTTTCCGCTGTCAAAGTAAGTGTATCATAAGTAAGCGAAGAATTTGAAAGATGAAAAACATAAATGAAAACCAACGGATTTATCTATCTTTTCTCCTGAATCTTTCGAATTGATTCTTAAATTATCCTCAATTTCTTTTAGTAATACTCTTATGTTAACTGGACTTATTTCGATATCGTAGGTATTAATGAAACTTATGGAAATGCTGCAGTCCGAGTCAGATTTTGTGGGTACGCTTACAAAGAAATTGGCACCGCCTCTCGTCACATTATTAAGTTCTGAGCCAGAAGTGCAATATGTCGCGTTGAGAAATATCAATCTCATCGTGCAGAAACGTCCTGATATTCTAAAGCACGAGATGAAAGTATTCTTCGTCAAATACAACGATCCCATATATGTGAAACTGGAAAAACTGGACATCATGATTCGCTTAGCTTCGCAAGCTAACATCGCGCAGGTTCTGTCGGAATTGAAGGAGTATGCCACGGAGGTCGACGTGGACTTCGTGAGGAAAGCTGTGAGAGCCATCGGCCGCTGCGCCATCAAAGTGGAACCGTCCGCGGAGCGTTGCGTCTCTACGTTATTAGATCTGATACAAACCAAGGTAACGTTAAAGAATATTCAGAAATCATGCGTATATAGAATTACAAAGTAAATTGTCTAATATTGTAGACGTATTTTCGGCGATCTACTTTAAAATCATCATGCGCTTCTCAACATTATCAAAATGTCTACGAAATAGCAATAATCACGCAATTTTCACAGGTTAACTATGTCGTTCAAGAGGCAATCGTAGTAATAAAAGACATATTCCGTAAATATCCCAATAAGTATGAGAGCATAATATCAACATTATGCGAGAATCTTGATACGCTTGATGAACCCGAGGCACGCGCTTCTATGATCTGGATCATCGGGGAATATGCCGAGCGCATCGATAACGCAGACGAGTTATTGGAGAGTTTCTTAGAAGGATTCCACGACGAGAACACGCAGGTACAGCTGCAGCTGCTCACGGCGATCGTGAAGCTGTTTCTCAAGAGGCCCACGGACACGCAAGAGTTGGTGCAGCAAGTGCTGAGCCTAGCTACGCAAGATTCCGACAATCCAGATCTGCGAGACCGCGGATTCATTTACTGGCGGCTGCTTAGTACCGATCCGGCGGCAGCTAAAGAAGTCGTGCTCGCCGAGAAACCGCTAATTTCGGAAGAGACGGATCTGCTAGAGCCGACGTTGTTGGACGAGCTGATCTGCCACATCTCGAGTTTAGCGTCCGTGTATCATAAACCTCCTACAGCTTTTGTGGAAGGCAGAGCCGCGGGTGCTAGAAAATCGTTGCCGGCTAGGAGTAATTCGAACGAGGACTCTGGCCAACGTGCCGCACAACCACACGCACAGGTTATACCTGCTCAGGACTCCTTGATAGGCGATCTTCTTAGCATGGATATCGGTAAGTGTAAGAACATTAAAAATATATAACGTGTACAATTTCAATCTACAGTATTGAACTCCATACTTTAAATATTCTAATTTCACCCGTTCTTCAGAAATCGCAAGTACTTTACAGTTTCTTTTTATCTTGTTCTGGTCGCAAGAAAGCCGCTTTATTTTCAAGAATTACGTTCTCTTTCATCAATGAAATTTATGAAATGTTACTTATATATCCTAGGTGGACCGACGATAGTTCAACCGGCTCCCGTTCCTCAGTCTGCAGGATTAGGATTGGACCTTTTGGGCGGTGGTTTAGATGGAATTTTGAGTAATACTGACAACACAAGCGCGGCACCAGTTGTTTCCCAGAGCACAACAGGTCTGCTCGGTGACATATTCGGTTTCAATCAAGGTCCTACGGCTTATATACCTCCCAAAGTTAACTGGCTACCAGCGGAGAAGGGCAAAGGCTTTGATATTTGGGGCACATTCACGAGAAAGTAATTAATCAGAATATTATGTAAAAGTGGTAACATGTCTGTATCTTAAAAGAAAAAAAAAGAACGTTCATTTCTTTCTTTCATGGTATAGACATCAATGTGTTGTTTTGTGTTCTAAAGAGCATGTTTGACAAGTTTCTGGATTGCGAGTAATTGTATTACGGAAATTTCATGTGATAACAGGAATGGACAAATCAGCATGGACCTGACATTCACGAATAAAGCAATGCAGCCTATGGGTGGATTCGCGATACAACTTAACAAAAATAGCTTCGGACTAACGCCAGCGCTCCCATTACAAGTACCAGCTCCTCTGAGTCCTGGCGCTAGCATAGAAACAAACATTATATTATCCACCGCGGGTGCAGTGCAACGCATGGAACCATTAAATAATCTTCAAGTCGCTATTAAGAACAACATTGACGTGTTCTATTTCGCCTGCATTGTGCCCATGAATGTGTACTTCACCGAAGATGGACAATTGGATAAGAGAGTGTTTCTTTCAACCTGGAAGGATATACCCGCACAGAACGAGGTATTATTCTGGCTTCTTCTGTTATATTAACAGATTAATATACTATTTATAGAATTTGATACTAAACAAGAACTTTTCTTACAGGTGCAATATACGTTAAACGGAGTAATGCTGACCGCTGATCAAGTTGTACAAAAGATGCAACAGAATAACGTCTTTACAATCGCTAAGAGGAATGTAGAAGGGCAAGATATGCTCTATCAATCGCTTAAACTAACAAACAACGTTTGGGTGCTTAATGAGTTAAAAATCCAGCCGGGTAATCCTGACGTCACAGTATGTTATCATTATTATTCGTATTATGATGTAATTTATCTTGAACTTTGTTTTATAATTTTTCTTCTCATTACAGTTATCCTTGAAATCTCGTTCTGTAGAAGTCGCTCCTGGGGTATTCCAAGCATACAATGCGATCTTGCATTCTTAAGTTTATTTTTCCAATGATTAGGATACGTTGCTATGAAACGTGGATTATAAAAGACATGAGAGCATGTGCAGCAGCCTATTTATAGAAGCTATCTATGTTACACCTGTATTGTGCATGAGACTCAAATACTCTGGAATTCAGTACTGTAGATCTCTGTTGCGGACTAACGAATTTATTATAAAAAGAAATCACGGACGTGTATGGAAATAAAAATTTATGATTATGTGTACAGTTTTATTTGCACATTTTTCTACTTTTACCTTCTACGCAAAAGGAATAGCAATTTTTTATAGAATGTATGCTCATATACAATTCATATATAAATACAATGTATATCATGGTTTATAGAATATATTTATTGAGTACAGAAATCTTTTTTAACAAAAATTTGCATTAAAAATTGATTAAAAACTTTAGAAATTGAGTCTTACTAAAATTGTTTAATTTTTTACATAAGAAAAGAACTTTAGATAATATTCTACCTGCTTAAGAATTATGTGACAATTTAAAAATAATAAAATATCTACCATCAATTTTCAACATTTGTCATAAAATATAATTTTATATAAAACATACAATATAGACAGGTTATATTCAATAGCTAAATGATGCTGTAAAATTACGACATATAGTTTTTATTTATAAAGTGAGAGATACAACGAGCAAAATTAACATTGCACCTTTCTTCTAAAAGAGCAACCTTCCGTTAATCTTGCTTTACCACCTGTCGGTGTACATAATATCGTTCTGCATCCATCACATTCCACTGGTCTCTGGGCATGTGAGAAGATGGTTTTTATGGCATAGCAACCAGGGCATTTTACATCCATAAAATAGCTATTTGGCTTTTGCACAAGCCTCTTTAGCTTATGTTTCCTCTTTTCTTCTATCGGACTAGGATGGAGGAAGTCCCTTGCTAGTGGCATTCTGCAAAATAAATTGTACTTTTAGAAAATGTACAAAACATCCTCATAAGACATTACCTCTAATAAAACAGTTATTTTTTTACATGCGTTTATAAAATGAGATTTGTAGAAATGGAAAATCATATGTATGCAACATTGTGCAATTTTATAGTAGTGTTTATATTTAAGTACTTGACAGAAGAGAATAAAATAGCAAATAATGTAATTTTTCGGATTGTTTAAATAGTTTACTAACGTAGATATAACAGAGAATAAATAGCTAAAAGATAACTTGCGAATATATGAGTCGCTTACATACTAATGCATTCTCAACATACGATGGGTAATATCATGACCGAAACCATGGTATGCCGTTTCGATATGCGCAAATATAATTTACCTCTGGTCAAGTTAGTGCTAACTTTTTAAGAATAAACGAAATCCGCATAATAGAAAATGGAATAATAGATACTTACTTGATTCGCTGAATATTTCGTCTTAAATTTGATAATTGCAATCGTACCCACGTGTTTATACAGCAGAGTTACGCTCGGAAAGGAAACAGCAGCCGATCATGCAGTTGACGTGATATTTAAATCTCTAGAATCTCGTCAGAATTACCAACCTATTTTAGTGGACAGTTGATTTTTCGTTCAAGTAGTATAACTCAACGGCAGGTTAGCCATTTTATGATTTCAAATAATACAATATAATGAGTGAAAAAAAATCCTCTTTTATTTTCAAATTTCTCAAATTCTCTTCATTATCTAAAAAAATATTTTGAGGAAGGAAAGAAATTATAACACTTTTCCGTCGTTGAGTTTCAAAACGCATTCCGTTTGTGCCTATAAATTTGTTTGGATTGGATATTTTTGGAATTGCATGTTTCCTATCTTATAATTATTTATAATTAATGTATAAGATATATAAAATATTAGCATACAAATTTCCAATTTCTATCATTTCTAGAATATGTAAGATATTTTCAAAATAATTTTTAACTGTAAACGGAAATATTATTTTGATTTACGATGTCGCAGAAGAAAAGAGTACTTATGATCTGTTTAGGTAAAAATATATATAATATTGCAGATATATATATAAATAAACATAGTTTATAAAATTAATTAGTGAGAATGTAATTATTAATATTAATTCTATATCCAATATTACAGGCAATATTTGTCGATCGCCAATAGCAGAGGCTGTATTCGACAGTGAAATAGGCAAGAGAGGTTTAAGAAATTATTGGGAAGTAGAAAGTGGTGCTCTAATAGGATATCATACTGGTAAAAAGCCAGATCATAGAGCTTTGAGTACATTAAAAGAAAATGGAATCACTAATTATTCTCACAGAGCACGTCCAGTAAGGCTGTTTAACTAAAACTAAATATCTTGGTTATATAAGTTATCAATAAGTTATACAATAAATTAATGAAAATATTTAAATTTATCTATTGTTTATTTATACCTACAGATTAAACAAGATGATTTTGAAAAATTTGACTGGATATTTGGTATGGATAATGACAATATAATAGAATTAAACAATTTAAAGCCAAGAATATGTCGAGCAAAAGTAGAACTTTTAGGAAGTTATGATCCAAGTGGAGAAGTTATAATACGTGATCCTTATTATGTATGTCACTTTTAAATACACATAAAGAATTAAAATTAGAAAATTAGGAAATTAAAATATTAAATTATCATTATTTCATTATAGGATAGTGGTAGTGCTGGATTTCAAAAAGCCTATGAACAATGCCTAAGAAGTGTAACAGCATTTTTAAATAAACATGCAAATTAATATAGGTAAAATAATCAAAATATTAATTTTACAAAAGAAAAAGTATGTTTTGTTTCTTAATACATATTAATGAAAATTTGTCTGAATTGTTGAATATTCCAAAAAAGGTAATTTTCTCTTGATATAGTGTCTTCTTATTCAATAATTTCCTCTTGATATAATATCTATTGCTACTTTATGACCTGTTTCAAGATAATTGCATATAAATATAAAGTAATTATAAGCTATACAATATAGCAGTATAAACTAAATTTTAAGTTATACAATGAGTAAGAATCTGTTATGATAAATTTTACTCCAAAATCTTGTATATTTAATACATGATTTTGTGAATGTAAATTATATATACAAAATGGTATAATTGTTATATATTTTATATATACTACCTTTTCCTAAAACAACTTCCCCTTTTTTCATAAATATCATTAAAGTTTAATTTATGAATAGAATTTTACTTAAATATTTTTTATCTTACTGTGCAATAACTTACTTACATTTTGAAGCTAACAAAATAAGAGATGGAATTTTATTATTAACTAATTCAATAAAGTAGATAATTATTTTTACAAAAAACAAGATTTACTGTAAGCTGTAATGTTAGCTGTTAAGTTCGGGAAACATAGTAAGAAGTCTAGGTTTCGTTAATAAACTATTAATGCACATGTACTGATGAAAGAAATTTATCAAAAAGTCACTTCATAGATGCATACTGGACTTAAAATTGTCTAACAGTTAGGAATTGTGTTAAACCGAGAGGGAGTCCAAATCTGGTTGAGTTGTAAGCATGTCAGAAACTAAACAGCTTCATGGTTTTTGTAAGTTGTTAGTTCGGGAGGGGAACATATGATTCATAGAGATTACATCAGGATCTTAAGTTTGTGCCCAAAAATGGTTATGCGACTGTACTGCAGGATTTCTCAGGGATAAAATTTAGGAGGATGAATCATTGTAAACTAAAGGCAAATAGCGTGAGAAATTTTATATGTTTTTTTATGATGTAGCATGTAATGCTAGCTAGCTATAGCATATATAGCTAGATATAGCATATAATATAGCATGTAATGTAGTAAGAATACATTGCAAAGTTTTTCCTATCAATTTACAGACATTAAAGTTCCCACTAGCTTAAAAGAATCAGCAAGATGCAAAAGAAGAAAGTCCTCATGGTTTGCTTAGGTATTTTAATTTAACATTAATATTAACTATAAGCTAAATTACTAAGATATTATTTCTTAGCAAAAAGTATAAAAATTATTATCTAAATAATTTTCTTTTATATTTTAACAGAAAAAGATAAAATTAAAATAAAAGAGAAAATCTATACTACCATAAAAAAGAAATCAGAAGTAATTATTTGATCTTTTACTTTAAAAAATAGAAAACTCTGAATGCTTTAAGGTTATAAATACTCCTATTTTCAAATATATAATGAAGCAGAGATGTATGTACTTCATAGAATTATATTTGTCTAAGATATCCATCTTAATATTTTACTAATTAATAGCAATTTCTTAAATGGAATAAATTAAAAATTTAATAATGATAAAATAATATTGTTAGACTTTTAAATATGTCTTATAATTTAGTATGCAAAATTACTAAATATTTTTATCAATTTACAAAATTTTTTAGTGTGTTTTAGAAGAAACATATTCTTCTACATTAATATTTCCAAATTAATAAAGCCATGTGTCAATCTTTTGTATAGGAAATAGCTGTCGTTCTCCCATGGCAGAAGCGATATTTCGAGACGAAATACGAAAAATGGGCTTATCTGATTTATGGGATGTTGAAAGTGCTGCTATTTTAGAGTATCACATAGGAAATGGCCCTGAACCCAGAGCAATGTCTACGCTTAGAAAGGCCGGGATTATAAATTATTCTCATATCGCAAGAAAAGTGAGTTGATGTTTAAATCTTAATCTTTTGGTATCTATCAATTTAATGTAGTTCTTAATCAGATAAAATTAATTACATACAATTATTGCTGATTGTTTTAGATAACAATAAGCGATTTCTATAAATTCGATTGGATATTTGGAATGGACGAGTATATTATTTATAGATTGTACGCAATGCAACCAGAGGATAGTCAAGCAAAAATTGAACTACTTGGGAAATATGATCCAGCTGGAGAAATTATTATAAGAGATCCTCTTTTTGTATGCATCATACAAGATATTATGTGAAAAGCAATATTCTTATTTTCGACAAGAGAGTTTCAAAATTGTAAAATTAATCAATAATTCAAATTAATTTTTTTCCAACATTAGGATACCGGTAGTGCAGGATTTGAGAAAGCATTACAACAAGCTCTAAGGAGTGTGCGTACATTTCTAGAAATGAATAAGGTATGAATGTTCTTCTGTTCGAATATGCTTGTCATATTTTAGATATCAACTAAAATTTGTACCTGTTTTATTTACAGAATGATACACAGAAAGAATCAAATAAAGATCAGAGTTTTTAATATATTTTTGTTAAAAATACTTACAAAGTTTATCTTATCAATAGCTAATTATTGTTTCAGAAAATGTTGTACATAAAATTAAAATTTACAAAAACTCATTTAACCTTTCTACCATTTATATATACTGCTACTATATTACGATCATCACCAGAATGTATAAATCTTTGGAGTTTTTCTTCAAGTGTATATTCAATTTCATTTAAGTCATTTAATACGCTGCCATCTGAATTCAAATCTATTATAAGAGCATCAAATTCCTTGCCTGGTAGAAAATTACCAACTTTGTCACCGATTGAGAGTGCTAGAAATGTACATGAGTAGTTGCATTAAGGTTGCATAATATATATATTATAGATATGATGTTAAAGCTTACCATTAGCACTTCCTAAAGTCGCCATATAGAAGACATCCTTATAATTAAGTGGTATATAATTATTTTTCAATATAAATAACTGATTTGACACTTGCAAAGCTGACCTCATTGCATCCAACATACTAAAACTGAATCCACCTGAAACATCTGAAAAGATATTCGCTATTTTAACATAATGGATATTATTATAATGAATTAATATTATTAAGTTTATATGTGAATATTATTTCATTGAACAAAAGCGTAAGAAAAGTGTAAAACGTTTGTAATCGTAATTTGTCGGTACCTGTTCCGAGGCCGACTTTAATTTTTTCAGTTCTTAATCTTTGCACATCGCAGAGACCGCTTTTCAAACATGTATTAGAAGATGGACAATGGATTATAGCAGTTTCACGCGTTTTAATCATAGTGAGCTCAGTGTCCGTGAGGTAAATTCCATGTGCCAATACCGTCTGTGAAAGAAAAATCAGGTATGTATTATATGTACGCAAAAATAAAGAAACAATGGTATGGAACTATTTATTGATTTTTTTATTCACATAATATTTAATAAATTAATAAAATAAAATATACCTTAGATGTAAGAAGACCAGCGGCATCATAAACAGCGGAGTATGAAGATTGTTGCGGAAAAGTTTTCCGTACCGCTTGTATTTCCGCTTTATTTTCGGAAACGTGAGTCTTTGAAAAAAAAGGAAAACAATGTAAATTATCGTCAGCGTACGTATGCATGCGAACGTAAATGTAAAATACCTGTATATGCAGATTCTTTTCTAGAGCCATTCTTGCTAATGTTTGCATCAATTCCATATCACAGCTCAATGCGAATCTCGGTGTGATAATCGGTTTTACAAGTGGACTCTACAAAAAATTTTAGTTAGCAGTTCTTTTGTTTATACAATTTGCAATTTCGTATTTTCACAATTGAAAAGTCATCACGATGTACAAGTAACGAATTATAAATTAGTATTTTACCCCTAATTGCTCAATTTCTCTCACGAAACGTTCAGTGTTTTTAATCGACGCTTCAGTAGTTTCATAATATCCATCATCGCGAGAAACATTCATATTCACTTTTCCGATGAAAGCTCGTTGACCAAACTGCATGACTTTTTGCGCAAGAATCGTAGACGCCTCAGCGTATAGAGATGCAAAGTAACATGCTGTCGTTGTGCCCGCTCTGATAGTTTGTTTCTGTAATAAAATTCCTAACGATATATATGTTTTTAAGATATTATTCTATCTTATACTATTCATAAAATAAAATTATTGTCATAAAATAAAACTATTTCTCATACTACAGCTGCTTCAAAAGCTTGTGCCGCAAAATTCACATCACTATATTTCTTTTCCAATGGGAAAGTGTAGGTCTCCAGCCAGCCCAAGAGATCTTTGTCGTAGCCTATCCCAAGATTTGGAAACTGAACTGCATGAGTGTGACCGTCGATGAATCCAGGTATTAGAAATTGTCCATCATCTAATATAAAAACTTCGTCAGGGATGTTATAGTTCTTTGCTGTTGACATATTAACGTCTGTCAAAACATTGATAATCTGTAACATTGCAAAAAATACTAATTAATATTGTTTTCTTTTTAGAGTAAAATTATTTATTTAAATCATTAATAAATAAAAAATATGTATATGAGAAATATATAAAGTACATACCTTGCCATCCTCGACTAATATAGCACCATGCTGAATAATAATCAATGTCTCGTTATCATCTGTATGAATCAATGGACCAACAAAAACCTGTCGAACCATCGCACAATATTTTTTGGGCAGATGCCGCTGGAACGATAAGTTTCACGTGTATTGCAATTTTACTTTGTAACTGTATAACTTGTGTAAGTTTCGCAAATGTTTAAATCTTATTTCTAACATTTATCTTCTAATGATAAGATCTTAATATTTATAATGATAAGATTTATGATATTTTTTTATTCTAACACTATCGTTCATATTTTTCAGGTTGCGGTGATTCTCGCTATATTCGCGAGTCAACATCACTTAGCAACCGTTCTATCACACAAATTATCGTCGATAGATTTTCGCTGTTCAACACGAACATTTAACACTTTTACTACAATATCGAGAAAACACTTTGTTATTCCATTGTTTTCGACATGCCGAACAAAAAAGAGCAAAAAATGGAAAAAACGAAAAAAACGGATAAACCACCAGTGGATCCTCATCGAGAATTCCTGGACATGGACACAGACGAGGAAGATTTTGGTCGACAAGGTGTCTCCTCATAACTTATCTTCTTTGAGCTTTGCATATTTAGCCATAATCAATGCATTAATTAATTACAAGAAAAATAAGAAAGATTAAGTTCATAATTTACAATATTGGTGAATGATGTTTCAGAAAGTCCTGAAACCGAGGAAGAACTTCCTCCTGAACCAATCAAGCCGGTTTTTGACGAACAGGACTTAGATAATTTGGTCGGTGATTTGTAAATTTATTCAGGCACTTTTTTATGCTTTTTACGAGATCCAAATATCATTCAAATTATAATATTATTGCTGCAAGAGCACACAAAATCATAGAAGTTTCTGATAAAAGGGCTAATTTTATAATATAATATTTTCCGTTGCCTGTTTGCTTTTTATTTTTTTATTTTTGTTCTACTTCTATCTTCTTTATTTCCTTTTATTCGTAATCAAATTTTTTCAATAGACAGTATATGCTATCATAATATTATAAATTTTAGGCCATCCATTATGCAAATTTGTTTCTAAAAACTTGATACATTCTGTTGTTTGTCAGATATTCTTACTATGACTAGAGATAAGGTATCATGTAAAAAATATAGTCTTAGAGGTTATGACTAATATTAATATTGATTTTCATAAAAAAATATATTATTTTACTTTAATAATGCACTTATTTCTAAATATTCATATAAGATATTAAATATTAAACCAGAAACAAAAATATGTATATTCTATTGTCTCTATAAAATGCTTCCTCGTATATTACAAAGTAAAAGAATTTTAAAAAAAAAAGATAAGAGAATTTAATTTTCGATTCGAGGAAATTTAAGCGGTGTATAACATATATATGTAACGTACACACAGTACACGTATATCTAAACAAGTTAATAAATTTCGACATTGCATATCTATAATATCACACACGTACCTTCGTCAATTGATATCGAGTAGGAGCACAAAGATATGAAATGAGACTTACTTACGTAATTTAACCGCTCGTTCTACGTTGAGATAAAGATATGGATTAGATAATCTTTCAATGTACTCTTAGAGACATAATAATTAAAGATAATAGTTAAAAATTTCTAAGGAAATCTTTAAAACCCAGTAAGTATCATCGATGTTATAATGTCAGCTAAATCATATGGTATGTTACACAATAGTTGCTTTGTTATATAACAGAGTAACAGTTACGTAACATACCATATGATTGAGCTAACATTGTAACATCGATAATATTTTGTGTTTACTGGGAAGAATATAAAAGATTCAATTTATTTTAAACATACTGCTTTAAATACTTTAAATGCTTTAAATAAAAACTGCTTTAATGTTTAAAAAGGACTTTAAATACTTTTTTATAATTTTTTACATATTTCGATTAAGACGAATATGATGATTAAGCTTTAAGTCAAAGCTTTTTTTTCAAACAGTTTAGCAAGAAAAACCACTTTTAGTTTATCATAATTTAAATACTATCAATAATTCTAAATTCTTAAATATTTATCCTAGATTTATCTTAGATTCCTAATATCAATAATTCTAGATCCCTAATATCCTCATGATGCTATTTTACAGGTACAATATGTGAAGGATCTTACAGTGCTTCCTTCTATTAAGGATTCTGATTGGAGTCAGGACTGTCATACGGTTATCCACGAATATTTTGAAAATCCAGCTCACGCTTTATTGAGTGTATATTTCGATATAGGAGGCATATTAAATGTGCGATTGAATGTTCCCGAAGAAAGCCGTAGTGGCTTTGTATATTTCCTGCGAACACCCTGGCATGTGTTCACCGTTGAAAATTTTCACGCCACGGTAATCTTCGGCAGCATTAATCGGAATACTATGATGTGCGTGTTAAAAGCGATAGAGAATATGTACGTACCCGTTGCGTTAAACAGCAGCGAATGGCCAGAAAGTATCCTTTTGCAATTGATTGTCACAATCGTAAAGTTTGATGATAATAACAGCTCCAAAGTTTCTACAATTATGTAAAAATATAGATGTTAAATATTATTATATTATTTACTATTATTATATTATTAACATAATTAGTTATAATTAATTACAAAGTTAAAAACAAGTTTCAAAGGAAATTCACGAATATTATAACAGAGTTGACTGACAAACAAACCAATGAAAATTTTCTTTAAAGAAAACAGTTATCAGAAATAATCTGTTCCGCAATTTGCACAATTTTTTAATGTGCTTGACCGAACGAGTTTACAAGCCAATGGGTTTGACCAAGTTATACGTACCAAGAGAGAAATTATCTGAAATCGTGAAATCGCCGATAGATGAAAAACTGACCTCGTTTGAAGAAAGTAGACAGCGTGTTTCTGAAGAGCTGAGTGAGTCAGAGAAGGCACTGATAGAAAGGCTTGAAGGGATTGTATGATGTTGGATCAGACAGGTCCGCGAAGTACTGACGAATACATCCACGAATGAAACCAGACAGACTGTGTTTGATGAACTGCAATATTGGACAGCGATATGTTAGTTTCAGATATTGCTCAATTTCATGTATCGAATTGTAAGCGATCGTCGGTTATATATCTTGCGTGTAGCCGCACAGTTCCGTTTCGGTCTGATGTAAGGACACTGACCTTTTGATCTGGTTTTACCGAATATCAGTGCAACAAGATCTTTCATGAAAATAAAGCACTTTCTCCAAACCGCAGATAAAAACTTAAGCGAAAAGAACGGCGATTGTCTCGATATTTTTGATGTTGAATGTACACTTCATCCAAGTGGAATTTTAATTTTGTATTGAAATATTTAAATTTATATATTGAGTTAGTATAAAAGTTTTGATGAATTTCTCAAAGATATCATAGCATGATCCAGTTTCATGGCAGCACTTACAAATATATACATTTATACAATAAACTAAAAATAATAAAAAATAATGGCGAGATTACTTGACAGAGTGAATAAATCGTTTTTAATAAAATGACTTGATCCAATTTTTATATCACGAATCTATCTAAACTTTTACATTCATTCAATATTTTACAAGGAATAGAAAGTTACAGTAAAATCACTACAAAATTCCTTTGAATCAATTTTTATAAACAGAGATTTAATTAAAAACTTGGTTGCTAAAATATATAATTTTGGGAATTGAGAAATCACAAGAAAAAATATCTACTTGAATTTTCTTAAAAATAACGTCAGTTGTGAACTTAATAAAGCTTAAACTAAATTGAGAGAAAGTATGTTATCTCCGTTACTTTTTGACATATTAATTTGTACTTTAATGTAAACTAAATAAACGAATACGAGTTAAATGTAATAAGCATTGTACTTCTAACTTATAAAGTGTTTCGTTTGCAGATTTTGATCTATGTTGTTTACATGACCAGCTCTCGAATGAAGAAATTCAATCGATACTGCGTCTGTTGGAGAACGTCTGTTCCCCGAGTGTGGATTCCTTTCATCTCCTAACCGTACAGCTTCATGAAGGATTAGAACAAGCGGCGTCCAATGTAACGTATCTAAAAATCTTATCGGATACTTGTAATGATCTAAGATGTCCAGATCAAGTTGAAGAACCTGTGATGAAGATTATGTTCCTGATGCTGTTCATTTGGATGGAGTCGTCGTTTTATAACGTATCGTACGGCTCTATAGTTTTGTTCAAGCTTGCTATTTTTACTTATTGAAAGGTCAAGCAGATCGAATTTCTATCTAGTCTTTCAGTTAGGTTGAACTTTCTCTCTAGTCCTTCTAGTCCTTTAAAACAGGATTCTAGTTCTGTTGTTTCTTTCATTAAAAATTAGATAATGTTACTGGCAGAATTTAATTAATAAAAAAGAGATTGTTATTTCAGAAGCAATATAGAAGTACTTTGCCAAGCCGTGAGCGCTCAGGTGGTGCAACAATGTAAAGAGTACATTGATTTACAAGCATTATTAGAGGGTGATGCAGAAAATGGGATAAACATGCTTAAGAAATGCATATGTTGCTGCCATATATACAAAACCGTATATAATAAAGTACGACTTCAGTCTATTAATCGACAAATTTAGCATATTTTCTCAAATCCTCTGTTTTCGAGACAAACTATCTGTTATCGATTTTTTAACGATTAAAACATACAACATTCGTGTCTTAAGAATTACCTAATTGCCAACATTAGCGGAAACTACGTACAGCAGACGTTAATTTGAGGAAAGTTGTTTGAAATTGGCTCTCTCGATAATTTTTTTTAGAATTGCCACTTAAAAGGAATTAATTGTAGGTTACGAGTATAACCGTGAGCGTTAAATCGAATGGAGACTGGAACGTAAACGATCACATAGTCTTTAATCGCATTGACATATTCACGCGAAGGTGTTATGATGTCATCGAGATATGTAACGCTTTGATAGTGTTTGGAAGGTAACACGTAATAACATATCTTGCACACCAATGCCTCAAGACGGAAATGTTATAACATACACCGATAATTGCATCAATCATGCATTATATAAATTTTAAATAGACGTATTAATTAAAAGATAAATATGAGCAGCTCTCTCCTGCATACTTCGATTTCGCTAATCTTAATTTAAATTGTTAATTTGCTGTCTTATAAATTAGGATTGATAAATAATTTGTCAATAATTTCCGTAAGGCGCAACAAAGTCGGAATGATCGGAAGTGCAAAAGGTACACAATACGAGGCATATTGTCGCAGAATAGAGGATTTATTTTACGAGAATCTCGATGAGATCAAACTGGTCCGCGACGACATTCTAGATGTTACGAAATCCACATGGCTCGAGTGTATGCAGAAGTTCAGGGACTCCATAATGGAATTAGAAAACATGGTCAAGACCTTGATTGATTGCATATTCGTAGAAGTTCAAAATGTTGAAGAGGGTATCGAGACTATATACGCTTTGCAGCGTTTTAAACATAGAGAATCCTTGCGTGACACATTATCCATGAAATGGGTACAGGTATAAAGAAAATTTATACAGGACAAGAATAAAAATATGAAACTTTTCGCCACTTATATTGAAATGATTAATAACGAAAGATAATATATAATCTGAAAACTAATACAGCTGATATAAAATTATGAAATAATTTTTTAATTCGTTCTTAGATATGGAAAATATTTGGTGAAGAAATTAAAAGTTGCAACAACAGCATAACTTTGCATGAAGCATGTCATCCATTGTTTCAATGTCATATGAAAGATGCTAATTTATTGTGCGTCACTCGATATTTAGAACAATTATTCCTCATGATGATCGATGCGTCTGACTGGATAGGAGATTGTGCTGCTGAGAAGTAAATGCGACAGAATTCAATATCTTTTTTACCTATCTGGATATTTAGAAATCTTGTGAAAATGGGAATAATAAAATATATATTTTTAGGTATATATTGAAGCAATACAAAGAAGTAGTAAGTGCTATCGATAATAAAAAATCGCACATTTTAAATCTTGAAGGAAATTGATAAACAGTATTGTTATAAATTGAACTCGAATAAAATGTGTTACTGAGAACATTAAAATGTGTTTTTTTATTTATAAGATATTTCAATTACAAGGTGTATCTTTAAAAAAAGATTTAAACAGAATTAATGTTATCTCAATAAAAATGTATAATTTAAAGAATCTGTTGTAATGAAAGTTTCTTGTTGCATTCGCATAACGCACATAGTGACGCACATGCTCTGTATACATATGACGTTAGCCACGTAATATAAAAGGAAAGTATCATTGGAGAATCTTCCTTCTATCCCTCTATTCCCTTTTAACTTAAAGCTCAGATTTCTATAGCTATAGCATGGGAAATTAGACTCAACAAAGTTATACCTGTTCCAGATCCTGCTATAACCTTTATTGGCGACTCTAGTGTAACATGAGATCTTTGCATAATTTGTAATAAATGCTGTCTTGAATCGTGTATTATCTAAACGAAACTGTTACGAATTTTTGCGTATCCCTACCTTCACGATTTCCCGCCCGTTTCCCACAACGTCTCTTGCCAATATGCCTTTCGATCCGCTTGAAGTACGCGGCAGTTCGCGTGTTCATAGTTACGCGCTGACTGCTGGAACGAACGGAATCGAAATTCGCTGAGAGACCGCCACAGGGCACAGACCACATGGTACCAACGATGGCTGATGAAACGAAGGAGACGTTATTAAATCGCGTGAAAGAACAAGGCGAAATAGTGCGGCAATTGAAAGCTGCCAAAGCCGATAACGCGCAGGTACGCGACGCACAATTTTTATTCCTCTTCTCGAGAAAATACTGGTGTTTCATTTTGCGACAGGCGTGTACGCGTATCCTTTCCCTCTTCGTCTTCAGGCTACGTCCCGTCAATTATCACTAACCGTATCCCCTTCACTTGCTTCCACGGAATTATGTTGAAAGCACGTTCAATATCATTGCACAAGACTAGCGCGTTTCATGAGTCTTGTGATGTTTCTTATTCACTGAGAAACGTTTCCATTTTCTTACACTTGTGATACACCTGGCTCATACTTGCTTTCCTTTCATATTGTTAGATACGTTAATTTTACACTGTCTTTAAATTTAAATTGCTTTCTCTTTTTTCTCTAAAATCTGTTTGTGCAAAAGATATAAAATTATATATTTATTACTTTATTTTTATATAAAGAAAATGCAAATATACAAATAAGGTTAATATTTGTAACAGGGACAGAATATGGTGGATTCTTTGAGACATGATATTGAGTTTTGTTGTTAGAACTATTAAGTTCAAAGCATAGATTTTTTTTTTATTACCAAGGTATGAGCTTTGCTTCAGGGAAATATCTTTCTTCAGGGATGCAGAGAACAATCTGACATAAATGTTGATTTAGAAAGCTTAAACAATGATTTTGCGGATATCAGCTATGTATGTGGTTGGTACCCAACATCCAAAGACACTGAACTATTTGATACTTGTGTCATCCTTAATGATGAGCTTGCAAGGTGGCCTCATCTGAATAGATGGTACATTAACATCAAAAGTTTTACCTATGATGAGCGTCTAGCGTTTCCTATTGTGGAAACACCGCTCACTTCCTTGGCAGAAAAGATCAAACGCCTAAAGGGCACTTGCTATGTTGGTAAAAATGTACTAGATAAAAAGGTGAGGCAGTTGGTTGCTTGCAAGCAAAGCTGCCATAAATTATTGACAGTTAACTGTTTAGGAAGGGAATGTGCTTGTTTCTTTTCTTAAAATGCATAAATGATTGCTTGAAAAATTAACATAGTGGACATAGCTTACAGGGAATTCTTAAAGGGAAGTTTTTATTAAAGACAATGTCTTTATTAATTATAGACAACAGCAGTAATTTATGGCAGCCCCTTGCTAGCTTGCTTACTGATATCTCTGCTGTTTGGACTAGTCTGATAACCAACATTGAGGGGCTTTTCTCTTTCATTCTGGTTGTCTTATAAATTCCCTCGTCATTCATGATGTTATCACGCCTGATACGCGCCAATTCTTTCTCCGTCATATGGAAATATTACAACATGCCGATGTCCACGGCATCACAGGTGGGTTTTGATGTACAGTTATTGTATCCTGGATAATTGAGAACAGAAACGATGTCACATTCCATGCTTTAATTGCAAATTCGTTTTACATGTTCATAGATAGCAGAGGAAGTCGCTAAATTATTGGATCTGAAAACGCAGTTAGGGGAGGAAAATGGTTGTCCCAATAAGCTCATTCTTAAAACACCCAAAGGCACTAGGGATTACAGTCCAGAGCACATGGTACTACGAATGGGAGTTTTGGAAAAGATAATCGCAGTATTCAAACGTCATGGCGCAGAAACAATAGATACCCCTGTATTTGAGTTGAAGGTAAAAATTGCTACTACAGAAAAAATAGTCCATTGATGTTTCAACTTGAATAATACTGATTCTTGTCACAGGATGTCTTGACAGGTAAATATGGTGAAGATTCCAAGCTCATTTACGACCTAAAAGATCAAGGTGGCGAAATTCTTGCTCTTAGATACGATTTAACAGTTCCTTTCGCGAGATATCTAGCCATGAGCAAAGTAGCTTCCATGAAAAGGTATCACATCGGAAAGGTCTATCGAAGGGATAACCCGTCCACGACAAAAGGCAGATACAGAGAATTTTATCAATGTGTAAGCATATGATACGTATATTACCAAGTTAAAGTATTTACCATGTATGTTTTACATGTTACTATATTTTTAATTGATATACGTATTTTTTTCAGGATTTTGATATCGCTGGCCAGTATGATCCGATGATACCGGATGTGGAATGCATTCGAGTCGTAACAGAAGCGTTGGAAACTCTAAATTTAGGACCGTATATGATTAAATTGAATCATAGATGCATCTTGGACGGTATATTCGCAGCATGCGGTATACCACCAAGTAAATTCCGTAGCATTTGCTCAGCCGTAGATAAGTTGGATAAAAATCCTTGGGAAGAAGTGAAGAAAGAGATGATCGAAGAGAAAGGATTGGACGAACATATTGCCGATAAAGTCGGCAAATATGTTTCTCAGTCTGGTGGAATGGAACTGATAACAGAGTTGAAAAAGGATAAAGACTTAATGAAACAATCCTCCGCTGTGCAAGGCTTGGATTCTATGGAATTGTTATTGAAATATTGTAGCATATACAAAATTTTGGACAAAGTAAAGTTCGACTTGAGTCTCGCGAGAGGCCTCGATTATTACACAGGTGTTATTTACGAGGCCATTTTGTGCGGTATGTAAATCAATTCACTCGGTTTCTGGGAAGAAAAATTTCTTAAATAAGCAGATGCAAATTTTTAGAATTATTCTTGATTTCGCTAATTTTGTCAATAATCTCATCGATTGCGGCACTTTCTATCAAAAGATAATTTTGCCTGTTACATGAAGTTATAAAAACTGCTGCAAAAATAACTTTTATAAAAAATAAGTTTGGTGATGTCAATATTCAATAATTACTTGTAGGAGACGACGTTGGTGTTGGTAGCATAGCAGGCGGCGGCCGTTACGACAATTTGGTTGGTATGTTTGACAACAAGAACAAAAATGTACCTTGTGTCGGTGTATCGTTGGGCGTGGAGCGGATATTCAGCATCTTAGAGGCGAAATTGACGAACAAGGGTTTGAAGATGCGTTCTACTGAGACCGAAGTATTTGTAGCCAGCGCGCAGAAGAACATGCACGAAGAGAGAATGAAGATAATAGCAGATTTGTGGGAAAATGGCGTGAAAGCTGAACATTCGTATAAAAAAAACGCAAGACTGTTGGTGCAGCTGCAATTTTGCGAGGAAAATGGTATACCGCTGGCGATAATTGTCGGTGAAGGCGAACTAGCGAAAGGTGAGGTCACATTGAGAGTTGTCTCGACGCGGAAAGAAACCCGCGTACCGCGCGACAACATCATCGAGGAAATACGAAAGCTGCTAGAGACGTTGTAGCATTGTAGACCGTAATAACTTTGTATGCGTGTACATCTCGCAGTCTCTAGAGAATTGCACCAGTACAAGAACCAGTAAAAAAGAACATATTTATATCGCATTTAGTCTCATTTTAACCTACGCGTGGAAATAAAAGTTTATTTATTAGATCCGGACCGAATTTATTATATATTGTGTTATGCGATGGTTCCATCATCGTTGAACGATTAGAATATATAATCTAACAATATAACCGTATATAGTAAGCAAATCTACATAACGTCCGCGACGTTCTGTATTCTCTATATAGACAATTTTACAAGCAGAATTTACGATAGCAATTTCGTACTACCGTTCGAAAAACCAAATACAATTTATAATTTATTTCGCAAGAAGTTTTCAATAAAAACTCGTCACTTCGTATTTCATAAAAGGCGTCTTTTATTACGTCCGAGAATGTCGATTTTAAGATACAGCGGAATAAATATATTGTGGATTGTTTTCGGACGTCCGAGCGATTTGGTCCATGTGCTGATATCTAACGGAGAGAAGTGAATATGGTTGCGAGAGTGACTGTGATAAATGTGTTGCGCACAATTACAACCTCGTGATTGACAATCTTTTAATTGATACTATCGATCCGTTAATTATTTATCGACCATTCAACGTAATACTGTACGGTAAATTCTCGAATTCACGGACCTTGGACTCAGTGGATTCTGGAGATAATGAAGAAGTTCATCGATTTTCTCTATTATCTAATCGATGTGTTGCTATTTACCAGTAGTCCTCTCTTGATATGTTTTCAATAAATTATTTTATACAATGTGAGTCTGTAAATCCGTTAAATCAAGGATATACTGTATTCATTATATCACAGAATGTGTTTTCGATGTACTACTGAATTTAAATTAAAATTCAATCACATTAATTTACATATCTCTTAATTTACATTACATCTAATAATTATCACATTACTAAGTTACATATCTTACAATTCATAAATTGAATAGTTTACTTGGGAAAAAGTACTATGAAAATTCGACCAGTCTGGAAAATTAAAAATATTTTTGTATACTGATAAAATTAAATATCGAAAAATTGATTAAAATTATAAGCTTCTTATAACTTTTACATAAACCGATGCGTCAATTACATCTGTTTTATCTTATGACTCTTGCTTATGCGTTGCCTAAATGATGTAGCCTCATAAAGCGAAACACGAATATTTTAATTGCTACGGTAGAAAGTTTCCAAGCCCCTTCTCCCCAGCGTAGGATAAAATTAATGTCAGTTCTTACGTACACAAAATAACATGCGATATATGCACGAAAATTGTAGGTTTCTATCGGGCAAGATAATGATCTGTACAGATACAGGTTGTACCCGAAAAATTCGGGAAAGTTTCTTCACAAGATCAGGTGATAGATTTTTCAGTCAGTTTGTTCACCTCGGCGTTTCCAATCTGAACGATCAAACTAATTAAATATCTAACTAAATAATCAAATACTTTTTTACGAATATAAGCGAAAGAAAATTGCCCGATCTTTGGACATCCTATCTAGCTTAATCACTAATTTTTTGTCTCATCATGTTTCGGATGAAGACACTCAATTTTGACTTCTTTCAAGTCCGTATCTTCTTTTTGATCACATTTCGTCATAGCTTTGTATTGTTCGAAAGGATTGACCGCGGGCTTCTCTATCACCACTTGCCGTGATGGTTTGTAAAAGTCTATCGACACGCTAGGTTTCTTTCTTTTCAAACCTGAACAATCGCTCGTCGAAAATGTTACGTTCGAAGGATCCCGAGGCTCTTTCAAATTATCAATTCTACACATATCCACATCACTTAGTTTCTCAGTTCTAAGCGGAGTTTCCACCTTGATGTCTACATTCGTTTCCTGCATTCCCGTTTCTATCCTATTCAATGCATCATTAAGATTCACAAGTTTTTGCTCAAGGACACTCTTCTCATCGGAAGACGTTGGATTGTTGTACCTTTCATCCCTCTGACGCCTACCACTCGCATCCACGCATGAAATCACAGTTTCGTTTGATGCTGCGGACGATCCATCGGAAATTCCAAAGACGAAAGGATTAGCCGAGGAAGCCACATCGCGATTCTTCCATGGCGACATTTGCTCCTCTTTCGAGTTTGTAGGAGTAGATATCGCGGAACTTCGAAGCTCGCCCTTCGAGGTCATGCTCATCTCCTCGGCGGGTGACATGATAGTCACCGTCTTCTGATTCACTCTGTTAACGTCGACAAATTTGTTGGTGACGCTCTTGCTGCTGTTGTCCATGGCGAGCGGGCTGAGAGGAGTCGGACTCTTCTCACGTTTAGTGGTATTGACATCGCTGAGACTGAAGGCTCTGACGCGACGCTGCAAATTGATCTGACCGAGCTGCCGTTGAAGAAGTATACCGGCTTTCCACCTCGGCGGCGGCTTCGGCATATGTAACGGCGTGAGGTTTGTCGGACTGGTTTGAACGTTGAGCTGTGCAGGTCTTATCGAGAAACGCCGAATATTGGACGGTGGTTTAATCGGCGACGAAATACCGGGTGGGCCCTCCATGTTCACAAGCGGTTCCTTCGGTGACACGGAAAAGAAAGTCTCCGATGGGACATAAGCTTCTTGAAGATTGCTTTCGTCTATCCTCAGGTTCAGCGGATGTAGATTCTAAAAACAGTTTGCATTTAATCAGGACAGTCTTTATTTTTGCGAAAAAATTATCTATCGAAGATTATCTTTATGAAATTTTACGTTGGTAAAATTTGACATAATTAATTGTCTAACATTATCCTGTCACTGTGTGACTCGATTAATCTTTATTTATATAATACTTTCGACGCTTGAAAATCTGTTATGTTAATTTTGTAATTTGAATCTTGAAGAACATAATCCTTAGTGAGTGTAAACTTACCGGCAACCGCGATGATCCGTAATCGGGAGGCGTTGGAGGACTTACTGGAGTTGCTACCGGTCTCAGAGAGAATCTTCTAGGTTTTATAGCGAGACTCCCTCTTCTGAAGAAGGACGGTGTGTTGGAACCGGAGTAATTGTTTTCAGTTGTCCTCAGGGACATTCTTCTACTCGACTGGTACGACTGCGTTCCAGTCACCGTATCCTGATTGCTTTGCGTTCCTGATACAGGCGCACTGGGTGAAAACAAGGTGAACAAACTGGGCAGCTTCGGCGGTGTCAAACTAGCCGTTCCTAGTTTCCTCTTTGGTTTCGCGACATATTCGTCGGGAACCGTTCCCACCCTCGCGTGGAGAGCGGTCAACGCCCTGAGGAAGTCCGCCAAGCTTGTCTCTTCTAACAAGGCGTTACCTTCCAGGTAATTCGATAGGTTGCCACCGGTGTGTGTATAATATCTCTTCGCGGTCGAGTCGCGTCTCTCATCCAAGTATGAGGGCAACGGGCCGATCGAATTCTGTTGGCTGTTCTTCTCGTTATCATCTGTGGTAGTCTTATCTATGCTCTTGGTGTTGGGATTCGTGTCCGACGACCTCTTGCTTTGTCTTCTCCATCGGGGGAATAAGTTCTTGGTCGCAGAGATCGGTAGAGCGAACGACGGGAATCTGTAAGATTTGCCATTACTGTCCTTTGATGTGGGCAGAGCGGTCGTATCGCGCGCCTTCATCAGCTCTTGCAGTTTCTTCGAAGCCACTGGACCGGACCAGGTCCACTCACTGTTCTCCCGAGGGACGTTGAAGTCATTCTTCGTGACATGCAGTCGCACCTCACTAGTCGCCCTCGACCGAGGCTTAGTGAACGGGAACCTTTCGCCGCCGATTCTCCATTGAGAGACCTTCGGAGTTTGTTTTATGGAATTGAACGAGTCTGCCGTTTTGCATTGCTCAGTCTGCATGTCAGCTTGATTCGACTGATTTTCATCCTGGTCCCAGTCGTTTATGTCATCCGGCGGCAGCGGTGGTATGTAACCGAGGATATTTACTAAGCGTGCTAAGAGTTCTGCTGGTTGCACCATGGCGTGCGCTGCGAACGTCGCATTCTTGTCTATCCTTTGCAAGTCAGTCTCAGACACCACGCGCGTCAGCTGGTCCTGTGGGAATAATAACGTTAATAACTTGGGATCGAGTGCAAATTGCTCGAATAATAGAAGAATCCGTATAAATGCATTGATTACATATATTTAAGGGATTATTATATTTAATATTAATATATTAATTAATAATTAATAAAATAATATTAATAATTATTATATTTAATAAAAAATTATAGTGTTATATTAAGATGTATTACAATAAAATGTATTGCATACCGCCGGCACTACTTCGCTGTTCGCACGTCGTCGTGGATGGGGCGGTGTATAATTTTCTATACATCCGCCTATCATTAAAGTACGAAGATCCGGAAAACTGTTGCTACGCGAGAGTTTCGCCGGAGGTACTTCATAGTCATACTCGTCCACGTACACCCTCTGATAAAACGAAAGATGTTGATTAGTTTACGATGAACAATTAATCCTATTTCCAATAATTGTTATCTTGAGTCTTTTCCTACAAATGTATTTATTTTGCGTAAGTTATCGAATGAAAGCTTCTTGTGAAGATGAAAAATATTTAGATGTGGAAAAATTTGAGAAGAGAGAGAGAGAGAGAGAGAGAGAAGGAGAGAGAGAGAGGAGAGAGAGAGAGAGAGAGAGAGAGAGAGAGAGAGAGAGAGAGAAGAGAGAGAGAGAGAGAGAGAGAGAGAGAGAGAGAGAGAGAGAGAGAGAGAGAGAGAGAGAGAGAGAGAGAGAGAGAGAGAGAGAGAGAGAGAAGAGAGAGAAGAGAGAGAGAGAGAGAGAAGAGAGAGAGAGAGAGAGAGAGAGAGAGAGAGGAGAGAGAGAGAGAGAGAGAGGAGAGAGAGAGAGAGAGAGAGAGAGAGAGAGAAGAGAGAAGAGAGAGAGAGAGAGAGAGAGAGAGAGAGAGAGAGAGAGAGAGAAGAGAGAGAGAGAGAGAGAGAGAGAGAGAGAGAGAGAGAGAGAGAGAGAGAGAGAGAGAGAGAGAAGAGAGAGAGAGAGAGAGAGAGAGAGAGAGAGAGAGAGAGAGAGAGGAGAGAGAGAGAGAGAGAGAGAGAGAGAGAGAGAGAGAAGAGAGAGAGAGGAGAGAGAGAGAGAGAGAGAGAGAGAGAGAGAGAGAGAGAGAGAGAGAGAAGAGAGAGAGAGAGAGAGAGAGAGAGAGAGAGAGAGAGAGAGAGAGAGAGAGAGAGAGAGAGAGAGAGAGAGAGAGAGAGAGAGAGAGAGAGAGAGAGAGAGAGAGAGAGAGAGAGAGAGAGAGAGAGAGAAGAGAGAGAGGAGAGAGAGAGAGAGAGAGAGAGAGAGAGAGAGAGAGAGAGAGAGAGGAGAAAATGAGCCGAGCAACGAGGTCACTTACTTTGACCTTAGAAAGCTGTAACTCGTTAAAAACGCGGCGTAGGTAGTCGACCTCTTTGTTAAACTCGTTCCAAATCTTGCTCTGCGTGTGCTTGAGATTCATCGCTAGTTTGTGCTCGAGCCTCGTAATCTTCTTGCTGCGCATTCCGCGAGCGATGAACGTCATTATCATGACGATGTAGCCCAACCCGAAGGAGATCCAACAGATCAGGAATGTTTTATACATTATGAACAATGGGCCGCTGCCTTTCGTGTTATCTTGGCCTGCAATATTCAACGGGAAAATCAGAACGATGGAACATTTCCTATTCGTTCGCTTTACTTATAGGAAAGGTTTACTCGCTTTATTTTGTACAATTTTACGCCTCAATTTTACAAATTGCTTTTTGATTTTTCAGAATTTTGCGGTCTATTTCGACTATATTCGTTGTTATTAATTATTGTATATACAGATAATCTTGCTTTTTGATACGTGGCGAGAATAGGGGAAACTACTTACATATTGCGATCCTGCTTTCCACACGCGAGCATGTAATGATAAAAACATTTTCTTTTTAGTCAGGTGAGACGTATAGATGCATAGATATTGACGTAGATTTAAACGCAATTGATATGTGTGATAAAAGCACAAGTGTATACACACGTATCAATCAGGAAAGCTGGTAGAATTTATCGAATGTTATACTTTCAAGTAACCCAGTATTATCAAATCCGTCAACCGAAATAGACTGACATTATTTTTAATTTAAATCTGTCAAGAATAATTGACGGTAACATTTTTTATTTACCTGTTTTCTCTTATTAAAATTAAATGTCTATCACGACTTTTTAAGATTCTGGTATCTTTTCATATAGATATCGTTCGCGAACTTTTATAGATTAATAGCTTTTTCCACTTTACCGTTGTTTCTCACTTGAGACATTGATTTTGCAATTGGTTTGATTTTGCAATTTTGCAAGAGGTGAGATCGTCTTGTTCAGTATATACAAATGCATTAATCGCTGCATAATAAATCACGTAACAAGCGTGTATGACATAATCTCCTGAGCGTTAACAGCTGCTCTCGTGGCCGATTACATTGTAGCAACCGTCGTGCTTTCTCGATATATTTTACCGTACGCTTATCTTCCTGTAGTTCATACATATAAATGAATGAGCACAATACGAATGACATCACATAGTTCATAGAATACAAAAGCGGACGGAATCGCGCTTTCAATCAGATACCGAGATCGCTAGTCTCGTGATTTGTCTTGCGATCAGTACAGTACAGTACAAAGAATCTCGGTTATCGATAAAGAGAAAAAATAAGTTAATCGTCAGCGGCGATGCCGCGACACGCGCGCCTGTTCGCATCTCTGGGAAATCGATAAGATAGAATATTTACCTGCCACGATATCACCAAAACCGATGGTCGTCAGCGTAACGAAAGCATAATAGACCGCCTGATCGTAAGTCCAGCCCTCGTAGTGTGAGAATAGGAACGCCGGAAAGAAGATAAACATGACGAAGCCGGGTATCAGGTACATGAAGATCTGCGCGGCCAGGCCCACCTTACGCGTCTCCAACGATGTCGATTTTGTGGGAGAATAGTCGGGCTGGCTTTGCTTGTAGGATTTATATTTGCGATGAGCCCTGACGAATACCAGGCTGAAGAACTCGCCCAGCTGCGTCAGCAGAATCCCATTCATGGGGATGCCCACCAGTCCATAGAAGATCATCAGGATGCGACTGAGTGTGTTCGTAGGTGCCAGATTGCCGTACCCTGCGTGACAAATTATCGCGTATCAAAATTAATAATTTAGGAAGAACAAAAAACACAAGGGGGAGGGGGGGAGAGAGAGAGAGAGAGAGAGAGAGAGAGAGAGAGAGAGAGAGAGAGAGAGGTCGTTGTAGAAAGAAGGAGCATCTCTACGGGAGATTCGTTAATTTTCAAGGGAACTACTACGTAAGATAAAAATATTATAAAACCGCGAGACATAGTTTCTTCTGTCTAAACTGAGATTCGCGGAGACGTCCTATGCTTTTCTCAGAAATCCTTGAGTTTAAAGTGGAAAAGCTTAAAGCTCTTAATCTGTGCACTTGAATGCTTGCCTACCGATAGTGCTGACGACCGTATAAGCGAAGTAGAAGCTGTTGTAGAAGTCCCATTGCTGCCGGTCCACTTCGCCCTCGGTGTAATTGTACACCGACTTGCCGCAGTACTGGGTAAGCTTCTCCAGAATCTCGTGCTGATCGTGAACATGACCGGGCATATAGTGCTTGTGCAGCAACGCTAAAAATCACACGCGTACGTACGCCTTTGAGAAGAGCGGACTCGCGCTTGGGGACCGATAATTATCTTAGACTTATCTCCGGGATAATAATAGGATAATCTCTTCTCTTCTTTACACAAGACGCTCGCGGACGATCTTTTCCGGGCCGCGCTATTTTCGAGAGAATTGCCATACACGCTATCTTATCGGCCGATATTTGTCGTTTTATATTGCCCGTTTGCACAAACCTTGCCTGGACCTTTCGCTCATACACGCACAGACACGCATACGTACAAACGGTAACTACATGCGAACAAATTTCGCCAATGTACACAGGCATGATCGTTGTCTGAGCGTTGCCTAAGCGAACAAACGAGTTTGCTCTCACATGCGTTCTCAGCTTGTCTCTTTCGACATACACATTCTTCTCTTCGTGAACAAGAGATTTTATTAATATTCATTTTATTAATATTCGTCGCATTTCTTATTTACGATTAAGTAAATAAGATGATATTATTGTTAAAGCGCATCTTGATCGTTGAGCTCGCAAATCTTATTTATTATCTGATACTGTTAAAATAAAAAATCAAGATTACGAAGTTTCAGGCTTTGCAAATAATTCTCGCTTCTGTTTTAGAAGATTGAAACAGCAAGTTCAGGTTGACAAAATTGAATCGAAAGTTTGACTATTTCGCGAAAAGACCTAATTTGAGTTTGCAAAATCATCGGTTGCTTCTTCGTTATCGGTTCGGATTGTTAAGAAATTACATTGTCGATTCTCATGCAGTGGTAGTCTTTCTCTCCATGAGAGAGATCAAGGTTCCCAGCAATGATGGAAATAATTTAAATAATCTTACACTTATTCACCGCATGAAAATGTGATACTTGACGTTCCTCGTAATAGAGCAATTACGTGAACAGGAAGATATTGAGAACAAACATCGAAAACGGATATCGCCAGTTTTGTCAGGATGCGGTGATTTTGACGGGAAACAAGATAATGATTTCGTAACCGGTTGACCCTCCGTTGACACTGACACTGGCCCTCTCTCCAGCGCGACATTGTGACCAACGGGGGCTATTTAAATAATGCCCTTTCTTGCGATAACAATAGCGCGGGGCACGGTCATGAATACAAAGCCCAATGACGCAGACGGATCGACTTCCCGGCTATTTAACAAAGTTGCTCGTTAGAAAAATTTCCATGCATTTTCGCGCGCACACAACCAATTTGACTTACATTTGGCAAGCGCCGAAGAGAGAGCGACGTTCCGACAGTCAGTTATTCTAGAGGAATGAGGACCTGACACGGCTGTAAACCGGCTGTCGTTTGAGAATCGCTCAAGTCGCCGATGCAAAGACGCGAAGTTCTCATTCGCGAAGCCAAACGCATTTCTCTGCAGAGTCCCGAATGCTTTGCACGCTAGGCTCGTTCGCTGCACGATCACGAATGCTTGCATTATCATCGCCGAAATCTCCAAATCGTATCGTGGCCGTGTAATAAAAATGAACGAATTAAGTTGGGAACCGCGTAAAATCATTTGAGAAACATGCAACGCAATAAACACACACACACAGCATAAGTTACTAGTAAAGAACGTATTTAATCAAAAGTTAATTAAGAGTTAAAGAGTGTCTTCAATTTACATTAATCGAGAGAGCGCCTTTTTTTATTGGCCTCCATGGTTCAAGGCGTTCTCATCATGGAGCGATAAAGAAGGTGCTCTTGAGATTTCGTTAATACCAGAATTAAAGTTCAATGTCTCGAAGTGTTAGGAAAACGGATCCAATACCAGGGAAGCATTGTTTCCCAAGCGATTTTAGCGGTTCGCGGTTCGCGGTTCGATTTGTCCATTGTTGCTATGCGGCCACGATGCGATGCACTCGAGATGCACACGCACACGCATACGCGCGCGCACACATACATGTATTATGTTATTAAGATACAATGTCAAATTAACGCGAATGACGTTGCCGATCAAGAACATTGACACTTCGAGCGACTAAATAGCGCGACATGGAATAAAACGCGTCTCGATAGTCAATGACGCGCATGCAAATGATACGAAACTGCGTTTATGTCAAACAGCACATTATTAGTTTTTTCCTTGATGTTCGCCGGCATCAATGAGGCTCGCACGTGGGACAATTTCAAAAGTAAGGACGCCTAGTCTCTTTCATCGCCGCAACCAGACGCGAATATCAATGAGTGAAGCGTGACATGTGCGAGATCGGTTTATTTCCTCATCCGGAAAGCCGTTTCTCCTTGGCGAAAACGTCAAGGAAGGTCCGGCAGATCATCGTTCATAGGAAGCATCGTTCGCATTAATTTTTAACGTTGATGAACGTTCCTCTGACGAATCCTTAAGTTACCTACTTACTGATTAAAGCGAACTCGAGCCTGGACGAAGGATTTCAAGATACCATTCGTTCGTACTTCTCGAGGACTTTTTTATCTTCGATCATGCGACGACTTGGATTAAATCCATCACGTTTTCACCAAGGAAAGATCGACGCCGGATTCACCGAGAAATTTGCAAAAGAGACGAAACTCGATGGAACTGAAAGCACTTGACGAGTCAAGACGCAGAACTCGCGCGTGAGCCGGGATAATACGATTTCGTTCCAACGCTTCCGAGATATTACGGACATCGCTGATTAACAGATTAACAATTGCATGATCTTAATGCGCGATCTCTTAATGCGAGACAGCTGACACAGTCGCTGTTCGTCATTTATCGCCAGTCTCAATGCGCCGATGTCGATCTCACCGTTGATCTCAATGCGTTCCAGCTTGGCCTGGGCGTTCTTTTCGATTTCGAGGCGGCTTTCGATATGGTAGAAGATGGACGCGCCCAGTAACAAATAAGTGAGAAACAGCATCAGCAGGACCAGCCATTGCTTCTTGGACATTCTCAGCCTGACGGGACACTACAGCGAAGCCGAGTAATCCAGTCGAATCTAGCGAACGATGAACGACAATCCGGACTGTGCGAACGATCCCGCGGGGACGCGTCAGGTGATCATAATCCCTTCATCAGGAACATGTGGCGGTCCTCGACATCGTCGCTCTCGCACACTTCCTCTCTCCTATGTGCTGATGAAGCCAAGCCGGTCAGACTTGCACTTGGCTCGCTCGTCACAAGCGTACTAAGTCTCCCGTGCGCGTGCCTTCCTTTTACGGTTCCTTACAAGTCGACGGCGATGGTATCGATGGCGGTGACGAGCTAACGAGAACGATGTTATCACCGGCTCGATATCATCGATTCGTCACAAATCTTCTTCGCCGGAGGCAACGACGCGAGATACCGCATTCTGAACTGTTGTTGCTGTTTGTTCGCCATCGCAGTGCTCGGATGAACGGCGTCGATCGCGATTTTCGCCTCGGCCGAGGCTGCTCCGTCTTAAGTCCCCGAACTCTGCAAACAGAAAATCGCTGCGGATCGATTTGTTTTCTGATTTGCTCGGTCAACATATATGACGGTGATCGATGAGGGCCAATGAGGAGCGCTTCGTATCGAGGCTCGAGAGTCGCGAGCGCGAGGAAGAATGTCGCGGTGTCATTTTGATTTAATTAACGGCGATGACACGAGCTGTGACATGAGCTATCGTCGGCAGACAACGCGAGCGTGAAAATGATAAAAACAAGAATCGCGACAACTCGTCGAAGATTGATAATACATTCTCAACACACTTCGAAGCGCGGCCGATCGCACAAGATCACACGTCGTCGCATCTGCGAGGTTCGGAATATGTTTGTTCGATCGATCAATTAGACTAGTGGTTGCGCGGCGGAGCGATTTGACAGTTCGCGGAATAGAACGGTCGATGAACTCGTCGTCCTCCGGGTCTATCCCAGACGAGGGACCGTCTCTCGGACGCGTCACCGAGAACGTCTTTTCGACGACGGCAACCCTCGGTTGCGCAATGCGCTCGGTCGCTACCGGTCAACATCATATATCCTGGCGGCCGATCGCGGAGCGACAACGATCGATTTTTTGCCATCACGCGAGGATGATTTACGGCGCGGCGAGACAACGCACGTGTCTCTCGAGTTTGCGTTCGGCAATGTCGTTTAGTCGCGTCGGCTTACGAGCGACATTGCGAGCAAATTCACATAAATTTGCGCGTCGCTCGAGCCCGGAGGACAAGGAGTTCCGGAAGGATCCTGGAGTTCGCTGGAAATGAAAGACGCGCGGCATCGCTCTTGGTAAAATGTACAGGGACGGAACTAAGCTCGTCGAGAGGCCTCGTGGAAGATTCGAGGTTCAAGGTTCCAGCGATCATCCGCTAATTAATTAGAGACATGCGTCGCCGACGCCGACGTAACAACGCGGCGGTCTGCGATGCATTTTCCGGGCGAGCGCGAAAGCGCCGATCGCCGGCGCTATCGGTAGCGACATCGTCGACAACTCGCATACTCGATTTGTCTTGATCTTCTTACGTTATTGCGTATACATCCATAAATATGATTTATGACGTGCGACGAACGCCTCGACTGCAACGTCTTGCGCGTCGATCTCTATTTGCTAATAACGTCGATGTGGACACCGCTCGTTCGCGCACACGCCCGAGAAAATTGACATTCCGCGTTGAGGTCGGGGCAACGAAGGCTCCTCACGAATTTCGGATCGTTCGGAGAGACTTTCTGCTTGACGAAACTTCATAGAGGAATCTGAGAACCACGGAGAAATCGTACAGACAGAGAGAACGAGTCTTTTTACAAGAAGAGCTCACGATCGCAGAAACGTTGATTTGATGTTAGACGGTTCACTTGTGTAGATTCTTCATTTGATTTAAAGAGCGTAAATTAATTAAAATGCGTATTTCTATTACCTAAGATTACTCGAGATTATTTCATACGCGCATCTGTATGAAAAATCCTAAAAAGTAGCTCGTAAATTGCGAAAGAAATATGACATATAAATTTAATAATTATTATTAATCTTTATGGACGCGTTCGAGGAGATATTAGCGCGCTACCAACATGAACGCTATCACTAAAACTATTAATTTATTTAAACGCATTGTCTCTTATATTCACGAATAATAGTAAAATAATAAATACGATATACCGGTACTGTTTGATAATCTTTTGCGGTGACAGATATGTAGTTCACAATTTGAATGTTCACGGAACTTACAAATTTTTAACACTATCAATGCGCTATCTTGGAAGGAATAGCGTCGATAGAGCGTAGTTATGACATACGACGTTACTATTAATGATATTGTAATAGTATTTGTTAACACTACTGTTTAGCCTCGCGAAAACAGTCTGTAGCGTTAAATAGTGTTTCCCCGAATGCACCCTATAAGATGAAAGAAGTTCTTCGAATCTCTTTGTCTTTTGTTGACAAAAGAATACGTCAATTGTCGCAGACCTTCGGCGAACTTAATGATCGATCACGCTAGTATGGGTCATCGTTTCTAATTGATGAGATAAATTTGCGAACGCGCGTTTCGTGCGTGGATATTTCCTTCATTCGCGAAACAAACAGAAATTGCGACCAATTTATTGCGTTGTTTCCAAGCACGATTCGTAGTTTTCCCGCTATCGCACATTCCGATGTATTGCATTCGAAAGCTTTGGCTGGAATCTTTTTTTATTTAATAAGCTTATTACGGCTTATTTTCTTGACCTCGCAACATTGTTAGATCTTCCGAACTTCATAATTACGGTTTCATTCGCCGCTGTCGCTTTTGAAGCGAAGGTTTTATCTGGTAACGCAACTGTGTCATAGCATATCAGTAATAATTATAAATTTCGCTTAGCTCGTGAGTTTAAAACGCAAATGACACACTTCAATGCAGGTTGAAGTGATTAGTTATAGTGAACGACGTTTTACAAGCGCGTTTTAACTCGAATAATTTTATGGCTGTTAACGGCCATTTAACAATTGTTATTATCTTCCATTTACTGCACACGTCGTGTCGGACCACGCTGCGGTTAATATACGCCGATACTAATACACGTGCGGTAATTAATGTAACAGTTCGCGGAGGAGTATGAAATATTCATAGTCACGTGAGTTCTATTTATCATGTCGATCACATTATGATTAATCACTAGGGTTTAGAAGAAAAATGTTTCGAAGTGTGAGCGAAGGATTCGGCGGAGAATAGTTTGATTACATAATATCTATGTATGATGTTGTTACACGATAAAATTTAATTCATTGTTCGAGAGTATAACGATTCACGAAAATAATTTCACGAATTTCACGATCGTGATTAAAATTGTCTGAAGTAACGCGCGCGTTCCTTCATTCCTTCTTATTTTTAGACACAGTATGACAAAGTTCGGATATATATCGCAACATTCTTCCATATATAATCACAATCATACTTTTTCCGAATTAATCGATTTGAACACATGTTCGATGTATCAAAAATTGCGCGACAGTAGCAAATATCGAAAGGTAACATTGCTCGGTAATAATCGTAATAACTCGGTGATAACGTAATAGCAATTGAGTTGTATGTGGGATTATAATTACTAAGTTACAGGATAGTTTTTCTTTCATCTTCCACCACTCGAGCGATAACGTTAAGATTGATGTCGATATGTTATCAATAACTTTTTCCACTTTTTCCGGGATTTTTCTGCAACCGATAGTCGCATTAGAAATATTTTTAGCACGTTACTTCGTTACTTTCCGCCTCGAGTATTTCTCTTTTTTTTTTTTTGCGAAAAGTAACGCACACAATTACCTTACCAACGCTGTATCATTTTCATTATTTTGATTCGACATAAAATATAGTTATATTTTAGATTTAATATAATGACGTGAATATTCGCGTTGATATTTCGTTGATATACCGATTACATTCATGATACTTTTGAAAATCGGAATTTGGAGAATCATATTAGATATGTTGAATGATTGATCGTAAAATATTGTCACTCTTTTATCTTTATCAAATCATTCAATCCTTTGATGCTCACCTGTCTCGTCTGTTGCTGCATATTGGTAAAGCTTGTTATGCGTATCCAAATTAAAACGACGAGCTGCATTTTCCAACGATATTCGGGGTCACAGTCGTAAAACTTTCATTCATTTTCGAGAACACATCAACGAGATTCCAAATGCAAATCAGCAATTTCGTTGTGACAAAGAAGCTTGAACGTTACCTGCGGAGATTAACGGATCAATGTAGTCGAGAACTTGGCCGAATGGAGACTATTCGTAATCGAGAGCAGCACTACGCGAAAGATCGTCTGGATGGTGGGAGGATCGAAAAGGGATTCTATAGTTCTCTCATTGAAACTACGATGCATATCAAGTATCCTGTAAATACACGAGAGAAGACATATTTATTTAAAATAATTTTAGTATTTCAGATACCCTAATTTAATGTTTTACATTTGTTAAAAATTATTTTATAAATTTAAAATAGAAGAATACATAAGAAGAAAAATGGTGTCAAGATTTTCAAAAACCGATATACATAAAAATTTACATATATATATTTTTTTGATGTCTGATTTTCCGAAATTTCTCTTCTGTTTAATTCAAAATCAATTATTCCAATTGTAACGCATATATTATATCCGCCATATCTTGTGACTCGTGTTTGAACGTGCCAATCTGTTTAATTAGCGATCGGACACTAATAACAATACTCATGCATCTTTTAAACACGAGAATCCGATTGACAAGAAACGTTAAATTTATCTGACAAATTCACAGTGCAACAGATTATTTTTAGAAAATCTGTAAATTGATTGACATTTGAATTTTTCCACCTTAGTTTTATTCTTTTTCGAAGTTTAAACCATATTTACATCTTTTTCTTCTATCAGGTAACTATATTGATTACTTACCAAAATTTTACAAAAATATATGCTGTAACAATATTTAAAAAAGGAAAGCAATTTAATTCGAAAATTAAGATATGTTATACAAAACATAACACATACGTTTTCTTTTCGACGTTCGTAGAACATTTGTGCATCACATAAATATCGTATCCATCTATTGTTACAAAGTATGTCATCACAAATCTTCCAATTTCTACATTTTCTATGATGTATCATCTAACTACATTCTAATATCAATTATAATGAAATGTATCTTTCTTCAGATTGACTACTTATATGGCATTAGTTTCCTTTATGTACCATATTTGTATTACGATATTTTAATGTATTATTTAACGACAGAAATAACACAAATTAGTCTTTTGTAGTTGACTTAGGTTGGCTTTGATATTATAAATTTCATTTGCAATGTCAGCGTAGTTTACAGTGCAAATATAATTTTCTCAAGACAAGACTTCCTGCCGATTTTAGAAAATAACTCTGAAGATAACGTTACATTAAAGTAGTTAATGAACTCTATCAGAAAGAAAAATTAAATGTTATAGTGCATGTCAGTAATAAGAACTGTACATTTCAATTAACTACTACTAATAAAATTACAATATACGTTACTTGGAATTATTTTTAATTTGAAAATATAAAATTGCACATGATCTTGCAAGCTGCAAATAAAACCGTAATACGCAACGTTTTATTAATTGCTGCTTATGTTATATGTAAGTTTGTATGAACAAATTTAGAATGACACATGAAAATATCGCGTACACACTCGATAACTACAGATGGACAAAATGTAATATAGATATATTTTTTCTCCACATTCACAAACTTTCAGGTAAGGCACTGCCTTTAGTTAATGAAGAAATCAACGATATTTTAAATATTGAGCTCTTCGGTAAACTGTAATAAATCTTATCTTGCTCAATCACGACTAAAACCGATGCAGTTTCAGTGACGTCTGACTTTGATATTTTAAATACGCGAGAAGTATCGAAATAATATTTCTATCTTATGATCTTCTCTTTAGTATTGCAATGCAGTTTTATTCTACCTCTGAGAACTTTCAAGTAGAAACGTTATTTTCAAGTAGAAACATATAGCCAAAAGAACATTTTTAGCACTTGTAATGTAATTCTAAACTGAAAAGTCCAAGAAATTCTGAGTTTTCATACAACAGAAGACGCGTTTGTAAGTTTTTAAGATCTTTATCGTATCGGGAATTAAACTCACCGAAATCACGTCAGATTCAATCCCTACCTACGTTAATGACTATTAAAGCAAGGTACTATAGCACAATAAACATCACTGATTATAAATTGCTGACGCCAAATTTCTAACGCCATTGTGTACTTCTATCTGGTAAATTTATGAAATTGATACCGAAATTAAATTATTCGCATTCTAACTAATTCGCAGCTACTAATCGTTTACGCAGTCGAATATCATTTTGATAATATTCAATTTATTATATCATTTACTGATTTGATTTTGAGCTCTGATATTAAAAAGTACATTCACGAGTGTTAACGAGATCAATAACTCGTTAACTCAATGCTCAAGACTTTCTGATATTGTGTAAATCAGCTTCATCTTCTTCTGCATTAATTCCAGCCGAATTCTATGTCCTCAATCTTTATATTCAGTCCTTCGAAAGGCGTGTCAATGCCAGGATCATCGAAACTGTTGTCCAGATCGATTTTCTATAATCACAAATTACTTAGAAACACGTTTTGACAAAAAATAATTGCGCAAATGTTTCTATTGTACCAAATTGTTATGCAAACCTGAAATGCAGCAATTTGCGAAGGATCGCCAACCAATAAGATTTGTGGCTCTTTGTCGTTTGTATCGTCGATTACTTTAGAAATCTGAATCTGATCATCTTTACCTAGCAGCTTGTGCTAAACTCAATAAAATCACATAGTCACATAAATATTGATACATACAATAGCAATATTACAAGTATAATAATATCCCAATTTTGCAATACAGATATTAATTAATATTTTATAATATTATATTAATCAGATGTGTCATCAGAGTTATACTCACGGTTTCCTTCGCGGCCTTCTTACTCCTATTTTGACTAGAATCCAGAGGATCTTGGAAAAACACATCGGTACCGTCGTCGTTATCGACAACCGCGTGAGCCGTTCTTTTGTGTACCACCAGAGTACTGCTTTGCCGATATCTCCTAGAGCACAGAGTGCACTCAAATGGCCGTTGTTGTGTATGTACCTGAAAATTAAACATGTATAAAAATTATTGCTCTCACACGATATGCAATCAATATCGTGTTAAGTCACTTCTGATTTTTCGGAAATCAAAGCGTATTTTCGGTATAAAAGTGGCAATTCTAACGGTAACAACACAGAGATACTCACAAGATGATGTTTATACAGACTAGAGTATTCGGTAAAGCTTCTACCGCAATTTTCTATGGTGCAAATGTAAGGCTTCTCGCCGGAGTGAATGCGCATGTGATTTTTGTAATTCGTCGCGCTGGCGAATGCTTTGCCGCACATCGGCTGCGTGCATTTATATGGTCGTTCACCAGTGTGCGTCCTAACATGAACCTGACCAAAATAAAATATATTTATTAATAAAATTCCTAATATTTAATATTTAAATTGTTGTATTAAAATATTATTTAATACATTTTTTTTCATATAATAATTATATTGTATTCTGCCTTTTTGTACCTTTCTGATATTACTCGTAGTAAAGGACCGACCACAACCTTTAAATGGACATATGAAAGGACGCTCTCCTGTGTGAGTCCGCACATGTTTCAATAAATCACCCGATGTTTTGAAGCTCTTGTTACATGTGTCATTGGAACATTTATATGGTTTTTCACCTGTATGAGTTCGCAAATGCGCTTTCAAGCTGTATCCTGTTGAAAAGCTCTTCTTGCACTTAGAGTGAGTACATCTATACGGCCGCTGACCCGTATGTGAACGTTCATGAACCTAAAATAATTTGAGAACATTTAAACATTATTTTTGTAACACCTTGTAATTCTAACTTGTCTCTACTAATAAAAGCTTACTTTAAGATGATGTGGTGTGCTATAGAACTTGGAACAACCTTCTCTTGGACAAGGATACCTAATTTTTGCATCTGATAACTTATCAATCAAGACTTTGGGATCTTTTTTCTTTAATTTCCCATCTTCAATTTCCCATAAGCCTTCGCCAACATTCACATGACCAGTTACCATGTATGTTGTGCCATTGATAAATTCTACTTGTGAGTAAGTATTTTCTGCATTGTCTGTAGCAGCAACTTCAGTTTGTACAAATGAAGTTGGATCTAACTCTAATTGAAGAGCCTTGCCATCATTAAATTCTGATAAACCCCGTAGTAAAATAGCGTCTCCATTTTCAATTGTTTGTAATGTTTGCGTCTTGAAATCTGGATCTGTAAATTTATGAATTTCATTATAAATACTATAATTAAATATATAGAATAGATAAAAGAACTCTAGATTTTCTTTTAATTATAAATTGCTTTAAGAGGCTATGGTTATTTCATAATATACTTGTAGGATGTTACCACTAATAGATAGTACTTATAGAATAATCAAAGTTCAAATTGCTACTAACCAATATTACTGAGGTTATTTGTAACAAAAGCTTGAGTTCCATCAGGCAGTGTAATCGTAGTTATCATTGTGCCAAGTAATTGCTCATCTAATATAAGTTCTTGTATCTGTTCTGTGTCATTGACATTGTCTTCATTAATCATAACTGACAAACATTCAAGTATGTCCACAGGATTATTCTAAAACAGAAATGCATGAGTTAAAATACAAATAAACAAACTGCTGAAATTAGGAATGTAAATTTTATTCTAAAATAACAAATTATCAGACAAGTAGAATAAGAAAAAATTGCAGTGTTGCAAATATATCAAAATATATGTATCTCAAAGTTTTCCCAATTTTTTAGAGCTATTATTAAGTTAAATTATTGACACGAGATAGTACTGTACAACAAAGCTTATAGATATACACATAATAATTCACCATCACTACCAAAATATAAAACTGTTACATGGTTATTACTTGAAGCATACCTCAGGCTCGTGCAAGATCATTTCTTCCTCCTGACTTGTAATGCATTTCGGAAGATCTGCACTTTGTGCCGACATAATCCTCTACGGTGTCGCGGCTACAAACAAACATTTCATTCACAATCAAGACAACGAGAGCGCATTTTGCCTCAATTCGCACGCGTCTCATCGTGCCGGTAGAAAGCGTTCGAACGCTAACGATAACGTGTTATTTTTACCGCGCAAATCGTATTGATTGTCACGTAATATCGAGCGCGACTAACCGCCTTGGCTGTCGCAGCCACATTTTATCGCCCTACCGCTAAGCTTTATCAGGTCAGCATTTGTTCGAGGAGACACTGATACATCGTCGCGTATCGGATACATCGGAAACCGACACAGAGTCGCGTGCATGCAATTCGCAATTCGCACGACGAGACTCGCCATCTTCGCATGGCTATGCCGCGAAAAGGACCGATGATGCAATGATGTGATACAACGGAAATCTTCAACGGCGATGCGACGCTACACGACGCGCTCGCTAGATCGCGGTGAATTGAATTTTCGTCAGCCCTCTGTGCCGGTACACCAAAGAATCTTGGGAAATATTACCCATAAACTCGGCCGCCCGCGAAATCCTCTCGCGATCAGCGCGCGACGAACCGGAACTCGGGCAGTGGCCATTTGCAGTGGCAAAAGTGCGCTAAAATTCAAATAGTCAAACGGTCATAGACGACATTGTGTCGTCACGACTTGATGCTCATTGACATCCTATTTTAATAATGATACATAAATCGACGATTGAAGATGTGAGAGATTCATAAATCGAGAATTATTTTTGTCGCTTAAGGTTGTGTCACTTGACAGGAAACGATCTATCAAGCTTTCTTTCTTTGTAATGAAATTTAGAATTTTAGAATTCTGATACATTCGCGCGATGTCTTAAACATGGAATCCTAAACATGAATATTAATATTCACATAACTAACTAGGATTGCTAAATCGCACAAATCTCAGTTAATTATAATAAGATCGCATCTATACGGAAATTGCACATACAACATGCAGCGGCAGTATCGCAATAATTGCCGACAACGGCAACGCTCTAATTCGCCCGAGAAAATACGTAACTTACTCGCACCTCGGGACAATCTCTAATTTGTCAAGACACGAGTTGCAATTGTATCGATTCACGACGTCTCGCGAGCTCGTCGCTGAAAAATTTCAATGTCTCTAGATATTCGTCGTGAGAAGAATCATTCGCGTTTCCTCGACGACGAGCTCTCTTCTTGTCGGCTCGACCGCGCGCGAATCGATCGACACCCCGACTCTTGCCCGACGCGTGATCCCGTCATGACCGCGAGAACGAAAAATGCAGTTCACGTTCGTATAGACACATTTCGCAAGCGCTAAATTCGATCGCGCCGTGCGCGCGATCCCGGCGAGATGAAAGTTTCGCCTCTCGTGATTCCCTGCGCGAGTCCTTCCACGGGAGCCTCCGCCAGAAGTCGGCCTCTGTATGTACGCAGGTGGGGTACGTATGTAGGGATACGTATGTACGTATGGGCGAGAAGGGGGATGCTGAAATTCATGCACCGCCGCGACGTTCTCCATTCGAACTGGATCAGTTTCTAGCCGCATCCACGAGCCGTTTCACTCAAGTCACCGTTAGATCCTAGACTCGTGCTCGAGGGGAAAAAGAGTTCTCGCGGCGAGAACAACGAGAACAACAACGACAACAACAACAACGACAACGACGACGACGACGACGACGGCGGCGGCGGCGGCGGGCCAATCGAGCGAGTATACAGTGAGTCCGTCGAAGAAGTGTCGATTGGTGCTCGACGATTGATCGTGTGGCCGTGCCATGACAACGGTGGGTGGAGTGGAGTTATCGCTTAACGATAATTACAACCTGATAGTCACAGCAATAATTTCACACGCAATTGTAACATAAACTACTATAAACTTTGTATAAAAAAACGCTGTTTCTTATGCTACGGACATTTTATGGATGTATTTTTGCATCTTGTGCGCGCGTGTAAAAAACGCGACCGTTTCGTGTAACTCGCACTTACTTGATTGAACCTTGATACGTTACAGAAATGGGACAATTCTTGGTTTGCGATAACGTGTGTGCATCTTTCTCATTCATGTATCGTCCCGCGTGTCAATACGCGTACCTTCCTGCAACGAAATATTTTCTAATGTATAATATATCACTGGAAGTTGTTCCGATAATGATCGGTGTTATGCGGAAGTGATATATCGAATAGTCGTCTCGGTTGAATCAAATTTCAAATGTAGAAGTATCCATCTATCAGTCGCCTAGACTGAATTAAATTTGATTAACCTGAATCAAATTGAAAATGCAAAAGTGTCGTAAAAATAGAAAATTCACGTCTCCGTTCGATTCATTCAATTCTGTCAGGCGCGAATTTTCCATTACGTTCGGAACACGAACTTCGCAATCAATCATCTATAATAGACCAGAAATATGACTTATGCACGTCGGAGGTTCCGCTTGGTTGAATCTTAAATACCGGATTCAATAGCGACCGAGGTACTCCCAGGTGAAGGTGAGCGGAAAGGAAGGCGAAAGGGTGGTTTGACACGCACTGCCGAGCACGTGTGCGTCTATAAGTGAACCTCCGACACTTGCCGCGTACTTACATATACACGCGCACACACACAACTACACACACATACACATATATATGCACAAGCACTGGATACGCGTTTTATCGAGATGTAGGTGCGTATGATGGTGCAATGGCACAGTACGATGGAATGCGGAGATATAATGGAACTGTCGTGGCCTTTAAAAATATTGCCTCTTAAAGTGAAAAGCGCAATGTTGTTGGTAATCTTTGTGGGAAAATGTTCCGCCTATACACAAGGGAGGGCAGTATTTCGCAAGCAGGCCATCGGAATGATGTAACACATTCCAATATTACGTCGAGCTTGTACACTGGAGAATTAGTCTTGAAGTCACGTCTCTAAGGCAGAGAAGAAGTGACTCCAAAATTTATAACTGCGAGATCGTCAGGAAAATAACGACGCACTCAAGTCTTCTCATTAAGTTTGAGTGATAAGGCATAAATATGTCTGTCAGTATCTTACGACTAAAATGAAACGAAGTTCGGCGAAGGTATGGCGTTGATATTCTTCATCGATATTTTCATGTTTAATAATCATTTGATTAATCGGTAGTTTTTAACATAAATAATCAATGTTACATCACAGATATTTTGTTTTTCTCAGATGGTTACACACAAACATATATACACATAGCTTCGCATGAAATAATGGTTTCATTAAAATAACGATTGATTGTAAGAAACGTTTGCTCTATAAGAACGGTCTACAAAACATATACTTTCTAAATTGATCGTTTCGCGTGTAACGGCTCGATAGTTATAATTTTATTGATATATATATATATATACACACATACACACATATAATATATATATATATATATATATATATATATACACGTTTATATATTTTATGCTATTAAACCATTCCCTTTGGCGCTTATGTGCTATTGATAATATTCTGCCTACAGAACCCGCGAGTGACATGTTTCATATACCGCATAAAATTATTACATCATGTTCTTGCGAATTACGTGATTACGAATTCCATTATGCGGCTGTATAAAATGAATTCTAAAAGTGCATTTGCCTTGACACGCTTCTACAATACATATTTTATACGCCTATTCTTCGCATCGGAGTGATTCATCAGAAAAGAAATTTACCTGTCGTCGACGTGCATATCTTGACATAGAAACATACGCCCCGGGCTATTTTTTTACGAGGAATATCATTTGAAGTAGAGGGAGTAACCTTGGAATTTAATTCAATCAAATTTGGAGCAGATCCTTTTTAAAGCAGCAAGGAAATATTACTGGGGGGATCGTACTGTTGCAACTGCAATAATAATTTATCAATTAATGAGAAAATAGACCAAAATAATGCTTTTAATTCCGAAAGAAACTTGTTTAATAGACTGAAATTTCAGTTTAAACATATTAAGACAATATAATTCATGAATTTGAGTTTTACATAAAATTTAAAGTTTTATACGCGATATGCAGTTTCTTTGCCGTTGATTACTCGAGCTTTATTTGCGAAGTAATATGTACTATGCGCTGTATAGATAATATCTTGAAACCGGAACGCGTGATACGATACAATTCTTACCAAGAAAACTTTCTACGAAAGCTATTCGGTGATCTCAGTATATCGGGTATATCGGGTTTCGGCAACCATGCATTGTGGTTGGCGGTGTAATGATTGAATGAGAGGTCATACCCGCGGATACATGCAACACACTCTAATCAGTAGCGGATCAAGATATCTCGAAGCCCAAGTAAATCTTAATTTTTTTATATAAAATTTACCTTGACAAAACTTTAAGATTCACGACAACGGTAAACCGACCCCAAATTTCTCATGCGCTCTGAAGTCTTCAAGTTTCATACTAATACACACCTTCTCTCAAATTATGCTTCTTCCAGTAGAATGTAAATGTGCATGTCTAATGCAGTTATTGCGAATGATTCAATAATGCAACTCTAATTATCAAACACCTGGCTATTTAAATTTTAGATAACGGTGATATTGCTGCTTCTCGCGGTGACTGCGGCCAGTTCTCTGCCGCTTGCCAATGTGCACGTGAAATTCGTGTCGCCTCCCGATGTGTACGAACACAGCATTACGACAGATGGTTAGCACCGTTGCGCAATAATGCTTTATATTGCACTAAGTTGAAGAGTGTTTTAACTTGTTCGCATCTCTTCAGGGGATCGCACGCTCGCTCAGAACTCGTTCATCTCGATCGGCCGAAGGAGCACGACGAAGCGGTCTAAGGATCTCGGTGACTACTTTACATTCATGCGATTACATCAGCGTCATTAACTAAAAGTAGCATAATTGGTACAAATAACAAAATTTTGTTAAGCTATATACACAAAACAAATGTAACTTGACCATCTGAAATATCCCCGATGTTTTCGATGACATGGAAAAATCTTTCCACGTCATCGAAAATGTATTCATGTATTTTTTTATCTCCAATAAGATATTGAGTTTCCCTATTTTTTTTCTAGTTTTGTTCTCCTAGTTCGAGTAAAATGTGACACATGTCACTCAAGAATCATCTTGTATATTCGTGACGATCGAAAAAGTAATTTCCATTCATGTAATTTTCATTTCTACAGATTACAACTATAGGTCAAATTTACGGCGAAATCACTTACGACAGGCGATACCGGTAACGAGTCCCGGAAGCGCCGAATCTTTGTGGCCGATCGGTGTCTTTCTTCCTCCGATAGACATCAATGATCTCGGATACAGTTGGCATGAAGCGCAACGCGGCTTTTCCAATCTCTACAAATCACAGGGTAAAATTATCTTGTCATCGACAATGTTTTATTAATATTATAAGTTTCAGAATCCACACATTTTTACCCATCTACTTTTTATTGTATACTCTTTTTATTATATCCTAACAGAATGATGCTTCAATGTACTCGGAAAGTGGTAAAAGATTTATTGAACTTATATATATTTACGCAACGCTCATATAGCACAGCATTCTGCTTCTTCTTCCGTTATCAAATTTCGCTTCATTCGGATTGCAGAACGAGACCCGTACTTATTAACTGGCCGTGAAGCAATGATGGCGATTAAATACCTCTACGGACTGGGCGAGCTTTTCTTCGACGATTATCCGCATGTAAGGGCGCTACTGCGTAACCAGGAGGAGAGGAGGTTAAACGGACTGCATGGAAACGTATTGAGCAGTCTGAATCCTCAGTCACCATTCTATAGGAAAGGAGCTGGTCTCAACTAAGCTAGGGGAGATCCAATCAAGTTCGTTCACACTCAGCAATGAAGTAATGAATTACTGAGCGCGAAAAACTGCGCCGTACGCGGGGGAGGAGCATGGGAATCTTCACAGGAGCTCAAAAAATCCGTAACTGAGTTTAATTTTACAACACATAATATTTCGCATCACAATTCGTGTAATTCTGTAACATATCGAAATAAAATAATAATAATATAACATATTAAAAGGTAAAATATACATTTGTGGTAGGATAACGATCGATATTTCTAAGATCACTGTTTTAGATCTTTGATAATAGTATGTAAAATATCCCACCACTATCGTATTCCTCGAAATCGCCCGCTAATTCTCATAAAAATTTTTGTATGTCCTACGGAGAAAGCACATTACAGATCAATCACTTTGGCCGATTTACGACGGAACGTCAGTCTCACATTCTCAAATGAGCCATTGTATTAGGCAAACGACTATCGTAATTAAACCACTGGCGAAGTTTGTCGTTCTCGTCGTTCTGTTACAAAGGTCCCCGTAGCAAAGGCACATATACACTTTCTTGTAATTCCACACTGTATAGGCACATCTCTCTTCGTTGTCGTCTGGCCCTCGTTGAAAGCATAATCTCTGCGTGGCGGTACCATATTCTGCGCAAAGAAAAATTTTGTATGAATTACGCTACTGAATATACAAATATTCGAACACGATAATTTAGTGATAACTCACCATTATTTAAATTTTGGTTTTCGATAATTTTTCCGCACCATCCAGATACACATGGCAGCGCCTCTACGCCTTTCTCGAGCGCGATTTGCGTTGAATTCATAGTGAAAGGGTCCTTGCATGAGCCGAGTTCTCCTCTTGACCTACAGTTTACGCATCTTCGATGGCTACCTGTAAGAATGAATGAAACTGTCACTTTTACCTCGTATCGTTCGATCGCCATTTTATCGACGACATGTCATTCAATATAGACATATCGACACTAAATATTTATATAAAATTTATTTTATATAAAAATATATATAATTTAAAAATTAATCCATATTAAAGAAAATTATGACAGCATTAAGATATCAAAAAATTTAAATTGATTCCATTTTTAACACATATATTATACGTATGTTATAAAAAAGAAATTTCTTTTTCAATTGTTTTGTAAATATCTCTTATTTATTATTTCATATATTTATTATGACTTATATATTCTATTAAAAATATACATATATCAGGTGTAGTAAAAAGAAATCCATTATTTTTGCATGAAATTGAAGGCTTTAATTACCATAGTTAGAATGATCCGATTTAGGTCAAATATGCGCCATTTTGTTTGATAACTTGTTGCCATTTTGAAGATAATTTCATTATGCCTCTCTCATAGAAGCCCTCGTCCCTATTGGCAAAAAATTGAGACAATCGATTTTCACAAGCCTCTCTTGAAATGAATTTTTCACCAGCAAAATTGTTCGCCATGGACAGGAACAGATGGTAATCACTTGGTGCCAGGTCCGGACTATAAGGTGGATGCATAAGAACCTCCCAACCAAGCTCCCGGAGCTTCTGGCGAGTCACTATCGATGTGTGTGGCCTGGCGTTGTCCTGATGGAATACAATTTCTCTCCTATTGGCCAAAGCTGGCCGCTTCTGGGCGATTGCTTCCTTCAGACGGTCCAATTGTTGACAGTACAGTTTCGAGTTAAGGGTTTTGCCGTAGGGGAGCAGCTCATAGTAGTTAATTCCCTGCCAATCCCACCAAACACACAGCAAAACCTTCCTGGCCGTCAATCCTGGTTTGGCCACCGTTTCCGCCGGCTCACCGCGATTCGACCACAACCGTTTTCGCTTGACGTTGTCGTAAGTGATCCACTTTTCATCACCAGTGACCAACCGCTTCAGAAATGGGTCGATTTTGTTGCGATTCAGCAGCGATTCGCAGATGGAAATTCGGTCCATGAGGTCTTTTTGCGTTAACTCGTGTGGCACCCATACATCGAGCTTCTTTTCGTATCCAGCCTTATTCAAATGGTTCCAAACGGTTTTTTGTGCAATCTTTAGCTCTTGGGTAATCGAAACAGTGCTTACATGACGGTCGGACTCGACAATGTCCATGATTTTATCGATATTTTCGACAATTGGCCTTCCAGTGCGTGGTGCATCTTTGACATCGAAATTACCGGAACGGAATCGACGAAACCAAAATTGCGCGTGATTGGCTGTTACAGTATCAGGACCATAAACACTATTCATATTTTCAGCCGCCTGGCTTGCGTTTTCGCCTTTATCGAAGAAAACTATAAAATATCGCGTATTTTCTCTTTGCTAGTGTCCATCTTTGACGCGCGCTCAAACAAAACTTTGTCAACTAATCACAAAACTGTCAGAAAAGTTTTTTTAGTACGAAATCTTATCTTTCTAACGCCATCTAGTGGAACCCGATCGGACTTATACAACACGAGATACAGATAACTAAAGCCATCTATTGGAAAAATAATGGATTTTTTTTTACTACACCTGATATATTCTCTAAAAAAACCATGAAATAATTTAAACTCTTTGATTCACAATAGAAACTTACCAACGCTTTCCCGAAGTATGATTATGCAGAAAATCATGAAGATTACTTGGACACTTGTTTGAAATTTCATCCTATTTCGTTTCTTAATATCAGCCAGCCGTTTTCGATTTCACTCTGCTTAAGCAATTAATGCACTACCTCGTTAATGAACACCGTAAACAGGTAACCGGGAGCTACAATGGGACACAGCCATTTTGGAACTAAACTCAACTGTCGGACACGTACTCCTCGTAACTGTCTCTACGTAGTTTCCCCTTTCACTCGACTTTAAGGTCATCGTATGCCGAGAAAGATCGAGGCGAGGGAATGCGAAGGAGACAGCTACCATGGTCCCATAGAATGTTTCACGGACCGATAACCGGTCTTTCGTACAATACCGGGACATCAATAGAGTTGGCGACGATGAGACTGAAAGTGAAAGAAAATGCCTACATAATACAATTTTTGCATAATAAGAATGTGGTATGATTGCAGCTCGGATGTTGAAAACAGTTTGAGAGCTGGAAAATCATCGAAGGTAATGTAAATTGGTGCATAGACAGACAAACATTTTGAAATTTAAGTTCTTATAGTGGAAGGAAAATCTTCAAAATATAAATTTTATATGTATGCATATGTGTGTATGTGTATACAGTATGAAATGAAAAAAAAACTCACGCAAACTTGCAGTACAAATATAAAGATAATAATTATATTACCTTAATCTGTATTTTTTACATTATTTACGTTTATTCAACACTAACATTATTTGCCATCTTCATCAGAAGGATCATCTTGCGGTAAGATTTGAAATTTATCTCTCTGCCGGCAAATCCTTATTACACCCGCACAGTAGCAAAATAAAATTATAAAAAATATAAATCCCAAATAGCCCAAATGCCGAAAAAAAGCTAGAAAAAAGTAATATATATTGACAAAATAGATTTATAGAAATCTATAAGAGTATATCATGTTAAAATTGTACAACATTTACACGTTTATATGTATGCGGGCTAACAAATGTTAATATCAATTCACCTTGTGTCAAAAGTCGAGTCTTAGACACGACGATGATTTTCGCGCGCATCATATTTATGTTATTTACATAACAAGTATAGTTACCTTGCTCTTCTTTGGAAATATCTATCGAAAGAATATCGTTATAAAATATAAGAAAGTAATCATGCGTTGCGACAGATAAATAACTACACATAAGCAATTGCAATTTGGTAGAATCTAAGAAAAATCAATATACATATTGAAGTACATCACCTATTAAATAGAGCGTCGAGAAAGTATCTACAATCACTCGTGTTTCTTCGTCTTTCTTACGAAATGATCGACCTGTTCCCTTCCTCAAAACGAGCGAATCCTTTCTCCAAACAATTTGCGATCCTGTGCTTGAGCTACATTTAAAATATCTGTGTTCTTATAATTTCTCTCGTTTATTTATAATGAACAAATAATTTTTGCTATAAAACATAATTAAAAAAGTATTAAAAGTATTCTTAGAAATGATACTGAGGTATTTAAATGAGTTACTCTGGACAAATTATAGCAAGATGCGCTCCTTCGGCGAGAACATATCGTCTAACATATCGGAATTTCTCGCTCTTTTTTATTTTCTTTATACGTGGACATTTCTTGCAAGATTCTCTTAAAATAAATTCTGGTAAGTACCGTATAATACGGCTGATACTAGGAAATTCTTCTTGCAGCAAGGCAGATCTAAAGAAGCATGGTAGCATTAAAATTCGTTTTATTATCAAAGAAAGCACAGTTAAAATCGAGTAATTAATAATAAACTTATTTAAATCTGTTAATATATAAAATCTACGTAATACAACGTACAATATAGTATGAGTTTATGTTATATATTTATAATAGCTAGTAGCTAAGATTAAAATTAATTGAAGTATAATTAAAATGTCACAGACATTTACTTGCAAGGAAGTATTGGAGATCCTCGAAAAAAGTGTATAACAGTTGAGTTGTTTTTCTCCATTGTCTAAAATAATAAGTAATGATAACTTCAATATAAATATATATATTGTTATTATTATTATTTACTGAAGTAATTATTTACCAAAACATGATATATTAACATTAACATTATATTCACCGAATTTATGCTACGTTTTAATCTGCAGTAGCCTCTGCTAGTTTTAATACCATGATTATGAACACATTCTTTGCATGAACTCCAAGAAGCCCATTCAGATATTACTTGAAGAGTTACTCCTTCTTCACGGATTTCAACTAAGTCCATCATTTGCGAGACCTGTTGAGATTTTCTTTTCTTTAAAATCACTTTGATTTATAAAACATTTTGTTTCGATAAGATGTGTACAATATTTTTTTCTTTTTTATGAAAAGGCTTTGTACGTGTTCTACTTCTTATTTAAATATAATATCATAAAAGTAGGATATAACTTTCTATTCTTATTTATCATCTAAGTTTATCTCTATTTTTAAGTCTATTGTAAGCTAAGCAACTAAGCTAGTGTACTTACAGCGAATCTTGTAGTAACAGGCCATAAATATGTCTCACGATACTTCTCCCATTCAGTTAAATTTCCTCCTTCTATATGTTCATCACCTATATCTTTAAGGATTGCTATTAAAAAATAACTACTGTGAGTCTAATACTTAGAATTATAACACAAATTACAATTACAATTATTACAATTATTTCAATTATAATTATTACAATAAAGAAATATAATGAAGTAACATAATATAGCACATAAAATTATCAATAATGTAAAAAGCCAATTAATAATATGAAAAGCACAAATTAAATTATTGTTAATACAACCTAATTAATTAACAATGTTATATAACAATTAATAATAAATTCTGCTCTTGTTAATAATAAATCGTTGCTAGAATGAAGTTATACCAAAATAAATGTCATATTAATTACAGTAGTACATATAATTACATTATCATTTATCTTACGTTCGATCCTATAATTATATTTGTCCTCTTTCTCTTGTCCTTCCTCACCATGACATCGGTAAATACCAGCGTCTGCGGCTGAGAAATTTCTAATAACCAGAGAAAGATCTGGTGTCGCGTAGATTCTGCTGTACGAAACGTTATTGTCCATTCCTAATTCGACCTCTTTCTCCGGTTCCTCTCGATATCGATCCTGCTGATACCAAATTTTCGGCTGAGGTTCTTCGTGGTCGTTGCTTCTATAAGAACCCATTCATGCTACAATTTATGTTGAAAATATGTTGAAGTTATAATGTACGATTGTGTATCTATGGTTCTTACCAATAGCGACATGATAGTATGATCGTCGTACTACTTTCAGCTGTGACGAGCAAATATTCGTCATTCTCCTCAGATGTAATTAATCTATCCTTATCTCTGCAATATTTATTAATATTTATACGCGTGATATCGGTGTTGATGCCGATTATATGTGTTAGGATTGTTATCGTAAACCAAATAAGGAACATCGCTACACTTATTGCTCTCGAAATTGGATTAGATGAAAATTAATCCGTTACAATCCATCGATTTTCGAGTTCAACTGTCATTCTGATTCAAATATAGTCCGCGGTGTGGCGTCAGTTCCGGAATAACGGAAACGGATCATTTAGTTGCGCGAAACGACGGACTATGCGTTCACGAGCGCCATAATCGGAAATACGTACCCATGATGCATCACTGATATCAACATGGCGGACATGGTTGAAAGTAAGTAAACTTTGCGTTATTTTGGATAAAATTAACAATATACGGGCTTATAGTGGCCGTCGAGCGAGTGACTATGCGAAATCTGTGTTTCGCGATTTATCGATTCGGCGCACCGCGCATTTATGAGCGCACCCGGCGTAATCACAATCGCTGTTCGAACAACGATCGAGCGAGTCGGGTTTAAAATTTCAAAAATGACCAAACACGATTCAAGCGGGACGACGACGATCCTCGGGCGAGCGATATTTCACCGTGCGGCTGATCGCAAAATGTCCACTGTCCTTCGAGTAACAGCAGTCTCACTGCCGTTACACTGCTCGAACTTGTCCCTCGGCGATGGCTACTCGTGCCGACTGTTTACTGAATTCGGAACCTGTTTGGTTATGTTACTCCTAGCTGTAGCTGATGCTCACGCACGATCGACGTTGTCAATCGCTCCGAAACTCGTGAATTTTTTCCCGACGACTGTTCCGTTATATTTTAAATTTGTTCGGGTGCAGCACAAACCTGTTACTCCTTGAGAAAGAATAAAAACGTACCTTTCTCGTAGTCTTTAATCGAATTAGTCGGGCTTTTTTTTAAATTCGATGACAAGTGCGACACCTGACATCTTGGAGCTTGATACTTAAGTGCATATGTAACTTTTAATTTTATAAACATTCGTACGAGAGAGGCGTTAACCCAATAGTTGCCGTTTCTGATAAATATGTTTTATCATCTGTATGAGACTGATATTGCTGATTTTGTTCAAATATCATTGCACTTGAATGATGTATGAACAACGTATGTATATTATTCTAAGGAAGTTATTTGTATTTGTCCACGTACGTCTGTCAATTCCAAATCAATTTGTTTAGGTGAATCTGCAGAAGCATTATTATCCATAAAAAATGGTGGATATCCAACAGTGGATGAGATTAAAACTGAGATAATCGAAGAAGATGCAATGGACATAGACGAACATCCTATTCCCAATCATTCAGTCGATTCAGAGCCACCGATGGATGCAGAAGAAGCAGAACCGATACCAGAACTGGGACCTGCAGCTTTAGGTCTACAGAGAGTAGGCACCCAACCACCTGCTAAACCGAATCCCCCAACACAACCAGTGCAAGTCTTAAACCGTAGAGGAATGCCAGCTAGAATTAGGAAAAAAAACAAGTTATTCTATGATGATGTCCTGATTAATCATCCTCATCACAGGTATGGGTTTCCTTTTTTCTCAGATAGACATTAAAATTAATGAGTATTACATCAACATTGATGAACTTGATTTTCTAATTAGTTGAATATTTAATTATATCCACAGAATCAAGAAGGATCCATTAAGTGCAGATGCAAAACAGTCTCCCAAAAAGTTACTTAGACCATCTCCAGCCAAGAAGCAGAATAAGATGTTAAATGAGTCAAAAAAGAGTTCAAACATATCTTCACATTCTACTCCTGCAACTACACCAGTGAAGCAAGAGAGGGAACACGATAAACCATTGCCACCTTCATCCCCAGATCGTAAGATTGGACAAAAGATTGGTATGAGATTGAGAAACTTGTTAAAGTTACCAAAGGCGCACAAATGGGTCTGCTATGAATGGTTTTATAGCAACATTGATAAGTACGTAATTCAATAATAGTATTCAATAGTAGTAATAATTCAATAATAGCATCAAAAATAGTCATGTTTTAAAAATGGTAATTTTTATACTTCTACATCGATGTTTCTCGTAGGATATTGTTTGACGGCGATAACGACTTCATGATATGTCTAAAGGAATCTTTCCCACAATTGAAAACTCGCAAACTCACTCGTGTTGAGTGGTGCAAGATCAGGAGGATGATGGGCAAGCCGCGACGATGCTCGCAATCCTTCTTTGAAGAAGAAAGACGCGAGCTAGAGAGAAAACGACAGAAAATACGGATGCTTCAGCAAAGGAAAGCAGCAGACATAAATAGTTACAAGGATTTGCCACCTGAAATACCGTTGCAATTAGTAATTGGTACAAAAGTAACAGCGAGATTGAGAAAGCCACAAGATGGTTTATTCACCGGAAGCATCGATGCCGTCGATACCAGCAATAATACTTACAGAATCACGTTTGAGAGAGCTGGACTTGGAACACATAGTGTGCCCGATTATGAAGTTTTGGTACGTCGTCTATTTATCCCTTTGGAGAATTGCGATTGTACATTTATGTTACAATATATGTTTTTGTAATTTTAGTCGAACGAACCGCCGGAAACAATTAGCGTGGCTTCGTTTGCTCAGAAATTCAGACCACGAAATGTACAGTATGTACCTTCGCCACCATACGCATTGAAACTGGCGCCGCGAGTAACCAACGATCCTTTAATATCCAACGCATCTGTATCTCTACCAAAGAAATCGCATATCGGTGGCACGGTGAATGGTTATCCGCTAAGGTTATTAGAACTCATGGTAAAGGTAAACAAGATATTGACAGCTAAAAAGATTAAAATCAAGAAATTGAAAGATATGAATGGTGAAGCCGAAAAGAGACGTTCCTTCGGAGAGTCGCTTCCTCCCGATTTTGAGAGAAAATATGCGGGGTATGTGTGGCTAGTTACGCACGTAAATGTATACATATAATAAATTATATACTCCAAAATTCAAATGCAGAATCCAAAAATTTGTATGTTTTAACTGTTTTTCAAAAATTTTCTTGTAATATTTTAATATATGAATTTTCGAACATTATATAATAAATAATTTATGAAATGCACATGTATATGTACACACTGAGTCTGATAAATCACTCAATTAATCTATTGGCCTCATCTTCCCGCAGAATTGTTGTTGAGCTAGAGAAAATGAACGTAGCTCTCCAAGATTTTCTCAATGATGTTCAAGAATTGTGTCAAGAAATGGCACCCGAGCCGAGTGTAGCGGCGATGTTAGCACCATCGCATTTGAGAGAAAAGTGCAGACAAGAAGCAGCAGATATGGTAGCCAGGAACAACATGATGAACGATAAAGAACCCGGAAAGATGAATCAGTTGGTAACAGACTTAACCGCGCTGATGCTACAAGTTAAAGTAAGATAAAAATTAATTTGGATAAATTAAAAGTTAATTTACGTGAAATTTATTCCAAATTTTCATATATTTCATAATAAAGACATTTTACTCGTTTTGCAGAGTTTATCAGATTCTGACCGGAACGCTTACGAACTCAAAGTATTACAAGGTACGATGGAGCAAATCAGATCGAAACTCAGTCCTCAAAACCAGCAAGTGTTTCAAAATTGCGTAGAAATTCACATGCAACATATTCAACTAGGCCTAGGACAGATCGGTGCTTTGACCCCATTCATGGCTCAAAAAGCTTGAAAGAAAGAAAGAGATAAAAGTATCATCGTATAAGTATTTTCGCGCAGTGTACAGTGTGTAACGAACGAAACAAGAGATTATGCGGTCTCACGATTTTTATAGGAAACGAGAAACCAGCTTTATTTTCTCATGTTATATAAGCCATAATATTGTCATGTGAACCACACTTCTATTTACACGATATCTAGAATTTAAGATAATTATGTTAATTTTGTACATATCGAGTATACTTTCAAACACTTGTTTCTCTTTTTCAATTTCATGACACACTCACGAGAATACTTAGAACAGATTCGTATATTGTTGGACATATTAAACATCTAAGAATGTTCATGTTTCAGATTTTTACATACTAAATGTACAATTTAATTATAGAGATAATATAAGCAACAATTGAATCAGATGCGAAGATAGTGTATAATGCATGAATAATAATAATTAAATTCTTTAAAACCTACAAAATTTCTACATTTGTACAGTCGCTTTATATAGAGGTTAATATATTAAGATTTTAGTGCAAAAGAAAATTAAGAATTTTTATCATTTAGAAGAGAAATTTATTTGATCTTTTATAATCTGTATCTAAAGATCATATACGCGAATATTAAATCTTGGTATGCCACAGAAAAATTGCTAAATCATATAATCTTGGAGTACATGTACTAAATTATAAATTACTGAGATATATATTTATATTTCGCGAACAATATTTTCATCGGCACCGATGATATCTGTGTTCACCGATAGAAATTTTTTTAAGTATGAAATAATATTTAATGTATTATAAACATTCGTACTAATAAGAATTTGTGTAGAAAGTTGTGTGTATGTGTGTTTCGTGTACACAAAATATTTTATATATAAATAAATATGCTATATTATAAATTTTTTTTTCATAAATCGCTGAATACATATCATCGGTCAAGTTTAGCATTACTGAAAACATTAGTGCTAATTTGCCAGTGATGTCAAACTATTTCTTACATATTTATTTAGTCGATACACAAGTCGTACATACATATATGATCCAAAGAAGATATAGTTTTGAATAAAACAAAAAGGGAAAAAATTTCGGGACATAAACAATTTCGTTACATATCTATGTATGAATATACACAAACTGTCAGTAATAATTTTACATATAAAATGAATCGCTTCATCCTGAATATTCATTAATTTTCGATTGTGCAATTTATTTTATAGTATAATTGCTTAAATATTTTCAATATTCAACATAATGTTAGTGAAGTGGTATACTGAATATTTCTACGCTTAATTACTTTGACAATTATTATAGGCAAGTCAAAGAATCGATTTTGTAAAGGGGTACCCTGGTAAATATCTGATGTAATATACTAGAAAAGCAATCTATGTGCTTCTTTTCTTATGCTTGTAATCAATATGATATAATTTTTGTGCATTTATAATTAACTGTAAGAATAGTAAAGAATATTTCAGTAGTCATCATAACATACACTATATATCTCTGCTATGTACATATATTTCCAATGTATTATTATTACATCAATGATACAATGGTGATGCTTATTTCACATATTATATATATATATATATATATATGTATGTATAAATTGGAGCAGCCTTTTAGAAATGATCAAGAGTCCTTCCTCATTAAACAAAATCTCACTAACAAGAAAACAAAAAAAGTAATTACATTTATATACAATTTTTTCAAAGCAACAGCGGGGATATAAATCACTCGTCAATAAGAAATTTCATTGTTCAATTTATATTAATGTTGCGTGGTAGTATCTAAGTGTAATGTATTTTTCTGGGCAATCATCAAATTTACATTTTGTGGAATGATAAATAAAGAGTTTGATAAAACTCCTAATTAATAAGTTTCTCGTTGATAAATATGAATTTACTATTTATAAAATAAATTGAAGCTTGATATTATACTGGTAAAAACATTGTAACATTGAAGTTATAAAAGAAGCAACATACGCATATTTCGTGAGAATGTTTCTGTTTATTCGTATTTCAACGGTCCTAATTATTCCTCACACGAAGTTGCGTGAGAGAGAGCAAGCGATTTTATTGTCTATTTTGTATGTTTATCCAGCATTTCAAACAGAGTATCCGCGGTCTCACTAGTTTTCACTCTTAATAGTACTGGAACCGGTGGCGGTAATGAATCCGGCATTGGTAGACAGACTAACATTATCGTGTTCTTGTTCATACGCTTGACCGGTATGTTTTGAGTCAATAAGGTGTTAAGTAACAAATTACCCAGTGCCGTCTCAGCACGTACTATCAATTGCGTTTTACCGTTTGGTGTTGGTTTTAGGAATAACATACCGACACCCCTGTCGCTGAAATTACCATCTTTCTTCACAAAGACTTTGCATCTAAAAACAAAAAAGAAAGTTGTAAGTTTGTAATTGCTAAATTCATTTTTATAGTATACAATTAGCCTATCTTCCATTTCCTTCTATATAATAATATAAATTCGTAATATACCTTTGTTCATAAATTGCGCCTTCTTCAGTTACTGGTTTGAAATCTGGCTTTGGTGGTTCCTCATCATCTTCATCCTTATTATCATTGTCTGTCTTTTCTTCTTGATCCTGTGGTTTGATTGGGCAAGCGGCAAAAGTAAATGCCTTTCCGCTACATATTATCTCCATTAGAATTCATGTTCACAAAATTCATTTAATAATGATATAAAAAATTGAAAATGTGTTACGGATAAAATACCTGCCAAAGCTAAATCCAGCGGTTATGTTACTGGTAGTAGAACTCTGCCCGAAACTGAAAGTAGAAGATGCAAAAGTTGGAGCTATAGGCTTTGTGTCAGATTTCGTTTGTTCCTCTTCTGTTTTACTATCCGAGACAATGGGAAGTTTTTGTAAGAATGGATTGTTTTCCACACTTACATTACCGAATATGCTCTTACTAGACGTATTCGATTCTAAATTTCCAAATATCGGTCTAGGTACCTCGGAAGTCGCATCCTTATTACTAAATATAGTTTTAGCGTTTTCAGTTTTTTGTTCTGTGTTACCGAATACCGGTTTAGTACTTGGAGTAATGTTGAAAACCGATTTCTCAGGTTTCCACTCTGCTCCAACTAAAGATTTAGTAGTTGTGTTTGTATTACTGCTGAACATGTCTTTCTTTTCTGAACTGTCATTTTTCTTATTATCATTTTGCATAGGCTTTATTGTATGCTCTGTAGTCTGCAAGGTAGTTTGGGCTTTTGTGTTCTCTTCTTTTGATACAATCTCCTTCAGATATTTTTCATAATCCTTAAATATAGGTGTCAATATACAAAACGGATTTGAATCCACATGACTCTTTATCCACTGTGCGACACTCTCATTTAGTCCCTTCAATCTTGTATAATAATCGGATGAATTATTTTTTGTTTCCTCGACTTTCTGCTCTGTAGAGACCTGTTTGCCAATACTAATGCTCGATGTTGTCTGAATTTTTGAAGGTTCTGTTTCTGTTTTATTCGTACTGTTTTCAGCAATTTTTGTGGCACCATTGCTAGCGATGTTCCTGTTAGTATTTATAGTCGTTGATGTTAATGTAGTATTAACAGTTGTATTAGGACTGGTGCTTACACCAGCTAAAAAACTAAATGGAGCATTTTTTGCAGGAGTAGTATTAAAACCAGTAAAGCCTTCAAATGCACTTTTCAGAGAACTTTCCTGAAACTGTTTGAACATAATGGTAACAAAGACCAATACAATTAAAACAAATAATAAAGAACATGGAACTCACTTCCATTGGCAATAAACGGCCTCGTTTAGCAGTTTTTAAAACTCTCTTCCTGAGCACGTCACTTGTAGCTCTTGTAAATGTTCCAGCTTCTTCTGGTTCCTGCTCTTCGTTCCAATTGTCATGATTTAATTCAGTTGTTGCTGTCCGTTTACTTGCCATTTCTATTAATTAGTATCCTTCTGTACACGAAGGAAAAGATTTTGCCTATTTTGCTAACACTAAAAAATTCATTTTAATGAATTATCGATAGAACTGAACCTCACGCAAATTATGCAATATTGTTATTAATATCAAGAAAAGCAAGATTATGAAACATGATGGTATGTAGTATGTAAGATAATTGCATCGCATCATAAAATATATCGTTATTGTATCAGATTGAATATCATGTACGTTCGAAAACAAATATAGAATTTATTTCAAAGTCACGAGAATAAATATAAATAAAGATTTCTTGTTTTTTATGAGATTGGAATCGTACGAGTCATAAATTTGATATTCTCATCCATGGAAAATTTAGTCGTATTATTATATTGACGATAAGGACGATAAGGTTATGTTTCTATGGATAATGACAATCCCGGCAAAAATTCTCAAACGCACCTCACTAATTAAGATTCCTTTTAGCAGATACGTCGAAACGAACAATCTCACTTTCGTAATAATCAGAATAACACTTGAAAACGAAACGAAAAAGTCACTTGTACATCCTCGTGGTCAATGCAAAGGTGATATCGATCTTTGTGTCGTGCTTACCTGAAATCGAAGAAATTAAAACGTTTACCGCGCCATGAACGGGCGCGCAGAGATGGGCGATGTTTGACTTGCTTTTTTGTTAGAAATTAATTGTCTTTTCCTAATCTTTTGAAATTCTTAAGTTTGACCAACGTATATGCCAACAGTTCTTTTTAATTTTTTATATTACTGAATGAACTATAAGAATAAAATTTTATAGGAAGTACACATACGCATATACATATATATTCGCGTAGAGGAAATTATTTTGTCCTATTGTTGAATGGTGTTATTTAAAAATAGGAAGTCCAACAAAAATAATATTCTATCCGATTTCACGTACTTAATTCTGCTACCGAAAACTAAAAATGTAAAAATTAAAAAAAAAGGGTCAATTATTTTAATAGATACAAAAAATTGATAAAATTTGACATTAAATAAATATACCACATAAGCAAATGAAATAATGTATGACATTTGTTAACTAATAAATAGAAATTTCAGTTTTTGCTTTCAAATACATACGTTACATTTTCGATAAAAATAATTTTTCGAAATAAAAACTAGATTGAAAGGTGTGAAAATAAATTAAATAATCATAGTTTCTCATTTAACTATATATATTTTGATAATAAACAATAGTAACATTATGATTATATAATATACCTGAAAGGTAGACTTGGAATTTTTAAATGCTTTTGAAACCATTTTGTTATCATCATTTTTACGAAAGTTACAGTCCGTTAAATGTTTCCTATATTTAATATAATAAAAAAGTATTTTTCCAGCGAGAAATGACTCGTCGATCGATGTCAAAAAGTTCAAATCGACATCAATTAAACATCACTTCGACGTCGATGAGTCATTTCTCATTGGGTCTGATGAACCTCGAAGCCATACTACTTGAGAAATATAAAGACATCGGACTTGTCATTAGAGAGCTTTGCAATAATAGGTTTGTTTTTTATTGCCGAACTGGCTGCACTAACTTACACTTATTCTCTTCTCCTCTCCCTTTCACTAACTCCTAATGTATATCTATTTCTTTTTATATACCCTGAGTGTACACTAGTTCAGCGATAAAAAACAGACCTGTTGTTTTTTAGATACGGTGAAATATGATATGTGAATAGGGAGTTTTTTCAATATTGTCTCTAAAGTTAAGGGCAAGAGTACAGGCTTTTGCATAACACATAATACATAACACGTAAGAGAATAAACCAATTAGTTTTCTTCATTTCCTTCCTCAGGACAGAAAGGAAGAACTCTGATTGGTTGATTCTCTTATGCGTTATGTATTATGCGTTATGCAGAAGTCTGTGCTCTGGCCCTAAAGCTTATGAGCCTTCTACAATAAGCTATTAGTCATAAGTTGTAACCAAATCGACCACAGTCGATTATTTTTGAAATAATCAATTGTGATTGATCAATTTGCTTATAGCTTATGACTAATTGCTTATTGTAGAAGGCCTCTTAAGCTAAGACTCCATGCATGCGGTGAGCTCCGGCAAACGGCTGCGGTGACTAATCAGGAGACAGACGCATACCGGAGCTTGCCGCAACCGGACTTGCGCCTCCCTCCTGATTGGTCACCGCAGCCGTTTGCCGGAGCTCACCGCATGCATGGAGTCTTAGCTTTAAGCTTAGATTCTATGTATGCGGTAGAGCCCGGCAATTGCTGCGGTGACCAATCAGGAGACAGGCGCATGCCAGAGCTTGTCGCAATCAGACCTGTGCCTGTCTCCTGATTGGTCACCGCAGCATTTGCCGGAGAGGTCTAAGCTTAAGCTTAGGCTTCTTGCACAATGCCAGGCAACAAGCAATAAGAATAAAAATAGACCAATCACAATCGACTATTATAAGAATAATCTATTGTGATTGGTCTATTTTTATTCCTGTTTGCCTGTTACCTGGCATTGTGTAAGGGGCTTTAAGATCCTATAGATATCCTACGGATATCCTTTTTAGTAATTTTAGTTCCTTTTCAGAAACTTTTAGTTTCCAAAAATTATTACTAAAAGAGATATCCGTAGGATATATGTGGGATTTAAAACAACGGACATTGTATATCCCCAAGATGTTATTGTAGGACGTCCTTAGGATAAAATGTGTTGTGTGGGTTTAGCATTCACCGTATTTGAAAAAACATTATCGCAAAAATTCCCTATTATTGAAGTTCTCCAATATTTACCTTGAGGGCCGTGTTCATAGTCCGGTCTTATATTTAAGATCGTCTTAAGTTTATCTTCAGATGTTGTCAGATCATTTCATTGGCTACAGAATATCTGAATGTGAACTCAAGACGGTCTTAAATATAAGATCCGACTATGAATACGGGCCTTAGTGCTGAAATCTATAGTTTATGTACACTCGCTGACATAATAGTAAGTGCCCGTTTTTTTGCAACTTTCGGAACGCATCCCGACTCGAGAAGAATGAGGGCCAGAGCACAGACTTCTGCATAACGCATAATACACAACGCATAAGAGAATCAACCAATCAGAGTTCCTCATTTCTGTCCTGAGGAGGGAAATGAAGAAAACTAATTGATTTATTCTCTTATGCATTATGTATTATGTGTTATGCAAAAGCCTGTGCTCTTGCCCTGAGAGTCACTGCTCCGCCTGCGGAGCACGCCTGCGCAGTGACTCACGACGAAAGGCGAGAAATGAAATATATGCGGTGGAACATATTGACTTGTGCATTCGTTGCAGCTGATGATTCATCTCGTCCATCTCTTTCAGAAGACTTTAAAGTGGAAGTCATATCTTAAAACGATATCTCACGTATCATTTCTATGCTTGGGTAAGAAAAGGTAAATATCTATAATTATGTTTTATATCTATAATTATTTTTTATAATAAACATCTATAATTATTTTTTATAATAAATATCTATAATTATGTTTTATAATTATTGTTCGCCCTTTGGCTAAGCGAACAAGAGACCGGGACCGCTCAGCAATGAGCGCGGGGTTCAAATGGAAAGGAAGACACTGCCTTTTGAGTTTCGCGGGATCGTTCCTCTTTTTATTTCCTCTTTTGCTTCGATGTTCGTCGAGGTGCTGGGAGGCCGATACTCGCAAGTTGGAGCGCGAGCACCACTCGAACACGCGATCCAAATTTTATTATAAAAAAAAATACAAAATAAACTGTAACAATGTGCGATGAATATGATCGTACGTAGCACGTCCGTTCGAAGCGCAATGCGTTGAGGCCGCAATCGTATTTCGTACGATGAGGTTCGACCGGAGCGGTCGAGCAGCTGATTTGAAAAAAACGAAAAACGGAGCGGAACAAACCGAAATTTTACTTGCGATCGGTGTCGTGCGAAGTGAAGATCTGCTCGAAGTGAGGAACCGAAAAACGTTCGTCACTTCGATCTTACATTTATTTTTAGTTTTTATGTCGTTCGGAGATGAGACGTTAACCGCTATTGTTTAAACGTTGCCAGGTTATTGGCAGTCACATGCTGACAAACAATGACAATAACAACGCGGTGTCCGGTCGCAGAACACGCACGGCGTGCTCACGCGCGAGTCACGCAGAATATCTCGTGGCATCGAGAATCCTCGATTCCGTCGAAACAAAGAGCGACGATTTGGTCGGATTGCAAACAATTATAGATATTTATCTTTCCACCCAAGCGTGGAAATGATACGTGAAATATCGTTTTAAGATATGACTTCCACTCTAAAGTCTTCTGAAAGAGATGGACGAGATGAATCATCAGCTGCAACGAATGCACAAGTCAACATGTCCCACCGCGTATATTTTATTTCTCGCCTTTCGTTGTGAGTCACTGCGCAGGCGTGTTCCGCAGGCGGAGCAGTGACTCTCATTCTTCTCGAGTCGGGATGCGTTTCGAAAGTTGCAAAAAAACGGGCACTTACTATTTATGTCCGCGAGTGTGCATAAACTATAGATTTCAGCACTGACGATGAATGTCGGAACGCACCTTGAATTTAATCTTATGTGCATATTGGATATAATGTGTATTTTGCATTAAGGTGATTTTTTCAAACATTTGCGACATCTTTTACTTTGCGGAATATAAATAGACGAGAAGTAATATTCTCAACATGATATGGACGTTAGTGGTGATGCACTTTGAAGAAAGTGCGTGAGGTGTAAACAAAAAAGTGTTTATAGGAGGCAGATTATCAGTGATGCAATTCTGCAACTCGTTATTGGAATAAACGACACTTTCGTTATCGTTGCACAGCTTTTGTATGCCGTAGAAAAGCTTTGTAACGATAACGAAACTATCGTTAACTCCAATAACGTGTCGAAGAATAGGCATTTGAAAGCTTCTATTTTGCACTAATTGCACTTTTCTTCTCCTCGTGGCTGCGTGCACCGGTGGATGCTGCGGCTTTTAATCGTTCGTTGCAAAGAATCGAAAAAGCTGATGCGAAATTAATAAATTTATTTTTAACAGCGATCATGGTCATTCAAGATGCTACGTGGCGAATAATTTCAGAGGATTGGGAGTTGAAACGACGACGGGTCCTGGAATTTCCGGCGTCCTTACTTCTGGCAACTAAATGCCTTTAGCGCTGTGCGTGGATTGGCTCTGGTTTAACGGATATTACGTAGCCATACCGCAACAGCGAATCAACATGCGGATCGTATATCGCGGGCTATACTGGAATCGGAAATTATCGTTGCTTTCCTTTCTTGTGTGGCAAAGCCGGCACGCATACGTATACATTGGTCTCCATAAGCACAGCCTTCAACGAGGTAGGGAGCCAGCAGCTCCTGAATTTATTTCGAAGTAAATCGAAAGAATTGTAGGACATTTCTTTATTAATTGATCGTGCGACGGTCACCAATTAGGATAGAAGACCACTTGCTGCTGAGCCGTTTACGGTTGGTGCCTACATACTAGTCCAGTGGACACGGGACGTTTAATACGGCGAAAGCGCGGACACGATGGCGGCGGTAGAGGGTTATCAAAATCAAGCGCAATGCGAGACACAGAGCCAGCCGAATCACCAAGAGCAGTGCTCGAGTCAGCAAATGGATCAACAGGACCAACAAAGTTCACACGGAAATCAGCAGATGCATTCGCAGCATCAGGACCATCTTTTACATCAGCAGCAACAGCAACAGTCCTCACACCCACAACCAACCGCCGGTATCCCTGGCAAGGACGACGAACGCAAGCTTTTTGTTGGTGGTCTTTCTCGTAATACCACAGATAAAGAGCTGCGCGAACATTTCAGCAAGTTTGGTGAAATCGAGAGTATTACCGTGAAGATTGACCCGCACACCGGTATTTCACGTGGTTTCGCCTTCATGGTGTTCGCCAATGCCAAGGCTATCGATAAGCTACTTGCGTCTGGGGAGCATTATATCAATAAACGCAAAGTGAGTCAACAATGGAAATTTCTAAGATGTCTCTCAAATCCTGCATCATCTCTAAATATGTTGTTTTCATACATATGAATGTTCATTGTATTCGCTTATGACAAAAAGATAGAAAAACAGATTTTTATAACTTTACTTTTTATATTTATTATTTTTATTGCCTCTTTATTCTATAAAGTCTTAGATGTGTTGATATATACTATATATCGATATACATGTGTGTATATGTACATATATATACATATACACACATCATTTATAAGACCGATATTTGTGTGATACACTAGATTCAAAGAGATTCAATAATTATGTTTTATTAAGGAAATAGAATAACTCTGCTATTACTATAAGTAATACTTTTTTTTATACATACATTGTGTATACAATAGGATAATTATATAACATTGTTTCATGATTATATAGGTGGACCCGAAACGAGTTAGTAAGAAACCCCAGCATGGTAAAATCTTTGTGGGTGGTCTTACTCCTGAAATCACGGATGATGATATCAAAACATATTTTGGACAATATGGTACCATTGTCGAATTGCAAGCACCTTTTGACAAAGTTAAGAATCAACGGAAAGGTTTCTGTTTCATTACCTTCGACTCAAAGGAAGTAGTTTACAAACTATTGAAGACACCCAAACAAACGATAAATGGTAAGGAAGTTGATGTAAAAAAGGTCAAAGTTAATCCGGATCCAAGAAGCCAGGGTTTCTGGGCACCGGGTTATGGCTATGGTTATGGTGGTGGATATGGATATATTCCTGACTACAATGGTTATCATGGGTACGAAGATATGTATGCAAATTATGATTATGCTGGATATGATGGTTATGATAATATGGGATATGCGCAACCTAAACCAAGAGGTAATGGTCCAGGACCTCGTCAGTTTCAGAGACATCAACCGTATTAAACATAAACAGGTACATTGAATCCTATGCACTGTATACCCGGTGATAAGATTTAACACATCTAGAAAGAGTTAGGCTAATTGCGTCTATATAGATGATATCCAGTCGGAGACTGAGTCAGATTCGGGGGTTACAGGGAGTGTCATGAAGGTTAAAACAGAAACTTATTGATTAAGTTTACAATTCCGTGCATGTAATAGATAAGGAGGAACAAAAATATGTCCTTGGAACCAAAAAAAAAATGCTTTGGCATATGTTCATTAAGCAGAAATTGGTCTATACGAATGTTGATTTATGATCAACTTTGAAATGATGAATCACTCATTATCATGTCTTTTTCTCTGTAATCATATTGCTAAAATTGAGGTTTTGGCCGTATAGAATAGAATTTTGAGGGTAAAAAGTATATTTTGTATTCTCTTTCATAATGACAGAGTTAACGACATGATATTTCATACATAGCTTTTATCCATTTTTAGTGGATGTTTTGCTGCTACTGTATGGAATGAGGCAGAATTTGTATAATTGTGAAACTATAACCAATCCTAATTCTTGTTATGGAAAAGTTTCGGTTTCGAATAGGAGACGCACTTCACACATTTGTATCTGCTCTCGTTATGATTCATAATGTGTAATTGACTAACATTTGTAGGTAATAATTTAATACTCCTACTTTTCTTTAGAAATTTAAGTTTATCCCTCATTATTCAAGTTTGCTTAGCTTTTTCTTTGCGTAGTGTTATCTTTATGCGAATAATAAAATTCATGGTGTATAGTTACAAACCATATGATAAAACATAAAAATTGCCTTATTTACATACCTTTTTTGACCTCCATATGTTATAATTAAGTAATAGACTTAACAAAAACAAAAGAACATTCAACGACCAAGGGATCTATTTCTACATAAAAATATTTCTTCCTCGTAAAAATTGTATCTTATAACTATACAGCTTATTATAACAGTTAATATGTTTTACTAGTTATTAAGTCTTGTAACTTATCTTCAGATTGTGTAAGTAATGAAATGTACATATATGTTATATGTATGTATGTATATACGGAATGTTCACATACGTACATATGTACATGTATGTGTATCTGTCTATGACTACTATGGATTTATAAAATTAGAATTTAGACGATAAATGCAAAAAAAAAGAAAAATATGAAAAATAATATAATTAAAATATGAACGTCCTGGGTATATACATGAAGTGCACGCGAACGACTCGACCATCTCGAGGAGATAGCTCGACAGGTTGAAACATTTATTTGCAATATAGTGAAATCGCTATTGAATATCACGTGAATGTTAAGAGGATTTACCTCCGGAATTTCCTGTCGCAGTATTTCCACCTGTCGAGGCTATTGCACTCCTCTTTGCGATTGCATCATTTACGATCGATGAAACAACCATCAAAGACTCTTAGCTGCCATTTGATGAAACAGCGTATCTGTAGTCATGACAAAGAAAAGAAAGAAGAACGTTGAAGTGTAATCATAATTACTTATATAATATTTACGCAGCATCATACCGTACTATCATTGTCTTGAATGTGTCATAGTAAAAATCTATTGCCATAGTTAATTGTCCGGCAATTAATTCGTCTTCAATAAGATCCATCTTGAGACGGAGTTCGATCACTCGCGTGTCGTCTGTGTGCTCGGTTTGTATAAAATGGCAAAAAAGTAAAAGGAAAATAAAAGAATGAAGATACGAATACGACACAAATAGATGAAATAGATAAACGTATTATATATTGAGAATGATGAGTGAAAATTGACAAAGATTTTCTCGAGTTATCGGCGTTTATCAGAATGTTTAAGGCGGCGACCAGAGATGATGGATAATCTAAGCTACATTAACATTTTCTTTCGCATTTCTGTCTGGTAGCAGTTCCTGTTCATCGTACCAAGACTGCTGTTTATATCGCGAAAAGACTGTTATCAAATGATGATACAGGCTCTAGAGAATTTGACAATTAATAAAACTTGTGGTTTCGACTTGCGAAATTGTAAGAAAATAGAAAAATGGATAATGTAATAGTAGGAAATGTGTAGATATGACACAATGGGACTACATTTAGATACATCGAAATTATATACACAAGGCTGAAGGAGCTTTAAACATTCAAAAGAAAAGAAGTTTTTCTCAGACGTCGTAAAGGCATCGACGGTTTGGCTTAAAACATTGAATGTTTCTCAAGTGTCTGTTAACAACGTGAATTATCTTGAGAGTATAATGTGAAGTATCTCTTTTTGAGAATACATTTTTTAAGCCAAGCTAATGTCTTTGAAATTAAATCTGTATACTGTGTATACCATATTTGCTGCGTGTGAAAATATATATTGAAGCAAGAGAGAAAAAGAGAGAACAGAGCGTAAAAAAAATTAAAGGAGATGATACAGATATTTTGTTACTATTAATTACTATTCGCCTGTTTCACCCATGACACAGTGTATATTTTAATTATAGCAAAAAATAAATAATCATTATTTCAAATATCTCTGTAATATTATATTTGTAACATAATTTTACATACATTTGATTGGTGCAAGAGGTTTGTTATTTATTTTTGTTTTTCATTAAATTATGATTCAAATTAGATCGTGAGGCAAACGTTTTAAAGGCAGAACTATTGATTGAGAAAAGATTACTTTTCGAAATTATATGTAGTTTTCAATTTCAATCAATAAATACAAATTTTTTGTACCAACGTAATATGAAATATCACGTGATGGAAGGTGTGTCAATATTGGCTTCTCTCTGTTCTAAAAGACTGTATTTTATTTTACTTATTCTAGCAATTGTATGTAAAAATGTATTATTTTTTTCATATATGTATTTCTTTTCATCAACAGTTTGAGGCCCTGATACATTTGAAAATACTGTTCTTAGTCTTGTCAAGTTTCGAATCATCCAGTTGAATTGTCATGGACAAAATTATTTAATGGATGCATAGTGAGTAGACATTATTAATTGCATGTGTATTGCAATAAAGAAGTCGCGCAGAAGTTCGCGAAAAGCAAGTAGCAGATATGTATAACAAAAGATGGTAAATCTTTGTATTTAATACATATATGTATGTATGTATGTATATATATATATATATATATATATATATATATTATATATATATTTCAAACGTAAAGGCAAGTGTGATACAGAAAAATACGATACATAAGTACAATACGATGTACAATACGAAGTGTAAAGAATAAGTGTAATAAGAAGAAAATTTTTATTGCATTTAATATTACTTGAATGTCTGTCACTTGGACATATTTAATATATATTTAGTTAAAAATGCCCAATTGATGAATTTGATGTTTTTATCACAATTCGGTGAGACAAGAGATTTTTAAAATTTGCATAAATCGCGCGCAACGTTCGGCTGTCACGTGTAACTCGTGTTACCACGAGCTGTCACGTTACGAAGACATGCGCACAAAGCTTCGGAAGGAACCTGTCTCGCCATCTGGTGACACCGCTTACTATGCTTAGCGCGGCATGTATTTCGAGTGCTCCGGCAGTTGCACGGGTGGGTGACTCGCAGTATAGTGTGTGTGTCTATCGTCGCAGCTGCCAGCGATCACAGTCGTGTCGCACGACTCGGCTTTCTGCTGTTTCCCATAGAGATAAACCGAGCGAGACGACGCCTTCGCGCACTCTCGCAGTCGACGTGTATTCGGTGAAGGGGAGCAAGTGCAACGAACGGAAGAAGCGACCGAGCGACCGAGCGAACGAACGAGGGGAGGGAATAATAGTAGACGCGGAAAAAGAGAGAGAGAGAGAAAGAGAGAAAGAGAGAAAGAGAGTGGGTGAGAGAGCAAACGAGCGAGAGAGCGGGCGAACGCGCGTGTGGTGCTATGCCTCACCCGAGATCGGCACGGGTGTCGTGCGGCCAGTCATGCTGGTCCGACGGCCGTGGAGATTCGTGATGTAGCCCAACACACCTAGCCTAACATTAGTTTGGCACAGGAACGCTCTCGTGCTGCTGCTGGTGTTGGTCGTCCTAGCAAACTGACCAACATCGATGCGTCGCGCAACAACGCTCACGGATCTTGGTCGCCGCCGAGTCAGCTGCGTCTACACGTTCCTCGTTACCATCGTCGTTGTCGCCGTCTACAAGAAGTGCCTTCTGCCGTCGATCGTTCTCGGCCGTGTTCCTCGAGCCTCATGATTGTACGAGAAGCGAAAACGACCGCTGTGCGCCCGCGTCTCATCTAGTCTTGACGAATACGGCGATCCCGCGACTGATACGTAACCTTTGTCTAATCCCGCAGTGCGTCTCGGTAAACTCGGTAAACGAGAGTTCGATGAGACAATGTCTTTATCGCGAAAACGTGGTACTTGGTGTTATCCTAAATATCACAGACTATACCTGATCATCTAGGGCATATCAAGGCGCTCGCAGAAAAAATTAATCACGTATCACGTTCGGAAAATCATTCTTATCGAAGCGCGTGTGCGTGATCCTGGCATCGGTCTTGTCCGTTTGCCGTCTTATTTTGAGTTTTTAGGAGTGTGAATTTATGCTCTTCACAAAGCGGAAACACAATCGTGGCTTGGGTAAAAATTTAAGGTGACTCTTTATAGAACGGTAAGATTTCTAAAGTTTCTCAGTGAATTTCTTTCCGCAAAAATGTTTCGTCAGTCCACGCCAACGTGGGCTGATAAGATACCGAGGCGCGGTATTTCTGCAGCACCACCGCCACCACCACATCAACGATGCGGCGCGCGCGCGCGCGTGTGAATAGCACGAGCCGCTGATTATGATCGCGGCACGGGATCTCGCACGTATGTAACATCGACGACGTAGCGTGCACGTCGGTGGATTTTTAGTATGCGCGCTGGGTAAATAGACAAGCTCCGTTGCATAATAGTCGAGATACGTGATGCGTCGTCGTCGTCATCAGCAGTAGCTGTTACGAATCCAATGAATGCTACGTGCTTGCGTTGTCGTCGTGGTCGTCGGAGATTTTGATCGCGCTGAACTTCGCTCTTCGGGGCAGTTCCACGGTGTTACACGTGTGCGAACATTCATTGTGCCAATTAAAATTTCGCCTTGGTCAGCAGAGTGACAGTTAATACTCGGCGCGTTCCTGTCACTTCGCTCGTTCGACTCGTGCGAATTTTAATCTTCGAGCATCGCACTCGAGTATTCGAGGATCAAGCGAGATTTCGCTCAGAGTGTTTATTCATGAGTTCACTGATGCTAACGTTAACAATTTTGCAGAAATGATGAAACGGACGATTGCAAGAGGAATGCGTTGCAACTCTCATTAGACGGTGCGGCAAGACGAAAAAAGACTTTGTTGCTGAACAGTCAAAGTATCAGTATTTGATACATAACCTAGAAGAAAAGATGTCTCAGCTGAACATAAACACAGGCAAACGTGGACGAGGTGGAGGTGCGAGCACATCTGCATCGGCTGTGTCTGCATTGAGCAGCTCCACCGATCTGGCAAGCTTATTTGAATGTCCAGTTTGCTTCGATTATGTGCTTCCACCCATCTTACAATGTCAGAGTGGTCATCTTGTGTGCACAAATTGTCGACCAAAGCTCTCTTGTTGCCCTACTTGCAGAGGTCCTCTGGGTATGTAAATTGCAGTTGAAACATATGTATGATTAATTCAACTATAGTCAAGAATTCTGTATTTGATAATTCTGATTTGAAAACAGGCAATATACGTAACTTGGCGATGGAAAAAGTAGCTAGCAATGTAATGTTTCCCTGCAAGTATTCTACCAGTGGCTGTACAGTTTCTCTAGTGCATACTGAGAAAGCTGACCACGAGGATGCGTGCGAGTACCGTCCATACAGTTGTCCTTGTCCGGGTGCATCTTGCAAGTGGCAGGGATCTTTGGAACAAGTAATGCCTCATCTTGTTATGAGTCATAAAAGCATCACGACTCTACAAGGTATTGTGAATTTTGCTCAGTTAATGACACTTCTGTATTATGTTATTTTTTATATATAACTCCTTACCTGTTCTTTTAGGAGAAGACATTGTTTTCTTGGCAACTGATATTAATCTCCCTGGAGCTGTCGATTGGGTGATGATGCAGTCTTGTTTTAACCATAACTTCATGCTAGTACTTGAGAAGCAAGAGAAATATGACGGACATCAGCAGTTTTTCGCGATTGTACAATTAATCGGCTCGAGAAAGCAAGCGGAGAACTTTGCTTACAGGTAATTATCTACTTGGTATAATTGTTGCTTATGGTGTATTTATAGGAAAGTCGCCGAGAGTATTTTTCAAATCTATATATTTAACAAGCATAATGTCTTCATGGAATGAAATTCGCGGGATGATATCAGGTAGTGTCATTAAACCTGACATTTACCGAATTATTCCCCATGGAGATTTCTCATTAAAAATGTTCCTTCACATACACCAACCATCAAAGAGTACTTTGTTGACTTTTCGATCAATATACTATAATTTATATTTTAATCGATTTCCATTTTATTTAACAGACTAGAACTAAATGGGCACAGAAGACGCTTGACATGGGAAGCGATGCCGCGTTCTATTCACGAGGGTGTGTCGTCTGCGATTTTAAATTCTGACTGTCTTGTATTTGACACCTCTATTGCGCAATTGTTTGCTGACAATGGAAATTTAGGAATTAACGTTACGATTTCTATGGCATGAGGAAAGCCAGAAAAAGCAGTATAAAATGGAAGAGAGAAAAGGAAAACAAACTATGCAGACATATCGAGCAGTCTTTTGGATGACGAGTACGCCAAATGTACCCGGGGATTGCCCGCCATGCATAGTTAATGGTTTTTTCTTATGTTACCACAGATAAATATTAGCAGTACAGAGAGAGATATAAGGAAGTGTTCGAAACGTGTTGATGACACGAATCATTCGAAATGCTCGGTACAGGACTGCCGTTGAGAAGCTTTAAAGTATACTTGCGTGTGATATCAGCACTCACAGATGGACACAACAAAAACATGTTTTCAGTACATCCATGATACAACTTTAAAGCTTTTACATTGAGTACGACATCTAATTCCGAGGGAAAGTGTACCTGATATTTGCCGCGCGCTATTATCACCTTACTCCCACTCATTTCATATTAACTTCTCAGCAATTCTTCAGAGAAAAACTATATATTATGAGTAAATTGTACGGCGCCTCTTGTCTGTGTTACAATATTTTTCAGTATTTCTTACTAATGCGAATCTTAATTGCGAGAGCTTACATCGCCGATTGTACTATTTCACAAGTTTATTTTGAATCTCGCAAATATACAATTATCGCATTTAATTTGACATTAATGCATACTTTTGTATCGCTGTTTTTGTTTATTAAAAAAATTACCTTTTCATTCTCTCTTGTAAAATAACACTTGTAAAATAACATTTCATTCGTTGTTAATTTTCTATTTCATTAAGGGTCCTGTATGTATACGAGTCTTGTATATAATGTGATAGGTCTGGCTCTTGTTCATAAATAAGCGCAGTATATATCGTTTGATTATTCGACAACAGGATGTAGATGTATGCTTTTCGTGATTTTCTTATGCACGAGTAGCAATGAAAAGCAGATCAGTTTCTCAGGATCTAGTCCGATTGTCGAAACGAGATATTAATATTTTTACAACAATTATATCAACACAGTAAGGATAGTAATGTTCACAATTGCAGCATGGTTCCTGTAAGCATGATATAAAAGAAAGTCGAGCGATCGAAACGTTTACGTTGAAATTACAGAAATATTCCCGGAAATGTTATATTAAACACGAGTTTTATAGAGTGTGTCGCAATATTTACTAACATTGACATCGGTGTAAGCTTAATTTTCAAGAGAAGATTATATTATATCGATATAGATAGCGAAAAGAGGAAAACGTTATTTTGTGTTATATTCAACATCCATCCTATTAGTGCCGCTAATGAACGTTTTCTTTTCTGCACAAATCATGTTTTGCGTTGATATACTATATTATAAAATAGCGTTTGTATCCGAAATTACCGTAAAAGATTACTAACGAGGAGGATCTTTTCTTGATCTGTATCATTTGTATTCCCTCGCGATACGCTAGGATACGTCAGATTTTTTGCCTTGTACAGTTTTACGTAATATTAGTAAACTTTGTAAACAAATAGTATTCGTACAGAGCATTGAACCGAATTGCGTAGCAGAGATCAGCAGGTAAGGAGATTTAGGGAAGAAGGGGGGGAGAGAGAGAGAGAGAGAGAGGAATTACGAGGAAGATTACTCTCTTCGAAAAAGAACAATTTAGACTGAAATGTAACTATATGATGAGTAGGCTAAGTCTCTATAACGATTGATTATATATTTTTCATAGAATGAAAGACTACACGAGCTTTACTTTCACTAAGCGATTCGTACGATTGTTGAAACGACTTTATCAAAGCACGCTGTTCTACGATATTGGATTAATATCGCTACATTCTACGCTACCGAGATACGAGTTTATTAGTCGGTTTAATGCCCTATGGCAAAGCCTTACGGTAAAATGAGAATGTCTCTCGTTTGTATAAACCGGGCGCATACTGTGCTTATCTCGTCAATAATTGCGAAAGAGAACGAGTTCACGAGTGTATAGGCGGAAAAAACGCTGTTGCTGTAAATAAAATGACAACTTATGTGATATAATTATATTATGAATAATGTAAATCGATATGCTGATACGTATTCACAGCGCTGGAGGAACAGCGCAGGGAAACAGTGGACGCCATTCCAACGTGTTACGGCGAGAGCGATTGATTGACGTCTTTATAAGAGACAATGGTAATTTTTTATAAAATGCGATTTATAGAATACTGTTGACTCTAGCCAGTAAAGTGGTTCAGTGCTCTTCTAGAATCATCGAGTTGGTCACTTTCACCGTAACGCATACGTATACTGTGTATATGATCATGTGTATTAGCGCTTATACGATTATATTTACACACATCTATTAGCTGGATAATTTTAGTAAACTTAAATGAAATAAGCGTCCGAACGTTTTTGGCGGTTACCGAAAAAAAGGAGAGAGAGACAGAGACAGAGAAACAAGTTCGAGTCTCTAATTTTGATGTTGATTGTTATCCTACCAAGATTGTAGAAAAAATTATCTTCCCATTTTTAGCATAAAACGTTACCGCGCTCAGTGTGATGAGAACTGACAATGTACACCGGACGTTGATCGATCATGTCCGATCATTTGAAGAACATCGATTCGTTTCATCGTACTAACGACCCTCGTAACAAGAAATAGCACAAACAACAAGATATTTATGAGATCAAAGCGAAAGGAAGGAATCACAGATATCTATCTGTTAGCTGTGATTTTTCCCTCTATAATAAACGCACCACCGGGAGCAGCGAGCTGATTTCCGAGTTTCGAGGGAAATCCACATTATGTCGTTAGATTATTATGTACATAACGATAAGATTAACGATAGCGATAAATTCTTTACTCTTTAACTAAGTAGTAATTTATTCTTTAGCGTACGCGAGGATGGCTTCGTTTCGGATTTACTAAACGTGGTCGTTTAAGAAAGACATATATATCTTTCATTCGGTTCATCACGAATGGATATGTCGTTTCACTGGTGCCGCGTGCAGGCCAATAGTTATAATTGGCTCGGAAGGAACAAACTATACGCATTATTTTATTTCTATTCGAGTAGAGGACGATGCGATATGAACAGATGAGTTAAATGCAAAATCATGTTTTGCGTTTAAGCTTCGGGGATTAATTATCGAACGGCACTGTAATGTAACTTCGTCGTCGCTTCTTTCGAGATGACGTTCATACATACAGTGTATGCTCTACAGTTTTTAGGCCCTTCGAGCTATCTATCGATATTAATGAATAATAATTATAATTATAATAATATAATAATAATAATATAATTATGATTATGTCCTTATGAATATTAACATAAATCAAAATATGATTATATTTATAATTATATATAAATGTAATTATATTTAATAAATTTGCAAGGTTCGTGTTGCAATCGCGATACAAGAAATCATTGTAATCGTCCCGAGCATGTGCGACGGTAAACCAGTGACATATCCTTATAAGATCGCGAGATTCGTGTAAACGCAGAATATAGCGAATTCTCCTTATTTGATAGTTTATACGATACAGCGCGAGATCGTGTAGACAGATTGTAACTATAAATGACGAATCGCGACACACCTTTGTATTCTAACGCGATATCAGAAAAATCGGAGGTGCTCATGTATTCGCAGAATAGTATATTATCGAGAGATAGCTTTATTTAATATAATGTATATACTCTTTAGATATATATAGATATATGCGTATTTATAGAATCTAAAAATGTTCGAGCCATGTAAAAGCATGAATAAATTTTTTTTATAAATACTTTTTTATCACAATTTTTCATCACATCGATAATGCTTCTTTTCCACGCGAAAACAGAAAAAAATAGATAAATGTATCCCTGCAGATACATATCTACGAAATATTAATGTATAATTGCAAAATGATTGTGTGATATGAGCATATTAAATGTACATGTAATGGTAAATTTAATTAGATTTTTAGATACTATTGTTTGATATTTATGCTATTGCAAACTTTTTTTGCAATTATTGATTTCGAACACATTTTGATTGTATGTAAAGAATATCGAAGGATGAGATAGTTTCAGAGAAAATTTAAGGGCTTAAGACTGATAAACGTGTTAAATACATAAAGAGTGATTGTATTACTAATTAAGAAATGAATATTGAAGATCGATGTATGATCACGCTTTTTTAACAAAAAAATGATTTTCCTATACTCCATAGACAGTCTATATTATGTCGATATGGAAGCGACAAAACACCAATATAATAATTACAAAAGTAAAAAATATGATTTGACTTTTTATAAAAGTATGTGTTCTTACATTTTTAATTCTTTCTCTCTCTCTATATATCTTATAGGAAGAATATTTTCGTTAAAATATCCTTTTCACTTCAAATCAGCAATAATGAATTAATTATTTGGCAATTTCATATTATACTTATATTACGGTCTTAATATCTATTTTTTTTAAATTACAAAATATATTTTACTTAAATATCTATAAGTATTCTTTTTATAAGTACTTTTTACATATTATATTTTCTGCTCTTAATTGAAAGCACAACTTTTATGCTGTATCTATCATTATTTTTGTACGAAAAACAACTTCAAATAACAATATTGAGAAATATTTCTCAAATTATATAATTTTTCTCTTTTACTAAATTAAAATTATTTTTCGCTTTAATATTTCTTTCTTATTTGGAGTATACATTTACTTTTTTGAAATTTAAGATCGCAGAAAATGAGCGGTTTTTATTCGCAGAATTTTGGTTATTCATGATATTCGATATGAAAGACGCGATGGAATGATACTTCTTTATGTTTTTCACCTCATACAGTATACATGGCATCGTTCCTCGCGGCATAGCACATTTTTTTCTTATACGATGTAATCCAGTCCGAGAAAATGTTATATTTGGTATTGTTGCGTGTTCACTTTCCTGTCGCTGTCTTGATACAAAAGGAGTGGCGTTTGCGTATTGCGTAATTTCTTTATGCTATTTTGTTGCTTGTCATGCTGCTTCGTCGCCTGTTTCGATCTATGATTTATAATATCGACATTAATTCAGACAGACAACTGAATAATTTAAAATCAAAATCTCAATATAATTATTGAAAGTGAATTTGAATTGATATTCATAGAGGTTCCCGAGATTCCCTTTGCGATTAGTCGTTAATTAATAAATAAAAGTTTTTTTTTTTCGGACAATACCGATATCCGAATTTGCACGAGTGAATTCCGCGTGTTCGATTCTCTCTAACGTCGTTATCATGATAACATGCAACACGGTCGTCGTAACTCGCGCGCGAGTACGTCGAAGCGAAACGCGAAAGAGAATTCGCGAGATACGACACGTCGAACAGTCTCGTAAATTTTATTCACCTATGATAAGAGTCCTTCTGTTGTTTCTGCGGCCAAAGGTGAAACGCACCATATATCAGGGGATTCACCAAGCTGTTGCTCATGCCGAAGAAAAATATTCCGCTTTGCAACTCATCGCTGAGCTAAAAAAACATCGCGCGGTCGTTAATCAATCGAACTCATCTTCTCTTGCCCGCGTATCACGATTCGACAAAGTATACCAACGTGCTCGTCGGGATTGAGAAACAGGAAGATAATCATCATCGTGTAGTACGGCGTCCACCAGATTAGAAACGCTGCGACGATGACGACGCTGATACGCAACGACTTCGTCTTCGCTCGGTGCATCAGTCTTCTCCTATTCAGGTCGCTGCTTCTGGTATACATGCCGTTATTCGTCAACTCCCCTTTGAACATCCTTTGACTTCCTGAAAGGTGTTAGATGTATAGCTCAGTTTAGCATCTTAGAATAGTGGATTCTAATGGAACCCTTTTCCCGCCCACTCCCTCTCTCTCTCTCTCTCTCTCTCTCTCTCTCTCTCTCTATTTCTTGGTGTAGCACTTTGTTCATTATGGTCATATTTTATTTATAAATACGTAACAAAGAGTGGAAGACTCTAAATAAAATATATACTTGTATGAGGACGAGTTAAAATCGTGCTTGAATTTACGTCAGAGTCATTTCGTCGGGTCGAGGTGTTCATCATTGTGTTTTGCTCATTGTAATCTTATTAGATCGTGACGTGCACGAACTGGAAAGAGAATGTTCTGCATATCTTGTCAATCTATATTATTGAAATGCGAGTGATGGTATTAGCGAAAAAACCTAATTTATTTCGACAAGCAGCGCATAAAAAAGCACTCGTATCGATTTCTCATCCTTGACGTCATAGTCCGGTATAGCTATGACGCGAAGAATCAGGAGCTTTTAAAATCGAAGTCGGAGGACCCAAGATACCCCCGTGGAGGATATTATGACATTTTATTAAGATATACACAAAATATCATATCGCGAGTGATGGAAAATATCTTCGCGGAGAAATGTAAGAGACAATATTTATATACTTACGGGAGAGAGTGATCACCGTTGATACATATGTGGTAATTAAAATTGCTAATGGCAGGAGGAACATAAAGAATAGGCTGAAACTAGCATACAGCTGCTCCTGCCAAGCTTCCGTGTAAAAGCCGTGAGTCACGCACTGTGTAAACACTTCTACGAATGGACCTTGGGCAACGTGAAATATCGCAATCTGTAACGGAAGGTGTGACGTGTGAGAATGTAAATGTAAATATTAATATAAGTAAATATGTATGCGTGATAAAAAGAAAATGATAAAATACTATATGATAAAATATTATATTGTATGCGATACGATGATTATATAGGCATTGCGGTCAATCTCCCGAAAGAAGGTCCGAAGGAGCTGTGAAACTCGCAAGAGATACAATTTATAAGAAAGGCCAAATGAAACGGCGAATATTATTGGATCATTTTTCACACGCTAGGATACTCGTGGTTCAATCCGATTTGCACTGCTGTGACGTCATTGCTGTCTGTGACTTAAGTTCCATTTTACGTTTCCGTATGTATGAGCAACTTGTCAGTCGATTGTCGATTGGGTTTTGAAATTAGAACCTCTTAGCTATAAAGGTCTCCGAGATAATTATGGATATCCGGGTGTCCATTTACAGAATAATGTTCTATTAAAGTAGTCCTATTTCGAAGACAAGTAACAGTGGCAGGTTGAATTTGTGGAATGTCGAGCATCTCGAGATCCAGAGTAACTCTAAGTAAACGCTCGGTCTCCAACGGTCATCTCGCAGACACACAGCGTCTTGCAGACGGAGGGGAATGAAATATTTGATATATTGTATAATATTTTTTTCACAATTATCTTTTGCACACATCTGATAGCCGCAGGCGAAATATGCGTTCTTTCGGATTTGTTTTTCGCCTCGTCGTCGTTATAATCCGGATCTTTCCTCCCGACTCAAAAATAGACCATGACGCGCGAAGAAAGGAGAAAAGATCTCGTGGTATAATACGATTTATTCTTCGAGATAAATCCCGTAGCAGGAAAGTGCGCTTGAAGGATATCGAAGAGCTAATATCAGTTCGTTCACACCGGTCGACGCTCATTTGTAAACGCCGACGTTTCATTGTACCATCCGTAGCCTTTCGACTGAAGATGCGATTGCGCCCGGCGGAGCGGCCGAGGTCTAAATTCGTCGTGTTACTTCGTCAAGATCACGGGACACCGTGAAAAGAAGCTCGACGGGACAAGTAGAGGCGCATTGATTAAACGGCCGGTGGTCCTACCGTGTCTCGAGCCTGTCAAGCAACAACGTCCCCCATCCCGTTCACCATCAATCTCCGCCAGGCTACGGCGGACCTCTTCCCCGTCGTCGCCGACGACAGCATTATTCTCTGACCGAGTGTGATGTCTAGCGATCTCTATCCTGCTCGATTCTAACGGATGACCTCGCACCTCGACGGGAGTCGCTCGCGAGCAGTCGATTTCAAAGTCCGCATCCGCTCTCGCCGGTGCACCTGACACTTCGTTGAATCGAGTCACATGTTTATCTGTGCAATGTCTCTTCGCTAAAGGAGACAGTAAACTCGACCGGATCGCGCGGCTATTCGTCAGCCAGTTTCTATACATTTATATTCTGATTCATAAATATTCTGATATATATATGTATATTTATATATGTTCTAATTTTAATATGTGGTGTAGAGCATCTATCATGTGCACGTCCCGTACATCACATCCTGTCTGCTTTTCAAGTTCTATTTGAAGATATCGATAAAGAAAAATCGCACGGCAAAACTGTCCTTGGTGCGATTTATTTATGTCGACAACGTCTGCAGCGTGGTGCAGGAAAAATTATGAAACGGGCCATTTAATCGTCAAGGTGCGAATCACACGCGTTTCTCTGTAACGGATGAAATTGTTTCCACCGTGTGGGCGCTTGTAATGTTTCATTCTTGCAGAGTGTTTGTGCCGAACAACACGAAATTAATTTCCTTGAGAAATAACAGTTTGCCGGATTCTAGTTCGCAGACCCACAGTGCTCCGTGCACAGTTCTCATCCGCTCGGTGAGTTCGAGAGAGAAGACTTATATAATATGTTTCAGGAAGAAATCTAATTTTTAAGCTTTTTTCTTCTTCATATATTCAGAACTTGACTACTCTATTAATTACTACTCTATTAATTGTGCGCTCAATTTGGCATGATTTAGCGTCTAGGGCGACTTGTCAAGCCGCATTTCATCAAAGTCGTTATGGTGCACCTGACGACGAAGAGTCTCGGCTTAGTGATCTCCGCGATCAAGAATCTTCGCGAGAGCCAAGGGTCCACGTCACAGGAGATTCTTCACTACATCTCGTCTGTTCACGACATCCCGGCTACTAAAGCGCGATGCCAGGTTTATATTAACCTTTGAACATGATTCGCGAATGATGAAATAAAATATTCTTTCGGCCGAAAAATAAGGAATACCTTAATTGGCCTGTCTCTTATCCGTTTCTACGTTTCTTTTATATTTTTTCGATTTCTATTTGATTTATTTTCATTCCTACTACACGTCACAATTCGCGCGGAAAGTTAAATATTAAACGCAAACATCGCGAGATGGAATTATCGAGATATGCGAACAAAATACAAAAAGATATGCAGTAAGGATATTTAAGGTAATTATCTTCGAATGAAATGTTATAAGCAAACGTTAGATATAATTTCTTTCTTGTGGTATTTATTAAAGTAAATAAGTTCTCTCTGCTTCGCATGTGCGATCATTCGCCAATAGATGAGTGATGTTGACTTTAAAAATGCTCCGAGATTTCTTTCGCCTCTGCCATTTTTCGTTCGCGTATTGCACAGTTCGAATTAAGCGCGTGCAAGTTCTCGGCGAAAATGTGTTTCCTATCTATTTTGCCATGTTCCAATTTAGATCTTCTATTTTGGGAAGCAGACAGTTTATCGCGCATGTCGCGAATCCTGTTTTGTCTGTTGCGACTAGACGACCGTGACACAAATACACAAATTTAAACTGCTTATCTCATGAATATATTCCGTGTTATAACATAGAGAGCCGACTCTATCACTGTAAACTCTATTATATAGAGGCTAATAGCTATTAGCGCACTTCGAATACCTTTGGAGAATTATGGATGTTGATGAAAAATTTTCGGAGAACAAAAGTTACGCAACAAGGAAGGAGCCACCAAACGATGGTAAACATTTTCTTGTAACTACAGTTGCGCCGTAGACGGAGTTTCCTTCAACTCCCATAGCCTCGGGGAAACTCAAAGTGCTAATAGTTATTAGTCCCTTCTGTATACCGCGCGGAGTTCACGTAGATAATTCATACCACGTGAGGACACTTCTCTCTACGCTCTACGCTTTACCAACAGGTGCAGAGTGTCCTGAAGCGCGGAGTTGCTTATGGCATCCTGAAGAAAACTGGCGGTCACTACAGTCTGCCGACCGACAGCGATATCGCGCGCCAGGAGCTGGCCATTCAGGAGATCGATATGTTAGATCTTTATTGCCAGCGTAAGATCAATCGATCGCGAGGTTACAAGGCGCAAAATGAGGCAAGGGCCAGGTCTCGAAGGGCCGGCTGCAGGTGCGGCAGGCGAAGAAGACGGAGGAGGTCGCGAGGATGCGGTCCGAGGACATGCAAGAGGCGCCAAAGGAGAAGGACATCGAGGAGAAGCAGGTGCGGGTGCGGTCATGCAGGATGTGGTAGCAAACAAGCGACGAAGCCTGAAGGCACACGTGGTCCCAAAGACGACAAGTTGATCAGCTCAGACATGGAGACTACCACGGTCGTTGATATGGAACGCAGTCACTCGAGCGTGTCAAACTGCTCGAGTCCGGAAGAAACGACCGTGAATAATCACACCGAGCCAGATGATCGTGATGAGCGTTGTCGCATTGATAGCGAGAACGTAATTGAACGTAATTGAAGTGCAATTGAAGTGCGCTCTCTGAGATCCCTGAACTTTACGATGCGACTGCGCAATGCTGCGAGAAGAACAGCAAGCTGGAGAATGGCGATCTTTGTACATTCATTCGAAGGGCTTAAAGTGGAAGATTAATTCCGTCCATTGTCCGAATCTCGTCGAAGGAAAAATGCTGTCTCATGTGTAAGACGAATGTTATCTATATTGATTGAACGAACGAGCTTTTCCTTTTGATCTCTCTTTATCCTTATTACGTAAAATTGTACTATAAGGTAGATGAGTTTGATAATAAAGTCGTCATTGCTTTAAATTAAAATTGTCGGTAGAAACGCGCATCGAGATACAGTCACGTCACCAAATTCGAAAATTTATGTCTCTCAGACATCAATAATCGCGATGAATGCGAAATGTATTCCTCGAATATGCAGGGCATCTTGAATGAATAAAAAAGAACGGTCGAAGACCGTAGTTTGCATATTAATGATGCAACGTGATGCATACGAGATAGAGTATGTTTTGTTCCTCTACTGTATTACTTTATTTTCTTCCGTCGCGACGAAGTATGTATACATTGTAAATCGTATTATTTTTATATTTGTTTTGTGGAGGATAAGTATTTTCTCGGAAGTTCAATGCAAATTAGGCAAGTTGTCGGTGGTTCAGGTTCAAGTTTGAATTCGAATTTCTTCGGCTTCAACGAAGACGCGAGATTACTCCATCGTATTTTTTTGGTATTTATTTATTGTTGCTTACTCCACTTTACTAAATTTCTATGCTATTTTGACTATACTTCTTTTCCCCGTTTCGTTTTAATTAAATTATTTTTCCTAGAATTTGTGTAATAAATATTTCTACGTTACGCAATGAGCGTCTTATGTATGTCGCTCTCTCGATTGCGACTGTATAATCGAGAAGTGTCCCGTAGTACAATCAAGTCTCAGTTTCTGATTTACAAAAAGCTGCATTTAAAGTGCTATTAAAGTAATCGACCGTAATAATCACGAGGCATTGATAAATATATGTTGTGAAATAGCGATTATTGAGAGTAGAAAAAAATGAAGACTCCGTACTGTGATACACGTGTTATCGGAGGTTGAAACACGATTATAATAATTAGCCGTGTTTTACCGCCGTGTAGTTCTGACAAGTAAAAATTATATGCCATCTATCGTACAATAAATGATACGTATAAATTTTACGTCAGATGCTTTTAATAAATACCATTGGTCGATGAATTTTAACTTTCTTGAATATCTTCAAAATGCGTCAGCGCGAGGAATGTCTCAACACGTTTTATTTGATGCGAAGAGAGCACGTATATTTTCTACTAATATGTAAATTATACAAAATTTCAAAAATAATCCAACGGACAACACACACACACACACACAAGTACATACATATATAACAAAATCCCAATTATTTTTCCTAAAAAATAATAAGCAATAAGTATGTAACGTTTGGTTTTTAAGTCACAATGCAAAGCAAAAACTTATTTACTGCATGAAGTTTGTTGTTGAATCTTTGATATTTGCGAATTATTCGGTTCTGGAGTTTTTAATACTCTTAACAAGCAGAGAAATTAAATAGTATCCGGTTGAATCGATGCTAAATCATAAAATTTCATATATTTTATTAGTTAAAATTGTATAAAATAAATATGACACATACACACAGCGACCTCGATAAAATCTTTTTCTTATGTAAACCTTCAGAAAATAATACTGTCATCTACCGTCGTACGCGAAACTGGTTTACCGAGGGACATTTTTTCTCAAGAACCGTGTAGAACGCCTATCTTGGAGATGTTTATTGATTCATATTTAATATTCAAATAAATGATTCAGTCTCAGACGACGACGATGGTATAATATTTTTATCATAGATTGAAAGAGTAAAAAATTAATATGTGAGAAAATTAGTGCATTTACAACGATCGATTTATTGCGTTCTTAAAAGTACGTCATCTTACGAAATGCATTCCACGATATCGCATTGATGATATAACGTCAAATTAAAGAGTATAAAACATTTCCTTAGTTTACATATGCAGTGTAAGACAATGCGATGTGTTTTGAATATGCATTGCATATTCAGTATAATTTCGTGAATCAAGGGTGAAGGTTCCCCCGATCATGTATTTTATGCAAAGCGCTCGTGCTTCTGAAACGTTATCGTTGTCGTCATATCAATCATAAATCAATCATAAACGTCGTTACATTCGTAGAGGAATTAATGAGTCGTTAACGTGGCAATAACGTAAAACACATCTTTCCGATTTCGTGGCACACAGAAAAGAAATCTACCTCTTTATCTCCAAAATTTTCTCTTCAAATTTTTAGAAGGACTCAACATGTGAAATTAAATTATCTTATTACAATAAATTCTTCTTACGACTCTACATGGTAAAAATTGAAAGATCTATAAGAAGAAATAAAAATTTCACATTCAAATGATCTTCTTAGAATGGAAGAACGGTAGAAACGAAACTCCTAAGATGAAGTCGTTGGACGCGGCTCGTCCAACTCGTCCAAATTAAGCGTCTATCGCAAAAGCGCAACAAGTGCTACTTGCATTTCTATTTTCTTTTTCACCGAAAAATAGCAAGAATCATGACAAGGAAGGATCAGGTTAACTAGAAGAAAATGTCTTACCTGCGGAAGGGCGAGTATGCAGGATAATATCCAAGCGAACAGGACAAATCGCGAACACTTCTGATTCATACTGAGACCCTTCATAGGATAACGCACCGCGACGAACCGATCGACGCCGATCAGCACTAACACGAAGGTGCTCAAGTACAGACTGAACATTTGCAGGAACTTGAAGAACTTGCACGCAGCGTTACCCCACAACCAGGCGACGTTGTAGCTCCAGATCGCCTCGCCGGCTAAGCAGAAGACGGTGACTAGTAGATCGGCTATCGTCAGATGCAGGAGCAGCGTGTAGATCGTCGAGCCCCGCTGTTTCCGGCGGTTCTTCGTGATCGAGTAGATGGTCGCCAGATTGCAGAGCAGACTCAGCACCGATATGACAGCTAATATAATGACCTTGAGGTAAACCGAGTCAGTTAACTTAGGCGCGTGTTCCAGGCATGTAATGTTCTCGTGCGGGTCAATCTCGCTGAGGTTGTCGCGGGATCGTGGATTCAGTTTAAGGTCGAGACCGAGAGCGTGACTGACGAAGTTGGTGAGGTTGTTGCATGGTTCTTCAAAAACAACGGGGAGTGCTATGGCTATGGTGGTGTTGTTGATGATGTCCGATGAGCTGCTGCTGTCGACGTTCATCGTTGATCTCATCGTTCCCGGTATCGGCTTCGACATCGGCATTGGCATCAGCGTCGGCCGCACCACGTCTCCCTGAGCGGTGCTTCCGGTTCATCGGAGATACGATATCGGTGACTGAATGCTTGCCACCGTTCTCTCGTGGAATGGCACGGTCGCCTTAAGAAGAGATGAGATGCATGTTTCGTGGGGGACATCTAAAGTGGGAAGGATGATCTCAGGGTCCTTGTTGAGGACGATTCTTCACCGATTCTTGTCCTCTTTTGGATTCTGTCAAACCCGTTTCTCCGACATCGCGACTGTTTTTATACTCATTTAGGCACACGTGGCCGAGCGAGTTCGAGCTCAGCTGTGTTTGTCCCGTGCGGGGATTGTCGCGAGACTATATTGTCCGAAGAACATCGTAGGAACGTCGTTTTTACATCCTACGGACAAGTAACACATACTTTCATGTTTCGGGCATTACTTAAATATTGTCTTCTGCATCCTACTTATTTACCGAGTACAATTTGTAATTGGATATTCCGAACTCTCCCTCATAAGAGTCTCTGTAAGAGTCTCGTATATACGTAAGAAAATGAATTGTCACCAAAGACACGGTAATAATAAATTAATTTTTATTCGTTCGATCAAATGCAATTTGATTACAGACGAATTTCGCCAATCAAACGATCTTGCCAATTCGCTTCCTTGATACGTAGCTACGACCGATTAACGTAACGTAATCCAAGAGTAATTCAAGAAATTCTTAAATAATGAACATCTTTTTCCAGTGATATAAACTGGTTATATCATACGAAAAAAAAAAAAAAAAAAAGAAAAAATCGATCTTAAACAATTTTATAATCTGTTATAAATCGTTGTTACTAAACTGATGATTTCCGTTTCTTGGAAAGATTTTCTGCATTAAAAATGTTGATCAGATTGTAGGAGCAAAACATCATAATAGCTTCTTTATACAGGATGTTCTACAATTCACGACTAGATAGAACCTAGGAGCCGATTCTTATTCTTCTCCTTCTTCGTCGATTCTTTTTTTAATTAAAATATCGAGGCAGTTATCATCGTTTATCACGAATTTTTAACATTGCATATCTTTGCGATTAAGTCTCAAATCTAAATTTTGTCAGAACAAAGTCTATTTTGAATTTCAATAAAGAATATATTTTTGTTTGAATATATTTTTTACTTGTTTATTTACTTGTTCTTTCTTGAAACTCAGATTGCGAAAAGATTTTATATTTCGATCGTTCGTAACTCAGCAATGACATAAGTGACTTAACACTTTTGCTTAGTAACAAAACAATTCCAGAGTTTATCATTAAAATTGAAATCACGAGTCGTGAAATATTTCTGTTATCTGACGAATATTGTCAAATTTAAACGATCATTCTGCTACGTTTGCACGCTATGTCGATACTGTTTTCTTTTTTTTTAATCAATAAGCAGTCGTGGTTTCCAGAACGTAATTTTGTACGTATTTGCTTATCAATTTTATGTTTCTTTTCGTGAATATGAATTACCATATTTATTTCCAAGCTAGAGTTACAGTTTTATCTAAATAACGAAAAATCATATTTCAAGCGTGCGCACAAATTTCGCATATTTAATAATAATAAATAATTACGCAAAGCCAACAGGTTTTCTCGAGTGCACGGCATATCTTACCTGTTGACGATCATTTTCTTGATAGATCAATTTCCTTCGGACGAGATTGCTGCGCAATAAGTTTGTCGTACATAATAAATTATACGGAAACATTCTCTTTTTAAACGTATGATAACGTGATTCTCTGGTCGATATAAAATTTATTCACGTGTCTATGCACTTCACACAAATTTCGCGAAAAGCGCACTCGGAATTAGTTTGCCGACATGGCGTCGTTAATTATCCGTATCTCTAAAAACAGATAATTGGGTCACACAACATTTCCAAAACCGACGTATTTCCCTTCGTTTCGCCTCTATTTCCCTCCAATCAATGTTTTAACATCGTTTTTAATGTTCGACCAAAATGTTTAATGTGAGAGTTTTTAGAATAATTTACGAAATTTGAAATGAGATAATTCGTGTGCGATTAACAAAATATACGGAGAAACGAATGCGACTTTACCGCGGTTACGTAGCGATTCGCGCACAGAAAGTACATCCATCGCTATGCGCGATGCGAAACACGATGTCTACGTTCGCACTGCGTGAACTCGACTGATCGATGGAAAATCAATGCTTTGAGACATTCATCTCGCTCGCTTAATGACGTCGTTTTTCTTCATCGCCTTGATTTTTTTCTCCCACACCTATATACATTGAGATCATCTTTTTATTATTGACCCCGTTCTGAATTATTCTGAATTCTGCTCGCTAGCACACTCATCATCACGAATATTATCATGCGGCTCGCGCGCTACTTATCTACAGTTGACATTAGTGTCGCTATACTAAGTAGTCGGGTGCACATAAAACATGATACACAAATCGCTTCGGGAAGGAGAGCGCTGCAGAGGACGCAATTAGCCGCGTGTAAAAAAAGAACAGGTAAAACAGAAAGGAAATATTCCTTTATTTTTAGAACTCAACGGCGCATAGAATCGGTATTAAGTCACGTGACATTTTACTTTTCTTTTCTTGGTGATAAATGCATACGTATAATTTGCTGATACGGTCGTAACACAGCGCCGTCGAACAGAGTTATTTCCGCAGGCGTATCCACGCTCTTGACCCTCCACTTTCGGAGTATGGCAGTCAATATGATCTTCTCCTCGAGCAAGGCGAATCGCTGGCCGATGCAGTTTCTCGGTCCAGTACTAAACGGAATGAAAGAGTACGGATGCATATATCTCATGTTCTCAGGTAGGAATCGATCCGGATCGAACTTCAATGGATTCGGCCAGACCGCTGGGTTGCGATGCAGCAGCATGATCGACACCAAAACTGTGCTGTCTTTCGGGATTACCCAATCATCTTAAATAGAAACACAGAAAACAGAAATTCGTGTGTGGAATATACCGACTTCGACAATTACGGAGGAACGGCGCTCCTCTCATTAGTATCGCGTGCGACTACTTCGGAGTTCGGTTCCGTTGCTTCCGGTTAGTCGACTTTGCTGGAGAATCACGTAAGTCTCGGACCCATTACATTTACGCTCTCGCGAACTCGCTATTCTAGCTGAAGAAAAAAAATTTCATATGCCTCTCGGCAAGATAATGAACGACTGAGATATGTACTTCTACTCTCGCGCTTAAACTTTCCCGCCTCCGATGGATATTACATTTTAACAATGCACTTCGTGTATAAGTTACCGTTCAATGCAGTTGCGTTCAGTTCTCACGCGTCGGTTTTTTCTACTGAAAGTTCTCAAAGTGCGCGCGTTGAGTCTTGAGTAACTTCGAGAGAGGAAATTTCGAGATACTCGTTTATACTCTTCTCTTTCTTTCTCTTCTTTTTTCTATTCTGCGAGTAGTACTTGCGGAAAGAACCGATTCTCAAAATATTTGCGCGCCGAACGGATTATTGATACTTTTTGATTATTTGCGTTCGCGCAAGAATCGTAGGCTCGAGTTCGGAATGAGGGCTCCGAAGATACGCGTCACCGATTTTGACATTCGAAAAATCATGTCTCACCTATGTTTATATTGTCCCTGATTTTTCTCGCAATTGACGGCACGGTTGGATATAATCTGATAGACTCTTTCATAACTCTGTCGAGATATTTTAATTGTGAGAGTTGCATTACAGAGGCTGGCTCTTGCGAATCTTGGAAAACTTCCTCTAGTTCTTTGTGAACCTTCTCTTGGTGGTCAAGATTATTGCCAAGACAGTAGAGCGCCCAACAAAGCGTAGTTGCCGTTGTATCGTAACTCTGTTATTGTATTATCGTTTAAAATTAATAACACGCATACGTGGCATCGAAAAATTAAAAAGAAATTGAGAATTTTTTATTAGTTAGACAATTTTTTGCTACATTTTGGACTCACCGCAAATATGAATGTATTGAGCTGTGACTTCAAATCTTCCATAGTTAGCATATTGTTTTCGTTTTTACTTAGGTCTAACAAAAGTTCTAGTAAGGTCTTCCTCTTCCTCTTGGCTATATAATTAAACGAAAAATTTAGTTTTGAAATAAAAAAGAAAAGAAAATATTCGTCTTCTAATGTATATATTTTATAAGCAAAGTGTATGAAGTAACGAAAAATCTTAGGATTGTGTTAACATTAATCACATTAATTAAACATTAATCACATCATGTTCCATATTATGTTGTTCTTTCAATTGAATGTCATAATTTTTACATTTGAATAATCATATACTGACGATTTACGATTGTACCTGCTGTTTCAAAGTCATCGCAGTTACTCTGTGATTTGTCGTTCTGTACGTTATATACAAGTTGTTTTGTTTGTATTATCTGGAAATTGTAATATTCTTGGTAAAGTCTAATCTCTTCGAAATGAAACGACGAAATACGGTATGGATTTCATCGTGTTATCTTGAAATATTTCAAGATAACACGATGTCAATGATGTCATTGACATGACCATCAAGAAAATTATATTTATAATAGTTTGTTGCAATGCCGATTTCCAAATGTGTTAAGATTAAAGTCCTTACATCTCTCGTAAATTCATGCAGATTGTGAATTAACTTTTTATATTCTCTTCCCATAGGAGACAAGTTATATATCCAGTTCACCCAAAACCATGGTTGATTTATACGTATTGAGATCAGTTTGAGCAATCTGAAAGTGTCATTAATCTTTCGATTTCAGTCGAAGTGAGACTCGACAAGTAATAAATTTTCTTGTCATTCTCGATAATAATATTTGCTTCTTCATTGCTTTTCGATCAGCAGTAACATGATTCAAAGTCAACGAATACTATGATCGTGAAAATATCTGATTAGGTGAATAAAATAGTTAGATTCAAACGATCATATGTGTGTAAATTCTTTCGATATTTTTATCGCGACATATACAAAATGATACAAAATTGATATTTATCGGAGCATCTTAAAAATACAATGTTGTTACATCGTCGACAAATAACAAATCTGCTCGATATTGGAAAAAAAAACATGAAAGAAAGATTGATAATGTTCACTGACATTGAGCAATCCAATGTAAAATTTAAATAAAATTAATAGCTCGATATTTAGATGACCATGATCGCGAATTTTAAATACCGAAACGAAGCAAGTTTACATATTAGACGAATAATTTTGTATTGCAAGCTCACCTCCGTACGTTGGTAATAAATTGTGTCTTGTCTTTCCGAGTATGTTCATTTATATTCAATATTGTATCTGGGAAAAGAATAATGTTTACTGTTACCGATAAATCTCCTATGTCGAAACAATATGTCACACACTCAGACACACATACATACACGCCATAATAATCACTAATGATTTGCACAAAAAAAAATTTAATGATGTTGCGTGCTTTAGTTAGAAGTATTGCTCAGCACTATTCTTTCCACGTGTATTCTGCATAAATTGAGAAAATAATGCAATTATCTTGTTTCTTTCTTTAGTCCAATAAAGCTTCGTCACCTTATTAAAAATTATCATTCGATTATTATTGAAGTTACGTTCGCGAATGATTATCTTTTGTACAACGAAGATTAAATTTATACCAAATCACAATACGTTTAACTTCTTTTTATAATATATATAAAATATAAAAATATATTTTATAATATATACGTATATATATATATATATATATATAAATATTATATATATAATATATATAAAAATGTATATCGATGCAATCGCACGATGGTTGTCGTTTCCGTGTAAATCGTTCAATCGCGTACGTGTTATTCGCTGCTTCGTATGTATGTGTACATTTTTGCGCGTCGCTCATACGCAAAATCGTTTCTTACCAAATACAATTTCGAAAGTCATATCTTCTATAATGGGGATGATATTGATAGCCTTCCTTGGATCTTTCGCTATCTTTTTCTCCATTTGTTTTAGCATGATTTCTATTTTCTCGGATATAATCGCACCGAATTGTTCTAGTATGTTAAAATGGAACGATGGCGAAAGGAGCTTCCTGTCTCGTACCCATTGCTTGCCTGAAATAATCTTGTCTGAAAGATTCGGTTTCGTGCCAAAAGTATCGCAAAGCTTGAAAAAATAAAGTATATCGCGTTTTATTTTTTCACTTTGTCATTAACGGTGAAGTTGATAGCAACGCGATTATTTGCTAAAATTTTTAGAACATTTCATGGTTATTTACCACTAGAGGTAAGAAGTCCATTACCCATCCATTCTTTATAGAAATCGTAATGCACCGATTTCTCTATAAACACGGTACTTGCAAGGACGGTCTATAAATTTTCGAAAAAAGGATAATAATAATAATGTGTTTTAATGTGTTACGTCGCTGACAAAGTTAGAATATTTAATGGACTCGATTCACTCATAGATGAGCCGAAATACTATGATCAACATCAATTTATGAGATAATAATAAGATATTAACTGTCTTGCTCACTTTCAATAGCTCCGGTTTATATAAGTAAATTATTGGTTGCGGTCCTATCCAAATTTGAAAAATTCCGTCTTTAAATTTGTGCAATAGCGATAGTACCCAATCGACACGACCTATGACGAGGCGACTGATTAATGTAACTTGCACACTGTGTTCCTCTTTTTACAGAAAAGCAGAATAGAAGCAGCATAGAAGATAATAATATTAATAATGATAAAATCTGTACGCCTTTTTCCTATTTTTTTTTTTACCTTGTTCCGTTTGTAGTAGAAAAGATAACGTTCCGATGAAAGGGACCGAGATAGGCCCAGGAATGTGGCTTAATTTTTTCCGTGTGATATAAGTATTGTATACGAGCACTACGATTTTGCACAGTAAAATAGCAATGACGGATATTGCCAACAAAAGGAATGTTCTCATCGTTGCGACACTGCTATTACAAATAATTCAGGTTGTATAGAGAAAGTCTATATATATATATAATCTCTTATATGTATAACCTCTTCGTAGTTTTATTTATTTTAGAGCTGTTTTTACTTCTTTTTAGAAATGCATGTTGTAAGCCAAAGTTTTACGCCGATAACTAAAGTACTGAATGTTAACACACAATTCATTATACACCTTATATAAAAACATGTTTAAATTGCAAATTTATAATTTATGCAACTGTTGCATAAGTTACGTACTGTTTGTATTGTGAGAATATATGTGCTTTCGATGCACGGTGAATTTAAATTCAATCCCACAGATTTTTACTTTGTACTTTTTCGTTTTCTCCTATCTGCAATTTTCTGTAAACGTATATGATGTTAATTATTTACAATATTATTAAATATATACTTCTTTTCCTCATGATAAAAGAAATAATAAATTGATATCGATTTGTCATTGGTTAGGCAAAGTAGAAAAATACTTCAGCGTATCATCAGTCAGACAAAGTGGATAAAGAAGTTAGTCGTGTGTAGGATATTATCGACATTTTCTACTTGAAGTCCATGTCCTGGCGCCATCTTTCGTCATAGCTTTTATGGTATGTAAAATATTTGTTTCGTACATTTTATTTTACGTTTCTATTATTCTTAATATATACTAAGAATGTCAAAAATCGTGCGACTTATTATCACAATGGCAAACAAAAAAAGACATGACAAAAGTTAAAAAAAAAAGGAATTACTATCGTGATCTTCTTTTGATAATTTCAAGATGTGCTTTCTCTAATTGATTTGTTGTTTAGCTAATTTCACGTGCATCAGTGCAGTTGACAAATAATCATTCTCCAATATTTAATATTTTTTTTTCGACATAAAGATTCTAAGATCTTTCGTGATACCGAACTGCAACAACGATCAAATTAAATGCTCGTTGCGCTTACTAGGATCTTTATTCTTAATAATTTGTCGCACTTTCTTATCACTCGCGACTCTGCCGATCATTTATTTTATACGTTTATGATATATTCAAAAAATATAATAAGAATTAATTTTATGCCTTGGTTTTTCTTCAGTACAGAGTCGAGCAATGTAACGTTATGATAGGATTATCCTTAAAATTAAATTAAACCAGCCACGATATTTTTGAGAAACCCATTAAAACTAATTGCCAATATATAGACAAGGGTATAAACAGTGAGCATAAATACATAATTATTATAAAATACCGGTTTTGGTATAAATTATTTCGATATTATTTTCTTTCTTGTTGCTGAGTTTGACGTCAATATTTCGTCAGATGAAACACACGTGTCTGCAAGATAAACGCGATGAATTTTACATATTGATTACATATGATCCATAAATAAATACGTTAAATATGCATCATATATATAAGCTTGTGGAGTACATAAATAATGGTTGCTTACGATAACGAGAGTGGAGCGAGTGAGATCTGGATCTAGAGAGAGCAGTACACGGTATGAATTTATAAATTCATATGATACATAAGTATAATTCTTTCGATAAAAAATAAAATATATGGCATACTGTTAGCCTTCTGTTATGTATACACACAAGACGATCGGCTCCTGCTCACTCCTGTCACTATGAGACAGCAAGGGAGTAGGATTAGGAGCAGCCATGAAATATAATAGTTGTAGATGGGAGTGTGTACTGCTCTCTCCAGCTCCAGATCTCACTCACTCCACTCTCGTGATCGCAAGCACCCAGTATGAAGTATGACTGCGCATTTGTTTATTTTCTGTGCGAAAGTTCCGTCGCGCTATCGACGATGTGACATTAACAGCGACTCGTACTACGATTTAGCGAAGAATAGATCTCTCATTTATGGGCCGCACGGAGCGGTTCGCTGTGAAAGGGAAACCTGTTTTCGGAATCTCGGTTGCAGCGCGAGCGAGCGAGTACAATGTGACTTTATTCACTGGATATGTCATAAATCTCTTCTCGCGGTCGTAATTAGCGATACCATCGACGTGCTGGGACGCCGGGTGGCCGCGAAAACTTCCTGCCGCGGTACACGTAAAACTACCCGCGAACTTATTTCAAGATTTATCGTCTGAGATTATTGTTCTCTCGCCGCGGGGAGACGCGTCCTCTCCCCGCGGACCTATGGTTTCTCTCGGCGTGCAACGTCTCGTGATGACTCCCGGGATGCGGGTGCGTTTGTTAAGACGAGCGAGCCAGAAGTAGCGGACGGGGATACGCGACACGTCGCATGCGAGCATAAGTCAACGAGATTAACAACGGGGAACAATTACCGTTGCCGTCGTCGCAATCCTCTCCGAGTTTCTCTCGTCGCGGGACTCGGGCGAACGATGCGTCGTAACCAGGAATTTTCGATTCGGCCCAAAGCCTTTCGATCCGCGTTACCGCGATACATAAAACTCGCAGGACGTGAACCGAATACCAGCATAGCAGTGACGTTATTATTCGCCGACGTCATTATGCAGCAGCGTCTGCGACTCCCGCAAGGATACCGATGGTGATCGAGAAGGAGTGATAAATCAGGATTTTCGAAAAGCTCCCCCGCCCTACGAGCGTAGCGTGTCTCCCGAGCTGCGCGCCGCTCGCGCAGTTCGACCTTTTGAACTCTGGCACATTCGCGCATGTTCGCGAGACGCCAGCCGCGCTTGCAACTTCGGAAAGTTTTACCACGGCCGGGATAGACGGCGGCAGGCAAATGCCGAATCGAGAATGCGCGAACTGCCGGCACAGATTAACGACGGCATTTGCAGGCCGACGAAGCGATAAGAGATAGGGGAGAAATGTATTTTGTCGAACGCGAGACGAGTGTATCACGGGTTTAGGATCGAACCTGCGGCTGTACGCAGCCTACCTTTCCTCAACGGCTCTAAACTTCCCTACGCTGCCTTGCGGCAGGATCACCCGGCATTTCCTCTTTTTACAGCATCCCCTTCAGGTGTTACTGTCGAATCGACACGCCATTTATACGCGAGTGTTACTCTCAGCGAGTAATGCCGCACCGCCTCGTATTTCGATCTCTCGCGCTGTAGCGGGACGACGTGTCGCAGAGCCTCGAAGTGCTTTTATTTTACGTAACGGATTTTCCGATAAAGTATCGCTTCGACGTTCACCGTTCGGCTCCGTGTAAAATGTTATCCGGCTCGTAAATGCGCCTCATGGGACACGTTCCCGCTTTCTTACGCAGGCGCGCGATATATATGCATATCGCGTCTCATCGTCGGACCTTGAGGAACTGTCTGACTGTCGATACCGGATATTGTAACGCAGCGTGTTGACCGTGAATTATTAGAGAAAAAATTAAGGCGGACGAGCGAAAACTTGTTATCGATCGACGATGTCGCAAGAAAAGAATATCGTGTCCTTCCCGCCTTTCTCTCTCTCTCTCTCTCTCTCTCTCTCTCTCTCTCTCTCTCTCACACACACACACACACAATTATTAAAATTTATAATTTGATAAACAAAATAAAAGATGCGTGGAGTAAATTACGATGCGGCAACAGCCGCAGTTTGTCACGTTTCTTCGAGTTTCTAGTCGTAGACATAAATGTGAACGAATAACCGAATACACAGTCGCTAAGACTGTCATCTCATAGCTCTCTTGATGTCGTATAATTATATGGCTGGTAAATCTCAAGTTTACATTATAAATGTTGTGGTTTCCATACATTTAGAGATTTGTCGGATTAATAGCATCATCTCTGTTACCTTCTTCCTTCCTCATTTTTCTTTTTTTATGCGAAATCACGTAAAATTTTATTCACGTAGATTTGAGAAATTCACGGATCATCAAATGATGATCCATATGTTCGCCATTGCTGATGTTCAGCGTTGTGTTCATTTATGTTTTCGCAATTCATTTCGATGTCCCGAGATTCATGAAGAACGAACAGGCATACTCGTTGAAGGGATTCAGCAGTGCTACGATATCTTTCAAGTGATCATTAATTTTTGATTAATATATAATATGGCGCAAAGCGGTGGATTCTTGTCTGTTATATGGCGATATTGTGACATCATGGATAATAATAATTGCGATCATAAAGAAAGAGTATGTTGGATGTTCCTCAAATATTTCATTCACGATTCTATTGTTTTTATTTTATAATTATAATCAATTCCGCTGTACATATAGTAATGTATCTGTATTACCCCCCCCCTCTCTCTCTTATCTCTTTTCCTCCCCCTCTCTTTCTCTTTTTCTCCCTTTATACGAGGAAATTTCGTGAAAAAAAATTATCATCGATAATTTTAATTATATTTTACGCGGTAATTTATTTTAACGTCGGTATCGACGAAAGGGAAGGTATGCAGTAAATATACTTGCTCGTTTGTCCTCGGGAAGAGACTTCCCGCGATCGAGTTGCCTCCGCAGTCTCAATAAGTTGTAAATGCTCTCAATTAAATCCTCCCAACTTATATTAGCGGTCGTTTTGAGGAAGTTACTCTGCTGCAAATGCGAAACAAATTGCAAACGAGTACTGCTGACTACTGAAAACTACGGAACTGCTTCCGCGTTATTTAATGTAATTTCTTTCGTTACGGTCAGTCGAGCAGCTCGTCTTGCAGCCGCAATGACGTACAGTTCACGCGATTTCTTGCTCATTCGCGACAGATATTATAATTATCGTTTCAATGTGTCCCATCGCGCGCATTTATTTTTATTATTTTTATGACGCATCAGGAGAGGGGGAGAAAAGAAGAGAGGGAGAAAGGGAGGGGGGAGAGAGAGAGAGAGAGAGAGAGAGAGAGAGAGAGAGAGAGAGAGAGACAAAACTTCTGCCGTAAAGCCTTCCAAGTTTTGTCGGAGTCCCGCTTTTCTTTCTAATTTCTTCGCAGGAAACGGCAGGGTTTAACTTTCCTTTATCGCAGTTGGAATTGCCGCAAATTTCGCCCGAATAAATTACTCCGCATTCGGCGTGACTTAAAGCATGCGGCGCGAGAAATTCTGTTCCACATTTATCAGGGAGAGATTTATAAGTTTGGGACGTAAATTCGA